TCCTCCCGGCCGTTGCGGGCCCTTTTTGGTAAGCAACACCCAAAACCCAGTGGGTTTTGGGACATCGACCCCCAACCCCTTCGGGGGTTGACCTTTTTTTTATTAAAATTAGTGGGTTTTCGACTCCCAAACCCGCTGACGGGTTTGGGGGATCGACTCCCATTCCTCGGGGAATTCGGTGGAAATTCCGGGGGTTTCGGGGTTTGGGATTCGATCCTCCACTTTTTGGGAGTCGATTAGCTAAGACCCAGATTTTATTGGTCTGAACTAGGTTCTCATACCTAAAATGGCCTCTTTCATGACTACCATTTTGAGGCTGTACATATGCATGTTGGTTTATGTGGTCTGATCAGGTGATCATCGAGCCCTTTGGGCTCAAAACAAACCCCTGGTGGCACTCAGCCAAATGGGACTATGGTTTGTGCCCAGACAGGCTTGCAAGACCATATTTGTTGGTGTGTATTTGTACCCTCTCCTATCATGACCGTTCAACACAGCCCTGCCCCAACAAAAGTGAAGCGTTCCCATACCAAGGCCAGGACTAAGTGGAGCAAGACAGGCAAGACCCGCAAGTTGAACGCTGACGCCAGTCGAGCTACCGACCATGTCGCAGAGATTTTGACTTCCAACCCTGTCGATGCCCTCCGTGCCCAATCTCCTACCGCCACCGAGTGGAGTGCTGATTCTGTGTCCTATAACGCGCACGGAACGAAGTGTTCCGGTACTAAGACTAGGACTAAGCGGAGCAAAACCCGCAAATTGGACGCTGACGCCAGTCAAGCTACAGTTGCGCGCGGCAAATTACTGTACAAAACCGACTTGGCTGCATGGGGCAAGGCCGGGGGTGGGTCGGGGGACCAAACCTCCAGATGATGATATTTTTGGAGGTTTCAGACTGTGTACACTACGGGGGTGCTTTTAAGGTTTTGCTTCGAAACAATGTCCGAAATGTATGGACTTGGTGATTTCGAAGCGGCTTTCGTAAAAAGTTCGAAACTTTTACGAAAGTTGCAAAAAAGATTTCGAAACTCTTTCGAAATCTTCCGCTTATGATTTTGATCCGGTGAAATTCTGGGTTTTATGCGGATATTGCCGGATCAGAACTCTAAAAAAACACTTCGGAAGTTATTCCGGAAGTTTTTTGGTGGGAGGTGTGGATCTTTTGTAAAACTTTCGAACCATGCTTCGGTTCCTCCAACCGGTTCGAAAGAGTGTCGAAAGTGCTGCAAAACTTTTTTGGTTGGAGGAACCAGACCGTGTGATTTTTTTTTTTGAAAAGGTATTTAAAGCGCTCGATTGTTGAGCAAGGGGTGTCGGTCGCCTCTTGCTTCTTCATCCTGAATTATCCCCTCATCTCCCCCTCTGACAGTTTCCTTGAGCTCTCTTGAACTCCTCTTATACGTCCTCTCCTGTCCATTTTTCATTAACCTGGTACTATCGAAGGACAACCTGAGTTTTGGTTTCCACTACCCTCCAACAGAAGTGACCCAGCCGAGTAGCAAGCACACACCAGCAAGCGATCATCTTGTTTTCTCCTGGTCGTCCCTTCTGCTACCTTCACATAAGCACCCTCCAGTACTACCGCCGTTTAATTGAGCTCATTCCGATATATGTTTATTCATATTACTGTTTTCTTATCCTTTATTTCATTCTGTTTTCTTTCCTTTCTTTCATTTCAATCCAATCGATTGATCGATCAAAGTGAAATGTTTTTTGTATTTTTTTCTCTTTTTCTTTTGTATGGAGTGGTTTTTTTTTCTCTATTATACACAGCAGAAATACAAAATCATGACATTGAAACTTAGAGATAAATGATTCAGAATCAACGATGAATACAACTGAAGATGGGGACAACCCTCATAAGAGACAACTGTGCCGATCTAAAAGCCATCCGACAGCCATTGCAGAACCCGAACAGTTCTGAAAAAGTTTCAAAACCTCCTGATTGTGACGGAAGTCTTTCGAAACCATTCCGAAGAGCCCTTCGGAGTCGATTTCGAAACCACGGGAGTTTCGTAAGTACTTCGAAAAGATTTTGAAAAGCTATCGGAAGGTCTTCGGAGGACCTTCGGAATCCCTTTCGCAACACGTTGCGAAATGTACCTGGACCAAGGTCCAGGACGTCCGCCCCTGCGGGCGCATATTTCGAAACATTTCCGAACGAACTTCGGAAATGTTTCGAACCCCAGCACCCGTAGTGTAGATTCTAAATCCAAAGTGGCGACCAAATTGGTCCAGCCAGTTTTTTTTTATTTTTTTTTTGGGCCAGCAATCCGGACACATGCCCTCAGGCCGGACTTCCCTTGCGCCAAGAGAAGCCGGATCCTCCCAAAAAGTCTTGAACATCCGGACACGACTTGTACAGTAATTTGCCGCGCGCAACTGTACCCAACCCTGTCACGAAGATTTTGACCTCCAATCCTGTCGACGCCCTCCGCGCCCATCCTCCTACCGCCACCGAGGACGTTGCTGATTCCACCGCCAATGACGCCGTCGGCGGTGCCGACACCATTGCTACTCGAGGTCTCGGCAAACTTTTCGAAAGCTCTGATGCGGTCGACGACTCTGTGCTCGATGGTACTTACTCTATCCGGGACATGGACGGCTTCGAGAAGTGGATCAGCGACCACAAGTCAACCCTTTGCAACTCGGGTTTTGAGCCAGACAAGCCGAATAAAAAAACTCTGGTGCTCGACCCCGACAACACCTTAATTAGCAGTGACGGCTATGAGGGGGACTTTGTAGTTGACTGCAACAATGAGAAACGTTACAGCATCTTACTCCACCCTGACTGCATCACCTTCCTGCACGAGATGGTAGCTCGGTACGCCGAGATTGCCATCTATACCTCGAGCTCATATGTATACGCGACGAAAATCGCCTGCCAAATCGGGGTGCGTTATGCGAGGGCTTACCCGCACGAGGACCGCCTTCCGTTCTCCAAGATTCTGTCCTCGGATGATTGTATCCTAGACGGGGCGGAGCGCAAGAAGGACCTGCACCGCTTGAGAAGCTTACAAGATGTTGTGTTTGTCGACGATGACCCGTACTACTCGATCAGGAGCCAAAACGACAACGTTGTACAGGTCCGTCGGTTCCATGGTAAAGAATCGGAGCGATCTGGTCTGATGGCCATCGTACCCCTGCTCAGCTATCTCAGTTCGGTCGACAGCGTCCTCAGCACTATGCGAAAACTCAAAAAGGTTTGGTACAACAACGGCCTTGTTAAAATCGTCCAGTCTACCATGGGTGTGAACTGCTAGAATTGTCACCAGGATATTAGAAGATCAATGAAATCAATCTTGAAGCATTTTTCAAAAAGCATGTTTTTTTTTTCTTGTCTGATTGATGCGTGTAGCTACGAGTGAGTACAAGCGCCCATTGTGAGTGAACAACATGTGAGAAATAGCTGCAGCTCCATTCTGTGGAAGCAGATGAGTCAAAGAATGAAGTGTCGGACTTGAAAATAAATATTGGAACTGATAAGCAATTGGGAACACGACAGAGAGCACTTTTTATGAGTTGTCAGAGCCCAAATTAGAGAGTATTCCGTTACTGGAGGTATAAACAGTTCTGTAACCCTCTCCTCGGAGGTCTGAGGGGTGCGCCTCGAGAAGGCTACATTTTGGCTGTTTAAGATTGCCTCTTGTATTCTGACCCCTCACAAAACGCATTTCCTCCTTTACCAATGCACACACTTCTCTAAGTGCCAGTCTCTCTTCAACACACTTGGCCATGCAAAATGATATTCAGCAGCTAAACCATAGGTCCTTATCATCTTTGTTCGAACCCTTGCCTTGTCTATGGAATCCAGCCAACGCGCTTATATGGACAGCAGATGTATCAGTGGGAAGTGTGGATATTTGCATGTGTCTCTTCCCTATGATAGAAGGGCAGAGAAAAAGATGAGATCCGCCATCCAAACTCCGTGTAATCTTCCTACATGCATGAACGACAGGATCGGATGCATCCTGAGTTTCCAAGAGTAGAAGCTTTCCCTGGAAAGCGAACAGGAGGGTGATTAGCTGAAGTGAAGGAAATGTTCAAATGTCTTCGAAAATGTGGAATGAATTAAACAAGTAATTTGTGTCTTAAAAAGAATCAGGCCAGCCTTCTAACGGCTGGTCACAGTGGATAGATGCAGAGCCAAATGATGAGGCTGAGGCTGCACATTTCAGCGCACAAAAAGATTCAGTGAGCCTTGTGTAGGACATGTGTTTTTTTGCGAAGACGCATAGCATTGGGACGACACGTCGAAGGTTTTTTGGGTTCATACATAGGTGGTTACAGCTCGCAAGCTGTCCCGTGAATTAACACACTGCGATGGGCAGTCAGAGCCCAGCCCATTGGATAGGCTGATGGTGGCCCGTTGATCTCAATTGTTAAACGTAGGGTCAGGTATGAAAGAAAAAAACTCTGGGAGATGGACGAATCGCGTTCAATTCAGGATCTTTGGAGTTTTCCAAACTGTCAGTACCACCTTGGACCGTCTACTACCTAGGTGACCTACACTTGCTTTGAATTTCATCGGTTATCAAAAGAAGAGAGTGTTGACTCGAATCAAATTTGTATTTGTTTTTTTGATTGACTGTTGGGTAAAAATTACATTCATATACATTGTAGCTGGGACTGGGATGCCTAAGTTCTTGGTGTGGGTAGCTTAGTGCTTGCGGGGGATGATCATGAGTTTGAACTTGAACTTGAAGGGGTAGTGGCAGTTTGGCTCGGATCTAAGCCTCTAAAGCGTTTCCTCATGTCGAGCTATGTTCGAAGGAGAAAAGACAAGAAGAAATTAGAGTTGTTGGTCTTCCAAGGATGGATGACCGACGAGTAGAGTTTGGGAGGACGTACGAGGCCGCGCTTGCAGTCGAAGAAAGCGTATCTCAGATGGGCACATTCGGTAGGAAGTTCGTCGAGGTGCGATTGGAGGCATTCCTTGGGTGTCCGATAGGGAGGCTTGAGCACGCAATCCGATCGTAGGATGCATGCGGTCAGGTCTGCTTTGATCTGTTGGCATGGCCCACCTCGTCCCACCGTCTTTGAGGTTATTTCATCGATTGCGTCCATTGGGACTTGAGTTCGAGGAATCTGGTGGGTTGGTGGTTCAGTGAATGATTGGTTGAAGAACCGACACGGCTTATTTTGGAAGCAGGACCACCCCGCAGTCCGATCGCCGGGTCAGGGTCATCCTCCTCTGGCCGGCAGGTTGACGTCGGCAGAGGACCACTGCTCAGAGTCAGAGACCCCCCCCCCCCCCCAAAGTTGAACCCACTCAGACTTTTCCTTTCAACAAAGGACATCACACAGAACAACCACCAACGCACCATCTCAGCATATTTTGTCGGCCACTCCGATCAACAGCATCCAAGCAGAAGCACCTCTAGCACTCGATAACACATTCACAAGATGTCAACAGCAGTAGAGAAAATCAAGGCCATCGAAGATGAGATGGTAAGTTTTACCACTATATCATAACAAAACCCTTGCAAATGGAAAACTGATTACACATCTATTGCGTTTCTTCATATTTGAAAATATCCAAATGGCTTGATTCAATCGACCTCTTCAGGCCAAAACTCAAAAAGTCAGTTTCCAACCCCCCGATCGTCCATCATCAGAGAACTGAAATTCTCGCCCGTTCCAAGACAATGACTCACTGATCCTTGCATTTGCCAACAGAATAAAGCGACGGCTTTCCATTTAGGTAGGTATTCTCATTGGAGTTATCTCTTTTGACGACCGAAGGACGATTGCGCAAGTTGACCAACTTTTGATCGAACCTTTCCTCCACCTTGACTTCGACTCCACCCAGGCCAACTGAAAGCCAAACTAGCCAAACTAAAACGAGAACTGCTAACGCCTTCGTCGAGTGGTGGTGGTGGCCCTGGTGTCGGATTCGATGTGGCTAGGACAGGTGTGGCTAGTGTAGGATTTGTTGGGTGTATGTCGTTGAGCTGGTCTTAAACAGATTTCGTAAACCGGACAGATATTTTCTGACTTATCTCTCTCTCTCTCTTTCTTCATCAGTTCCTTCCGTAGGAAAGTCTTCATTGATGTCTGGTTTAACGGGCACACAATCTGCTGTTGCTGCCTATGAATTCACAACTGTTGTCAGTCAGCCCATTGATTGATCCTTCGCACCACGATCCCTAACACGGCCTATGAACACATTTGTAGGACGACCGTTCCCGGAACAATGAATGTCCGAGGTGCTTCTATACAAATTCTCGATCTTCCAGGTATTATCGAGGGTGCCAAAGACGGAAAAGGACGTGGTAGACAAGTCATTGCTGGTCAGTTTCATCGTTGGCTCTGTGTTCAAGCTTGCCTGACCGGCGCTAACTTTCGATTATTCCGATCATCATGTTTCCCTTGAAATTAATTCAATTCATGGATCAGTTGCCCGGTAAGCGTTCTCCCTTGATGTCTACATGAATTTCTAGCATATGTAGTGTAATCATTTATCTCATGCACTCTTTTTTCATAATCTGCTCAACAGGTCGTGTAATCTTTTATTCATTGTTCTGGACGTACTGAAACCACTGGATGACAAGCGGATTATTGAAAACGAATTAGAAGTACGACCTGGCTTCCACTTTCCCAAGATGGCATCGCTTCAAACATGTGATTAACTAGGGATGGATTTACTTTTTTTCCAGGGTTTTGGAATTCGTCTGAATAAGAAACCGCCCAACATAATCATTAAAAAGAAGGATAAGGGTGGGATCTCGATCTCAAACACCGTTCCACTTACCAAACTCGAACCTGAAGAGATTAAGGCTGTGTTGGCCGAATACCGAATGAGCAATTGTGACGTCGCCTTTCGATGTGATGCTACGCTGGATGAGCTGATTGATGTGATAGAAGGAAATCGGTCAGCCCCTCTTTCGCTACATTTCCGATCACAGCTCTCCCTCCTCAAAAACCTGTGGATTGAATAACCACGGACTACTAACCACTTTTATATTGGCTGCACAACAGAGTCTATATGCCCTGTCTATACGTATTGTGAGTAGATCAAGCTGTTTCCTTGCGGATGGCGCGTGAAGGTGGGCTCACGCAAAAAAGTGGCTGCCTTACAGAAACAAGATCGATGCTATTTCAATTGAGGAGCTGGATTTGCTGTATCGAATTCCAAACAGTGTACCAATTTCAGTCAAGGAGTGGTTGTGAGTGACTCCGGCTCAGGAAAACTTGACCACAACTCTACATAACCCCCCAAAAAGGATCACCTCAAGCTGACACAGAGCGATATGATAGAAATATTGATGAATTGATCGACGCTCTTTGGTACAAACTGGACCTCGTTCGAGTGTACACGAAACCTCGTGGAAGGCAGCCTGATTATTCTCAGCCCGTCGTGCTCAAGACAGCTAAATGTACAGTCGAGGATTTCTGTAACGCTATCCACAAGGAAATCGCCAAGCAGATGAAATAGTTGAGTGTTGATGTTCTGGCCTTTTTTCGCTCAATCAGCATCCAAAAAAGAAATCCTGCTCCTTCATTGGAATATCTCTCTGTCAGGTGTGAACTGAGAAGCTGATCCAAGCTTGATTTGTCTGACGATCCTTGGTGATTAAAAACTCGGATGACTTGATAGTTGTGTTGTTTGGGTAAGATTGAGCTTCCGATTCCACAATCTCGCGTCATGACAGAAAGGTCTAGCTACTCGATCACAATACTAATTCTGAATATATATTGGTCAGGGTACATCTGCTAAGCACGCTAGAGGACAGAAAGTTGGGCTCGAACACGTCTTGGACGATGAGGATGTAGTGACGAGTAAGTCGAACGATTCTGCTCCATTTCTTCATCCGTCAATCTCTTTTTTGTGTTTGGTTTGGTTGATCTCATTCCACATACTCACCTGCTCTAAATCATCCCGAAAACAGTCGTCAAAAAGTGAAAATCAGTTCGACCGGTTCCCCCTTATACATGCATACCTAAAAATGTATACATTTTTTTCACTTTTGATCATCATCCTATCTATTTCTTCTTTGGATTGAAATCTATCTTGAAGCTGCAATACTGCTTGGCAATCTCCCATGTCTTTCCCTCAACCGCTAGAAAATACTCCCTAATTTGCTTGGTTGAGCGTCATGCTCCAAACACTCAAGCCCAATCATGCGTGAGCTGGAGGAGTCATTGTAGCCTTGTTTGACCCAGAGGGTACTTTTAGGAATCATTCCTTACACTACCATCACAGTGAGGGGAAATCTAATGATTGTCCTCGTGCCATTCTCTTTCAGACACTGTACCTCTCGTGCTAGCTGATGGTCTTTCTCTTAGCAACGCCATGTTTTTTTTCCTCGAAGAGTGAGGTAGTTGATTTTTGAGATGCAAAAAGTTTGAAAACGTTTAGAAAGATGGACGTGTAGATTCATCTACTTTCCACTTGAATTCCTAGCTTCAGGAATGGTGTTGAACACATGAGCATGAAACTTGGACAAGTTAGGAGGGGTTTGCAACCCAACGATCAAATGCCGGTATGGGGTTGGGGCCCGCAGCTCATGCAACATGCGATGGACATCGTCCCGAGTGACTATTGATCTCAAGGGAATGCTGTCGCAAATGTGACAGGGAATGCTGGGGCATAGTTGAGATAGATTACTAAACATCAAGTGCATAGAGTTTAGACATATCGACTCTTGAGGTTACATTGGTGAGACCATCCAAGGGCTTAAGTGGGTTTGGCCAAGTTCTTGTCACCGAACAAGTAGGTGAGACCGCACTTCCCGCAGTACTGTCGGTCGTGGTGCCAAGCCATGAAAACACCAGCACCACAGGTCCTAATGAAACAGAGGCAAAACAAGTCAGGGAGCAGTCTCAGTGGAGAGAATGGCCATGGTTAATGCAGAAAACGTACTGGGCTGGACATTCTCGTCGTAGTCGTTTGATGGTACCACTGCTTTCAACCTGCAAGATAGGGAAAGACAACATGAGTATCCTACAGATCCTTCGAGTATCTAGTTCAAAAATCAATGTTTTTACCTTGTAGTATTTCAAGACGGCCATCTTGACTTTCTTACGTTTGTGTTTGATCTTCTTGGGGCTGGAGTGAGGAACCACAAAGGATCAGATGCTGTGGAAGGATGCTGCCGAGCTAGATGAGCCAGATGGCAATAAAGACTGACGTGGTGTAAGTTTTTTTTTTACGCTTCTTGGCACCACCACGAAGACGTAAGACCAAGTGAAGGGTGGACTCCTTCTGGATGTTGTAGTCAGCCAGGGTTCGGCCGTCCTCGAGTTGCTTACCGGCGACTAGTAATTTTCAAAATAGAGTCGAAAGTTTAATTGAATGACGATCGCTACAGTCGAAGTGGCAAGGTGTGCAGACATACAAATCAATCGCTGTTGGTCCGGGGGGATACCTTCCTTCTCCTGAATCTTGGTCTTGACATTGTCGATCGTGTCGGCGGATTCGACCTCGAGGGTGATGGTCTTGCCGGTGAGGCTATTGGTGAAATCGTAATGTTAGTAGTGATTGGAGAAGGGTTAGCCGAGATGAAAGCCAGCGGCCTACGTTTTGACGAAGATTTGCATCTTGACGTATCTGGTTCCTACTCTGTCGTAAGAGGAGAGGTCCTAGGAATTCCAGTCGATGGTCTTGAAGTCGAGTCGTTCACGAGGGGGACGGATGGTCACAGCAGGGGTGTGGTTGACCCGGTCAATGATAGCGGCGGCCGCTTCCTGCTGCGGATCAAGTGGTGAGCCGCGCAATACTTCGAATAGGTTTCGGCCTCGACAGTCCCACCAGTCAGAAACCCTCCAAGACCCAAACTGCCCAATTTGCCATTAGGTTTCGCGTCCCCACCCTGTCCGCTCTGTGTTTTCGTTCCTCGAGGGGGGTCACCGGTTGGTATCGTCGAGGGTCCGAGTGAAAGCAACCAGCAGCCGAGCACTGAAGGGTCCAGCTAGCAGTCGATCGGAATACCAGCAGCCGAACACGAAGAAACCACATCAAGATGGTCAGTCACTCTCATCCTCGTCCTGCTATCCCCACTCTAAATCACCCCCTGCAACACAATCCCGTCTTCATGAACAGGAAAAGCCAACATGGAAGCCGGCATCATTTCTAACTCATGCCGTTATTTTGATCTGATTCATTCCGCCGAGATAGACGAAAGGTACCTCCTCCTTTGGTAAGCGCCACAGCAAGACCCACACTCAGTGTCGTCGATGTGGTAGGAGATCGTTCCACAAACAACACAAGAGTCAGTCAGGTTTCCATTTTTCAAATCGACTCTACCCCTCGCATCTATCTGACGCCATCTCTCCCATTTGATTGTCCAGCTTGTGCCGCCTGTGGATTCCCAGCCGCCAAGACACGTTCGTACGAATGGGGAGCCAAGGTGGGTTCCTTTTCCTCTTATTATCATCCGCCAATTCCGGCGACTGATTTGGACTACATTCCCTGCCTACAGGCTAAACGTCGGCACACCACCGGTACCGGTCGAATGAGGCATCTCAAGGATGTTCCCCGCCGATTCAAGAATGGATTCCGAGAAGGCACCGTTGCCACCCGAAAAACTGCCTCGACCCCAAAAGCTTGAGATGACTAAGCTACTCACTCTCCCTGTCCTCAGTGTGGTCTCCTCCTTCGTCTATCCCGCAGAGATGTTCCAAGCCCAGTATATGATCGATGCAATGTCAATCCTACTCACTTCATGAAGGTTCCCCACACGGACAAGTGAACTAACTTGAATCAACCATCATTGCGTTCTCTGTCCAAGCCCGCCTCCGTTGGAATTAGTATGACTCTCAATGTGGGCTCCACGTATAACTTTTAATCATATGCTTCTATGCAAACATTTCCTCATCAAACGTTCCTTGGTCTCCCCAAGCCAGATCGTCTTTCGTCGATTGGGCCCAATTGGCTTGAAAGACAATCCTTGATTTAAGGAGAAGCTAGATTGGGAGGATTACTGCGCGAATGCCCAGTCCCTCCCTTGTGGGATTTGCTCTTGACAACACCGTCAGTTAATGACCATAGCATTCAGACGGGACAGGTCGAAGTGTGCCACCCAATCAATAGAGCCCCTTTGATTGTTTATCAATAAGACATTTATTTCATCTGACCTCGTTCGTCCCAGCGCTCGCTGACTCTCTTGGTTTTCCCATCTGAAAGCTTGTGATAGATTTGCTTGCATCAATGGGTAAGCCTCATAAGCTCGTGCTGTATCTATTGTCGGTACGCTGTGCTCATCGATGACATCAAATGTATGCCCATCGCGTCCATTCATCGCCATTCGCTTGCTAGACTTTGGAAACATGTAGGGGTACTAGCGGAAGACCTTCATTAATAAGTGGTGGGACCTATGGTTTCCAACTTAATGAAGTCCCTCAATTCTGGAGGGGCTTCATTAAGTTTAGGTATGGTTTATGTTGCGTATTCAGCCCACCTGCAGAAACAGTTATACATGATGGTCAGTCTTGGACTGCTAGTTGGATCTTTCAAATGAGACTTCAAACATCAATTCTTTTAGCTCCATTGTTTGAAAAAGTAGATGCCTTAATGAACAGGTTTCAAGTAAATGCTTGATCTTTGATGGGACAATTTTTGCTGGGGTAGGAAGGGAGGGCACTTGGGTGGTTGATGATACACATCAAAAGTCCTCCAAGTGCTCATCATAGCCTATAGGTAGGACATGTGAAAAAGAACAAGTTTAAAACTGCAGTGGTTAAATTCTCTTTTTTTTTTGAAAAAGAAAGTCAGTCAAGATGGGACAAACTATGTTTGGAAATGATCTGGAAGACAATTGGGATGATCAACAATTATAAAAAAAAAGAGGAAACCTACACCTGTGCCACCCTGGCCCTTGTTTCCTTTGGCTCCATTGAGAAGGAGTTGGTGTTTATTAGCTTTGGAAATGTTTTTTTTCAACACAGAAAGTCCAGCCAATGCTCAATAATGGTAAATGGTAATGAATCATAATCATCAACATGAGATCTGGTGCAGTCAATACCCCTTTGCCCCTCCAGTAGAAAAAAAAAAGAAGAGAAAAAGTGAAAGGAACAAACAACTTGCAACACATTTGCAGAAGGAATTACAACCAAATTATGCCATGAAGGCTGAAGAAAATAAGTAATCAACTATAATTGTTGATTGACAAATTTCATGCAATCAGTAATTCAGATTTATGGAAACAATTACCTTGGTTAAACCATCTTCTTCTGCCCTCACTTGGTTGGGTTAAAAACTTGGATTGCAGCATCTAATAAATCAGCTGTAAAGCCCCCAAAAAAGTAAGATAGTGTAATCCCCAGTGTCAACAGTGCAGTATCAACTATTAATGGGACAACTTGACATTATTCAAAATGGTTCCTATCTTGACTAGAAAATTCTAGCCAACTGAGGCCAGTGCAATCTTTTTAGAAAAGCCAGCCCATCTAGATAAAATCATCAAAAGTTGCGGAAAAATAAGGAACATCTGAGATGAGAATCTAATGCAAGTGATGGAAAGGAAAAAATAGAGAAAAAGATGTTGGAAAACAATAGAGAGAAAACAGACCTTGTGAGACCCACATGTTGGGAATAAGTAACATGAGAACCAATCTGTGTAGGGAAAGGAAAAATAGAAACTGATATGTACATGCAAAGTGGTGTGGCCTGTGGGGCTCCATTTGCTACATCAACTAAATTCAAAAAGCCTATGAAGGAAGTTGAACCGACCAATTGGCTAGTATTGAGTGTTGTGATGAGGGGTTGATAGAGGTTTGGATTCAAGTTCTAGTTGTTCTTTTGAGATGTTCTCAAACTGTCAAGTGTCGTCATCGTCACATTGAATATTCAAGCTGCTGCTTGGCTGGGCTGTCTGAGAAAGCCTGGAAACTTGGAAGCCTTTCTCGGCCAACAACAGCATCGACAGACCACAACCAATTGACCGAGCCGAAAACGAGATCTGACACCAACCGAATGATTCCGCCTCGCCTGGCTCACCATCTCCAGAGCTTGATTACTCGCAAGGTTCGTCATCATCACTCGTCCAAGCTGATGTCAATGATTGTAGATCCCAGGATTAGGCTAATCATGAACAACGTCGAACAGTTACTAGAATCCCCGGTATTCAACGAATTCGTCGCCAGGACTGATGGCGCGTTCCACTCGATTAGACTCGGCTTGAAAGAAGGCTGGCAAGAAGGAAAACAAGAATCATCTACCGATGGGAAATCATCCAAAGACGATCAAGAACCGCAAAAGCCCAACAAGACAACTCAAGAATCAAAGTCCAGTTCAAGAGGTTCGCATCTATCTGATCTTACCCCAACACTTCAATTTCTATCCGTAGCTCAAATATCACATCTTCATGCGCTTGTATGTGTAATAGATCGTCGAAAGACAGTTTATTCAACCGAGCAAACACGGGAGTCGAAAACGACAACAGATCAGGACAGAAGCAGGCTCGACACAGAACAGAAACTGCAAGAGCTACTCGAAAAGCTTCGTCGTCAGCAACCCAAATCATGACGCCACATCGTCAGCAACCTCTCATCTGGCGTCTCAAGACTTTATTAAAGAGGTCGCCTACCGGACGATTCAGTACGAGCTTTCTTGGATTAAACGCAACTCGAATCGAAGGAATCTGATTCGCCAAATTCATCAACCCACAGAATGTATATATTCGGATGTAAACCAACCCCCTTCGATCTTCACCACTCAATCTCCAGTCACAATGTATTCCAAAAATACCCATCTTGTACTTGTACATTATTTGGCCTATCTTAATCGATGCATTTATTCCTGTAATCTTCTTTGACCGTCAACCGATAAACCAACCTCGTTTTTCACCCAGCTTACCAGCCTCGTTTCTACGTATGTCGCGACCTCAATGGATAGCTTCCTCGTTTCTATTCGATCGATTTTTATGAGTACCTCCTCATGGATCCACATATTTCAAAGCTGCGATGTCACCTTGGGATCTCATTCATTTTGAAATCATGCCACTCCTAAAGTCTGCTCAAACGATAACAAAATTCAGTATACGTAACTTGAGGGCAAAGCTGACTCAAGCGTTACCAGTCAAATCCACACATACATCATTGACTTGTTTGAACTTAGATAGTGGAAAACAATGCTCAAATTCAAGATGGGTCAATCCTCCTCCATCATTAGCAATTGTGCAACACGGTGATGCACTGCTGTTTGGAAGCTGTTTCAACAAAAAAAGTGATGCGATTCAGTATGAGAATGCTGGTCAACACCACAAGATCTGCAGACCACTAGCGGTGTGATTATGCTAGGTCTTATAGGGAAAGACCTGGATTATTGTCTGTATCAATCCTGTTTTGTGGATTCATAGACTTCCAAAAGGAACTTTCTTCATCTTTTTTTGGATTTTCCTGTGGATGGAAGAGACAACAACCAAAACCACATTTGGTTTCCCAGGCTATCTTTTCCAAGAACTATATTGATGGGGATGTTTCCAGGAAACCAGTATAATATTCTCATGAAAATCACAGCCTGATGGGGTTCAAGTTGTAGCTATATGTTAGGTGGGTTCAATCTTGATCAATTAACATGGTTCTTGAGCTGTCTGCCAGCTTCTTCTGGATTTCTACTGCTCAAAGATATATGGGAATTGGTTGGAAAGAAATGGACTTTCAAGGTTTTCAATTTGTGTTCAGAAGACAAGAAAAGTCAACATTTTCCATAACGTACACCCATGGCTATTCAGGCCCTTAATGATTGTGGGGAGACCTCTGAAATGAAAAAATTGTGCCAGGTATTTTAAGGCCACATTTGGACATCAGCCCCCCCCCCCACTTCACAAATCAACTCTGCCAAATGCCCAGAGCCCCCGCAGGTCACACAGTGTAGGAATGCAAATTTATAATGTAAACAGAAGGTTCAAATGTGGTCCAGGTGACTCACTGTAAATCCAACCAGGGTATGCAAATCAGAGCTGTGTAGAATGCTAGGCATACATACTTCACATTGACATATTTTCTTTGCCAACAAAATTATGCAGTTGAAATTTGATCATCCAAGCAAAACAATTTGTATACATGCACATTTCATATATCTATGATTTTTCAGAGGTTTGCAGATCAGCTTTGAAGATTGAATCCCCTCATGAGTTTATGTAGAAATCAGCTTGATGCAGGTTTCCAACCCACTTCCTAATCATTTGGAGTGCTGTTGGAATACTCCAAAAATCAGAGAGAGAGAGAGAGAGAGTCTAGAGAGAAAGCAAAAAAAAATGAGATCTTAACAACCCTCTTCAGGTTCTGAACTTGATAGATCAAGGTTGGTGGGATGGCCAAACAGAGAGCCCAAACTGATATCTGGTGGCTTGGGTTGATAGATATTCCTTTTCTTAGTGCCAAAGCTCCCTGGGGTATATCTGTATTGAAGGCAACCAGTTCAGAACTTAAGATCATTCATTGCAGACTAGCAAGTTGGGTTTTTTTTGGAGATACGAGCTTGAAGATTGGTTTTGAATTTCTATCACTCTTAATGGTCAGTTCATTCAATCAGCTTCCCCCCTGAATCCTTTTGATTTCAACACTCTCATTGTTAACATGATTCTATAGCCTGGACTTGAAGCAAGTTCCCCACCCATCATCACCATTAATGGGTTTTTTTTTCTTCCAACTCATGTTCCAGAAAAGTCCCACTATGAAGCAGTTTTATTTTGTGAAGGTTTCATTCACAAAGACAACCCAAACAAAAGGGGATTTTGACAGCCACAAGATCATGATGACCTTCTTGTTTCTTGATTCCTCTGCAAATTTTAATGGGCCCAAACTTAAAAAACCCCTTACAAGGCCTTCAGATTTGGAGGCAAGTCATCCACTCAGAAACTGTGCACTTGATAGATATCCCATGTCCATGCAGTCCTTGCTGAGGTCCGGATATTTGGTGATTTGGTTGGGGTGGCCCTGTGGAACTTATATATGCCCCTTTCGGTTTGGCCTTGCATCAATGTTGGCTATGCTGCTGCAACTGAATTCTGATAAGAATCCCTTGGTCTCAGAACTTTTTTTTTTCTTGGTTGATCCACCTGTTGCTATGCTATGCTATGCTGCGCTTGTATACATACTAGTACCGCTTTTTCTGATAGGAAAAATGTCGCCATGAAAAGCGTAGCGCAGATCTCAGCAGTCACCTTAATACCTGAAAGCAAACAAAAAACAAATGAGACGATTTCTCGGCCAGGTTGGCTATATGTCGTGCGCTCGACTGCGTATGATGATAAGGAAAGGAGAGCCTTCCAAACCAAACTTAAATCCTAAATTTCTACTCTTGAGACCGCTAGTCTGAGAGGGGCTTGCTTGCACAAGAGAATGAGATGGTGCAGAAAGCAAACAGCCGAGTCACGCATTTGCTTGTTTGTTGAATCGCCAGGCTTTTTTTTTTTTTTGGTTTCCAGTTTGGCCGGCCCAGTTTACCGATCTGAGTCGAGTTCGAAAGAGTTGTTACACCAAATCGAGTGGACGAGCTACGTCATCGTCATAAGTTATAAGATACACTGCCCAGCTTTCATCGGAGTCTCTGAGAACCAATTAAAGTGATCTTCTACAGGTTTTCTTACTTGTCGACCTTCGACGAGCACAGCGATGAGTGGAATGTGCATGCCTGGTGGAGGCGATTCTGCTTCGATCTGATACATCTTTACATACTATCGATCCCCATCAGCGCTTTGGGGGAGACCGGTGTTGGGGGATGTCGGTTCTGATGGGGGAGAATCTCATGAATGTGTTGGAAGGTCGTACAGGATGGTGTGTGTTTGTTTATGTTTGACCCTGAGGTTTGGTCATCAGCTCGAAGAATTTCAGCCACCTCTGCTTATATGTAGGCTCTCTCTTCTCTGATGGATGATGGATGGTGAGCTTTTCCTCAGCTTGAAAGTAGTTCTTCTCTCTTGGAGTGTGAGTTGGTGTTGGTTGGATGAGCTCCACTGGTCTGGTCCTCCTTGCCCAGAAGTGTCTGTCTGTCTCAGCCTGTTCCGGTGGAGCAGTGTTTGTAGAGATGTACAAGATCGTACAGTCAAGCCTGGCTGAGATTTGTGCCCACCAGACTCAGCTTTGATACAACGTGTATAAGGAATTGTATGTGTATACATACATCCTCTGACTCCCTCCTCCCTCTGACTACACATTTCTCTTCGGAGTCGAGTATCACTCCATCCATCCATCCAGCCTGAAAGAAAGGAAAAAACTCTTGCCATCAAACCATTCCTTCCCTTTCATTCCTTCAAAACAACAAAACAAACACACACACACCCCTACATAAACCACCCCACCCCACCCCACCCCACCCCACACACAATAAACTTAATAAATAAATAATAGACTATATAATAATAATACTACCTGCTCCCTCTCTCCCCTCAAACTTGATTGGCTTGCTTCCAACCACCTTCTTTCACCATGGATCTACTCAAGCTTATCATCTTCCTCTCATTCTCACTCACCCAGCATGTCCTGGCTGCCGGGCCTGCGCTCGGTGAGCTCGATCAGATCTACTTCGGCGTCTGGGTCGACCCCGATCTAGGCTTCCAGGACACCCCCGCCCTCTTCAACAGTCGACTCCAGCGCAATGCCTCCGTCTTCCACATCGCCCAGCGGATGCCCCTCCTGCCCTACAACTACACCACCGGTGTCGGTGGGCCCGCACCCGAGTATCTCATCGAAAACACTGCCACCGATGCCGCCGTCTTCCTCACCGTCTATCCCGCCGCACTCAGTGCCATCTCTGACGCTGATTACACCGGCCTCGGAACCCAACTACTGGCCTGTCAGTCTCTCTTTCCCATTTCTATCTACATACGCAGATCTATCTACTCTCTCTCTCTCTCTTCCCTCGCTTCGGCTCAATATATCCCTCCGACACACATGCTTCCTCCGATCCAAACAAATCATCTTTCCGATCAGTGTCGTTGGGAGACTGACTGACTTGAGTTGCTTATCAAATCCAATCTTAACCTTGAAACTCAGATACCAAGGATTTCAACCGAACAGTCTTCCTGAGATGGGCACCCGAAATGCAAGGCCGATGGAACGAGTAAATTCTCATTCATCCTTCACCAATCCATCACATCCTACTCACAACTCACTCCCTCTCTCTCTCTCTCCAGATACGGTCAACAGCCAGTGGCCTACGTTCAAGCATGGCAAACCATGTACAAAGCTGTCAAAGCGATTGCACCAGCCACGATCATCGTCTGGGCTCCCAACCTGGGGCACGACTATCCATACGGTCAAACGGCCAACATCGACCCAACCGATATGGCTGTCCTGGATACTAACAAGAACGGCGAACTCGACAAAGGTGATGACCCTTATATGCCCTACTACCCCGGAGATGATTACGTCGATTGGATCGGGATATCAGTCTGTCAGTCTCCCCAAACACACACCAGAGATCATTCCGCAACAGCCTCTTTATCAGATCACATGTACATAAACTGACTGAATCACAACAGATTTCAAGCAGTTCTCTCGTAACATCAATGCCGCCCAACCCGCAGGATTCTGTGCGGATATCCTGACGGGTATCGAAACCCAGACCCGAGTGAACACGGGCTTTGACTGGTACAACCAGTTCTGTGCCTCCAAGCCGACCAAGGCCTGTCTAATCGCCGAGTCGGGCGCGGCCTACCATCCGAATGTGGCCGGCGGAGCGACCGAGCTGGCTATCAAACAGGCCTGGTGGCAGGACTGCATGACCAACACCACCTTCATGCAGGCTTACCCCCGGATCAAGCTTCACATGCACTTCGAGTTTCAGAAGGTCGAGGCCGATATCGGTCCCCCCGACGTGCGTGACTACCGACTCACCAACACCACCGACATCCTGACGGCCTTCCAAACCGACCTCAACACCGTACAGAACAACTACCTCTGGTAAGGCATTTGCCCTGCTCTTTGATGATCTGAAGCTGACTCTTGATTGGGTTATCAAACGTAGGGCACAATACCGCCCGATCACCCGGCCGATCCAAGTCAATGGTCCCGGAGTCTCAGCCCCTGCCACCTCGAGCTTCTCCGTCCCCACCCTCGTCCTCCAGACCGCCCGGAACCCGCAGGTCTCAGGCCTGCCCACACTCTTTGGCGTCAAACGACACAGCGGAGTCGACAAGCGTCGCACCGAGCTCTCCCGCGCGCTCTGTGTCGTCGCCGCTTCCAGCCTCCTCCTCGTCTCCGGCTGGCTCGGCCAGAATCGGAAACGAGCCCTCCGTCGTCGCACACAGCCTGCTCCTTCCTCCGAGTGATCTTTCGTCCCCATTCTTGTTACGAACTTTTTCTTCTTCTATGGACTCTTTATATTCACTTTGCTCTTTTCAACAACAACAACAACAAAAACGACTCTCGATGGTTCCATCGAGACTCACTGACTTTTTTCTCTCTTCCTGGGCTCCATACCTTACCCCCCATTGCTTCTATCTAACCTCACGCTAGACTTCGTGACCCTTATCTCAAACACTTCCAAAAAAACAACTGGGTTTCATAGATCTACCTCTTATGATCGATCAACAGATATACCACATTAGATATTTTACCTTTGTTCATTTCCATTTCATTTCAAACAAAAAAACAACAAAAAATAGGTGTTACTGTTAACAAGTAATTCACCAACAAAAAAACTGTCAGCTCTTGGTTTTATTTATTTATTGAGGCTTTTATTACCTACTTTGAAGCCACACACTTCTACTTTATTTTGGGGTACTTTGATTCTCTCTCTTTCTCTCCCTTGGTTTTTTATCATCCAACTCCAATTCTTTTTATTCCCTTCTCTTTTCCACCTTTGTTTTTGATGTTTCTTTGAGTTGAGGTTTTCTTTGCTTTTCTTTGGTTTGCTTTGGTGATTCCCTTTGATATATGTATAATGATGATATTCTTGATGACCTTGATGATGATGTTTTAATTTCTTCTTTTTTCAGTTTGATTGTTTGATTTTCCTTCCTTTTTTTTGATTCTTCTTCAATTTTTTTTTATGGTAAGAAAAAAAAATTCTTAACAACAATGTGTGTGTTTTTTGAGAGAGAGACAGAAAGAAAAGAGTCTGGCCTTTTTGTTGTGTGATGATCAATTAATGATGCACTCATCAAAAGGACATGAACAACCAGCTCAAGGGTCCTTATAAAAAAAAAACTTTCTTTTGGTAGAAATTGTGACCTTCAAAAGGTCAAAGTCAGCATTCTGTAAGGGTTGTCAGTTTGGATGGGAGCTTGAAGGGATTGAGTGGAGAATGACAAGTGATATAAAGGGAATTCAACTTCAAGGAGTATTGGGCTGGTGTTGAGCTATATTGATGTACTTGTCACAGCGAGCTCAGAGACCTCAGTCTGTTTTTCTCTGGTTACTGAACCCAGAGGAGCAATCTCATCCATCCACAAACACTCCTCATCCACTCTCCCAGTGCCAATGAATAAACTTATAATAAAGGTTCTATTTCTGATGATAAGTAATATGAATGAAGACTTACATGAAACAGTATATGAAAAAGAAGGAAAGCATAAAATACCTCAAGGCAGAGACAACACAAGTGCATAGCTGGACAATGACACAAGAGTATGCTGATAACAAAGAGGCAAAGTAAGGAAGAACGGATATGGAAGAGGTCAGTTTGCTGCAATCAAGATGAATGAAAGAGGTATCGAGTGAGAACATACTAGTGCAGGAAGTCTTGCAAATAGGAGATGGAGATAGACCAGTAGTTGAAAGGAAGTGATGAGTGATTGATGAATTTGTTGAAAGGAAGTGATGAGAAAACAAAGAGCTAGAAAGGATGTTGTTGATCAGAGATGATTGACAAATAAGGAGGAACAGACAGCAATCAGAATTTCATATGATGATAGATGCTGATAAATGAAAAAAAAAAAGAAAAATGAATCATTGTTTTCCCTGAGGAACAAAAGATTGAGATGAGAAAGAAAGATGTTGATGAGATATCCAAGGATACTGGTGAGAGGAGGATCAAGTGGAGGTCTTGCAGAAGAAGAAAGAAGATCTGATCATTGTCTGAGAGAACGGAGCGGATTAGATGATGTCACAAGAGATTGGTCCACTAGAGTCATAGAGGTAAACACCCAGATTGCCGCTGATTGCTGGGCTCACCTAGAGTGTTTTTTGACAACATGACATTGGCCCTTGGGGGGCTTCAAACAGACTGTGCTGGGCTCAATTTATCTCAGACACTATGACAAGCTCCTCAAACCTTCCATAGCCAGCCATCAGATTCCTGAATCTGTGCACTTTTAAATATGTGCAGGGGATCTCATCATTGCAGACCCATATGTGAGACTCCCTGTGCTGCCTGTTGCTCACAAGGCAAAACAGTCCAGATCACAGAAGCTTGATTGCCACAACTACATTTACTCACAGGCCTGGCCCATTTCCTAGCTCAGTAGGGAATCCTTCTTCTCTGCTATCAATGGTAGGTGAGCTCTCTTGATTCTCTTTCTTGTTTCTCTCTGTGCTCTCTAGCACTCATCTTGTATAAGTTACTGAAGAGTGATTCCTTCTTCTCTGCTCCCAATGCTAGCAATACACACCCTGGTACTAGAATTCACTCAAGCCCATCTGCTCTCTAGTGCTCCATACATCTGTCAGTGAAGGATCAAATGTGATCCTTATAACACCATAGATTTCTGAGCAAAATTTGCACAAATCAATTGGGGTAGTGATTATCCAAATTTGGTGGGCCCAGGACCAATGGGGACTGAACAGACGCAGACCTCACAGCTCACATGGAGGTGGTTGATGTCAACCTGACAGTTTGGGGGATTCATTCTCACCCTGCTCTGCATTCCTGAGCATGTGAAGGTGTGAGACAGATAAGGTTTTAAACCTAGATCATCTGTTGGAAGTGGTACAAAAAAGGGGGTCTTTTTTTCTAAAGCTGCTTTCCTTTTTTTGCATCAGACTCTTTAGTCTTTTTTGCATCTGTGTCTCATGTTGTCTCACAATCTTCATTGCTTGCCTCAACCAACACAGCTCTGTTCTACCTTCTTTCATTTCTCTTCTGTTTGATTAGACTAGAGTTTTTTTTATCAGTTGTCATTTCTTGTTAGGTTTGCTTGTCTTTGCTCTCTTATTTAGTTCACCTTGGTTGTGCACTAAGACATCAGTTTGGAAAACCTCAGGTTTACTTGTCTTTGCTCTCTGGGTTGGTTTGTCCTAACACATTGGTCTGGAAAACCTCATTCCTAGGTTCTTGTGTTGAGTGAGTGATAGATAGATATGATTTCAGCATGGAAACACTACAACAGACAACTATTGCCAGTAATAAGTGTAGATACAGGAGCCTAATTCAGAGAAGCATATCTATGTATAACACTATTGGCATGTAACAGTTTGAATGTTACAGATAGCTCCACAAACTGTTCCAAAATTCCACTTCAAAATCAAGTTCTGGGTTGTTGTTTACATAATACACAACAAAGTAAGAATTTACAAGTATGTGAATGTGTATGAGAGTGTTGCATTTGTTGGAATTCTGATAGTTCTTATTCTTCCCAACAAAACAGCTGCTTCTTTAGTGGTCAGATCATCTGAAGTCCCCTCTCATCATAGCTATGCATGTCTGACCCAGCTTGAAGCACTGAGGAGTAAGGCTGATCAGCTCCCTAGGATCCATCTAGCTATACTTGTCTTCTTGTCTGCACACTCTCTTGTTTGTTCATATATTATCGAATTGTTTTATCTTTTCCCTTCATTTTTGCTTTTGCTTCCAACCATATCTTGATCATCTTTTTATCTAGTCTATTTGAACCAGATAGTCAATGGGGAATCTAAACCATTTCATTTGAATCTTGTGCCAACAACACTGCAACAAATACAATACACAGTTTGTATCACAAGGAATTGTACCAAGACATATGGCTAAGAGCCAGATTAAATGAATAAGACTCCCAATAGAAGCACATTGGTCATGAAATAAATTACATCAAGACTGTGATACATGCAAAAATACATGCCAATATATTGTGAATACCGTATTTGTTGCAGTGTTGGTGTCAACCTTGAGTTCCCTTATTAGAGAGGTGCATTGATAATTGCACTCCCCTCCCCTCTCCGCCCGCCCACACCGTCACCCCTCCAAAAGGGGCGTGCGATCACACCTGCCCGTCTCTGAGGGGCGGGTTTGATTGCACACCCCTCGGAAGCCTGATTTCCCAAGGAAACAGACTTCTGAGGCGGGCAAGAGAACCCGCCCCTCCAGGAGGGGCGGATGGACTTGCCCGCCAATCAAGGACTGTTGGTATCAGCTCGTCGGAAGGGATTCCTTCCGACGAGCTGGTTTGAAAACTGGCTTGCCAGGAGGAGCCCCTGCCAACGAGCTGGTGTGCATACCAGCTCGTCGGGAGGGGTTCCTCCCGGCAAGCTGATATGTACAGTCCGGTCGCATAGAATTCAAAAGTTTCTCTTTCAATGAGACGAGTGAGGAGGTGCTGGTAGAAGACTGGATACTGGTTTGCGCCGTAGATTTGCTGGTTGAATCAGTTGACAGGCTACTGGATGAGGTAGTAGATAGACTTCTGGATGAGGTAGTAGACAGGCCGCTGGATGAGGTAGCCTTGCCGATTGAAGCGGTGGAAATTCTGGTGTGAGGAGTGGGAGTGACGGGGGCCTCTTTGGATGGTTTTTTGGTGAGGTATTGAGAATAGATTGAATGAAAAGCGGATAATACAGTTCTTGAGGATAACAATCAGAGTCAATGTGATTGTTGATAGTCGCCATTACGATCTGGTTAAGACTAACAAGCACAGTTGTCAAAGGAACAAAGCCGTCAAATTAAGAAAGAAAAAAAATCTCTCCAAGGCTCAAGAAGATGTGTCTGATTGCTGGTGTCGATGAGACAATAATGGTATTTGCTTAATTGAAACAAACTTTTGAGAAAGAGAAGGGAATTGGGGCTTGTTTTGAAGTCAGAAACCGTCGGCTCCTCCGTCCCTTTACGACCCAATTTCATCGGTTAAACCCTTGTGAAAACTTCAGCAAAGGATTCTAGTCACCATAGAGACTAAGTAAAGGATAGGCTAGAGATGAAGCAAGTGTATGCGTATGTCCCCAATCCTCACCAATCCAAAATTCACTTCAAATGATCTGTGGGGAGAGAACCCGTCAGTCAAGAACCAAGAATATCTTGGTTCTTGATTGGTGGGCAAGTCCTCCTGCCCCTCCAGGAGGGGCGGGGGAAATCAGGCTTCCAAGGGGCGTGCAATCAAACCCGCCCCTCAGAGACGGGCGGGTGCAATCACACACCCCTTTTGGAGGGGCGGGGGCGTGGGCGGGCGGGGGAGTGCAATTATCAACGCACATTAGAGAGTGCCACTGAGTGTGTTCACAAACAACGGTGAAACAATGTGATGTGATGCGATAAATAGCCATGTATGGGTATTGCATTGAAAAAGTGATGCATTGCATCAAAAAAGCAATGCATTGCATCAAAAAAGCAATGCATTGCATCGAAAAAGCAATGCATTGCATCAAAAAAGCAATGCATTGCATCAGCATCGTATCGGAAAGCGATGCAAACCGATGCCACCAAATTATGGTGCATCGCTTTGCCGATGCGATACTGATACACTGTATCAAAGAATCCGATGCAAGCAATGTGATGAAGGGCCCTGCATCGCTCTTGCGATGTGATGCAATAAAGGCCCGATACGATGCGATACCTATGCATGCATTGCATCAGTTTCATCGTTGACAAAACCTCCCTCATCTTCTCAATCTCATCCTTACTTTCAAAATGAGGATTACATATTCTTATCAAACTTGAATTTTTGGTCCAATTTAGATTTAATTTAGTTGGGATTTGAATAATTTTTCATCATTCCTATTCCTTGTGTGTGGAAAATAATGGTCTAGCTATGCTATCAGTAGATTGTTAGTGTGGACCCTCAATCTAAACCTAACCCCAACCCAATAACCCCCTAACCCCCTAACCCCCTAACCCCCATCAGGGGATGGCCAGTGGGAATTGAACCCACGACCTGCTGGGTGGTCAGATTTTAGGGCCAGTGGAAACTGCTGAGCTACAGAGACTTTGTCTCTGCCTTTTTTTTGGAAATCTAGTCTGCTGGGGGACCCAGCCCTGGCTGCCCTTTGGTTCCAAACTGAAGATAATGGCACCATTTTCTCCGGTTTGGAACCAAAGAATTTGAGTGACACAGGTGCCTTCTAACTACACAGGAATTTTTAATAGGTAAAGATAATACCAATTCAGACAGAGTTAAATGTAGTAAATTTGGGACACTGGTTTCAACAGTGGGCCGCTACACTAAGCTGCTCTAAACAGCCCACTAATGTTAGCATAGCGGCCCGCGAAACAGCGCACCAAACCTGTAGTGTTAGCGCGCTGTAAGTGCCACTACGCTACACTACTCAGCCCAAAAACCGCTAAAATGTGCTGTAGCGCAGCGTAGTGGGCCCTTTTTTGTGGCCCACATGCACAGCGTTAGCGGTGTTGTGGTGGAATTCTGCTGCGCTATGCTTAACGCTAACAGGAATTCCGCTGTGTTACGCTACACTAACCACTACGGTTAGCATAGCAGCCCACTGTTGCTGTTTTTGTGTACATAGGTAAGCCTCAGTGGATTTGGCCCTTTGGATTAAACCCCTAAAATGAAGTAGGCATTCCCTCTCAAAATCTGGATTACTGCTCTGTGATAGAACATTTTTCCCAAAGAAACATCAGAATAGGAGCCCTGGTACTTTTACATGCTGTCCCACACCATTGCAAATGGTGGTGGAAAAGCTGTTCACATCAGTGTAAAATTACAACATATCAATCATCATTCTCCTCTATTTTTGTTATCAATATCAAGTTGTTATTAACAGCTAGTTGTGGATGACACATATGCAGTTGTCACTGCACTGTGTTACACTATCAAGACCAATGTTTTGGTGGGTGAAATGTTGGCAGTAGAATTAGAGGGGATATTCATGATGAGATTGCAAAAAAATTGAGTAGAGATTGAATTCTCTCACTGTAGATATTCTGAGTTACAAACAAGAGAAAGGAACCAATAATATTTAATTCCTTTTACTGCTTGATTAAACTAGGAAAATCAAACCATCACTTGATTAAATGTGCTCATTGATTTTTCTTGATATTATACATAGAGTTTTTATAAGTCTTGTGCATTATGGATCCAGCAGAGAGCTTGATTGTATCAAAAAAAAAACATACAAGAACAGCCAATGATAAAGTTAGATGAATGCTGAGATTAATGCATTGATAGAAAATTACAACATGGTACTACAGCAGTTCCCAGAAAGCTTGCTGTCGTGAGCTCCTGGGATCCCATTTTTTTATTTGTGCCACTCTTTTCCTTTTCTTTTTTGTCCTGTATGTGGCCTCTTGCAGGCATCATGGCCCAACTCCCCCATTTTTCAAGTTGAAGATATGGGAGTTGGACCACTGGATTCCTCTCATTTTTTTGAGTCCAAAAAGATCATCACATCAAGCATTGCCCAGCTCCCACCAGGCAGCCGGACTGATGCCTGGAGGCCTAGTGGGGCATCAGAAGCAGATTCGCAACCTGTACAGTCATGGGTACAGGCTACAAGGCACAAAAAAAGTGAGAAGAAAATAAAAAAAAAATTGGATCCCAGGAGCTTGCAAATGCAAGCTTTCTGGGAACTGCTGTACAAGAAAAAGTCAAGCAACTGGTGTGAGTTGACATGCAAGAGCTCAGAACATCCTCTTCACTGAACTTGAGTTCAAATATGATGCACACTTTAATGGTACATTGTTCTGCTCTCCCCCCCATCCCCTTTGAGCTCTCAGGGTGGCACCACCAAATAATGTCAACACACTGACCTCAGCTTGCATTGAGGTTTAATTGGAGCTTGCCACATGTCAACTGCTAGCAGCTGCTTGACTTTCTCTTGTAGTGTGGGGGAGTGACAACTTTTACTACAAAGGTGTGCCTCAGACATAGACTACAGTTGACCCATGACACCATAAAGATATGGCTCAGACATAGGCTACAGATTACTAGTTGACTAATTTTTATACCAACTTGGAAACTAGATGAAAAAAATAAGGGGAGAAAGGATCATGGACAGATAAAAGTAAGACCAAAGCAAAAACCACGCTTTAACAGTACCCACAACTACAGGTCCAAGCCACCTCATTTGTATAAATGTGGCTCTTAGGAGGGAGTTTTAATTTTTATTGGCTTTACAAGCACCATGGACCTCAAGTTGTGAGTTATCTCTCTGTAGGTTCCAAATGAGGAGACAACCACCAGAAAAAGTGTTGGATCACATGATCTGTAGGCGCAACAACATCACATCCCGCTGGTTGATGTTATTGTGCCTGTGGATCATGCAATTTAATACTTTTCACCTTGAATGAACAGTATTGGGTCACATTTTCCCTGGGCGCAATAACATTGCAACCCCCACATTGCCTGATAACATTGCAACCCCCCAGGCAATGTTATCGCGCCTGCGGAAAATGTGACCCAATACTTTTTCTAGTGAACTCTTCCTGATGTGAGAGTGAGACTTTTTCAGCCTAGTAGAAATTAAATGGACTGCACATGAGAGGATTGGTTACCCCTATACTCCTTCAGACAGCTCTTGTGAACATTCAAGTGAACTGTAGGTCAATTAAGTACGTAAGATAATTTTGGGATCAGCACAATTGGAGCACAGGTCAAAAAGCCCGGTTAGAACTGAACATGTTGCCAGTCCTGATGGTATATTTGTACTTTCTAGTCAGAGCGGGGATGGTAGTATGTGAACACAATGCTGCCTTTCTATATTTGTATTTAGGCATACAATTTGCATCGCAGATGAAGATTAAGCAAAGAGAAACACAAAAAGAAAATGGAAGGAGAACGACAGATACCGGAGACATGGGTCACTGGTAAATCCTTATTTATGAATCAGTTTTGGTTTGACGGCTGACCAGCCCATGGCACCCGCCGCCATTAGTGAAGAAGCAATGAACATCTTTTGGAATCCAGCTGCTCGAATTAATACAAGTAGACGCAAGCGTGATTTCATCGACAGAGAAATGTCCCATGTCGAAATAATTTGAGAATCAGTCAGATAGGGATAAAAGCCAAATGTTGGAAATAAGATAAGACCTTACCTGTGCAACGAAACAAAGCACCAGTTAATCCTCCGGCTATCACCGAGTTCCATTGATCATGTTGGCCTCGTTGCCGATCAAGCGTACAGTTGAAAGCATTGTACATCACAGCTGAAGAAGCGGTGACAAATCGAAAGATCAAATCAACAATTTGTTAATGTTGATTGAAGGTACTTCAAGTTCATATTCTTACCAAGAATCCCGCAGGTATTTCCGGTGAAACTACCCCTTCGGGTGATACCATTCAAGATTGCGTTTAACCTCAACCGCCAGCTGATCGAGCCTAATGAGCTTGAGTGAGTTGCCGATCCCGCACCAACAGAGGCACCCGAAGCAGCCGTACTCATTCCAGCAGCGGACCCAGCAGACGATAGACCGGAGGCGGACTTGGAGGGACTGTTGAAAGTAGGCATCGATTTGGCGACTCTACCGGCAGCGATGACCTTACTGCGTGACCAGCCTTCCTTGAATCCCCAGAGACCACCGAATGCTAGGCCGCCCACATAGACCGTCCCTGTTCCGTAGCACAGTTCATCACTCCATCCACGATTCGGCAGGACCGATTGGCTTCCGGCGATCGGCGACAGTTTGGCATCTTCGAGCGAGAGGTAATCTAAACCAGCGTTCACGTTGGAGAGGGGATGGAGACTTGAGGGTTGGGCGTATGCTGATAGAATCGGGTCCAAAATAGGTAGATTGAGTACACTGTCGGGAGGATGGTTTGGGCTTGACGAGTTCACCTAGAATACAATCATACTCAGCATCCAAGGATGTGTCAGAGAAGGTCTGAAGCCCTAACTCACCTTGCTATGGGTGTCGATGTGATCTGATGGGGCCTGTTGATTAACAGAGGACGAAGACGGGTTGGACATCGCGTATTGTTCCCAGCGACACTACTCGAAATTTCAGGGGTTCGTTCGGCTCGTTCAGTCTAAAGTTTGAGACTTGGTTTTTTTGTTCCCTGTTTCTTTTCTTGCTCGTGGAGGAGTTGAGTTTTTTTCAAAGTAGTTCCGTCTGGACTCTGGATGCTGACTTGGGGTTGATAAGTTTTGTCGTTTTGATGATGTGACCTATTTTTGGGACGGGGTTGAAGTTCCGGTGGTCCTGCGAACGTCGGTCGGACGGTTTTTTCGGAGAACACTGATACAGAAACCCAGCCAAATTGGATATGCATACAGCTTGGCCGCAGACAAACTGAAACGACTCGCCAGGAATCTCAGCAACATGTGGCAACGCCGCACCATGTGGCAAATGCCAACAATTCTCAATCAGCTTCTGGAAATCAAACTTCACAATAACCCTCAACTCGAAAGAGCATACACCCGAATCCCTATGATCCTCTCGCGGAGACCGTAAACTCGCTATGTTCATCGCATCGGCCAAGTTTGATCAGGGGAAACTACCTCCACAAACAGGCCCGGAACTTGAGTAAAAGTTGAAGTGCTACGATCCTTCCGCCAAGCTTTTTTTACATAAGACTGCAGTGTACCTAAGAGCACGAGCCTATTTGCATATATCAATTGAGGCGCTGGATCAACGGTTGCAGAAGGTTGATCATCTTCAGGCATCGCCTTCTTCATGACAGTCACAAGAGGATGGTGACGGGCGCCGGCCATGGCACTATCCCATGCTGTTTTGGCCGGCACGAGAGACTTTAAGCTTTGGAGGCTGGGCTATTTTTACCCCTCTCATCATCCCGGCCTCGTCCCCTCCATTCCCGGGGCTTCCTCTTTTACATTCGGCGTGGCAAACATGAAAGCTAAACACGACTCAGAAGATCCGACAATGGTAGTGCTTCCCGCACCGGCCAGTAAGAGCAAACTCGAAAGGAAGGCCATACGAAAGTTGGACTTCTTGTGAGTGGAGCCCGGACTGATCCATGTGCTATGCGGGATGAAGTTCTGCACGTGCTGAGACAATCGTTCCGCCTTGTTTATCGGGCCCAGACTCATCCCCCTTTTGGGGCTGTACTTTTTTTTGAGTTTCTTGGATCGAGCGAACCTGGGTATGTTCACAATGGACCTCTCCGATATCTTAACTGGCTGATCTGATTTTATGATGAGACTTTGATTTCTGGATCCAGGAAATGTGCGGATTGTTGGTGAGCAATACGCCTAGGCTGTTGGTATTTAATACCGATGTCTAAGCAGTCAACTTATCGTAACGGAGCGTCCCCCTCAAATGATTGTACCAGGACTGCAGAAGGACCTTGACATGTCAGACTATGACTACTCGATGGCATTAACATTGACTTTTATGTATGGAATTTTTTTTGCTTTGATTCGGTTCACAATACACTATCATAGTAGATGTATCGCCTTGGATAACTAATGATATTGTTCTCTTTGTGGGTGTCCTAAAGACCTTATATAGTTGAGCTAGTCTCTCGATACTTGGTCCCCAGTGAACGGCAGGCTTACTGATTTCGTGACTTTGAATTTGTTCCAGCTTGTTGACCTCCCTTCAAATCTATTGGTCGGTCTTCAGTTTAGCACATTCACAAATCTGAGACCAAACTTGCTTTTTTTTTCGATTGCCCACTCTTACCTCACCTTATTCCTATTCTTATGCATGGTTTGACAGATGCGTAAGATTGGTGCTGGAATATATATACCTCTGCTGGTTACGATTTGGGGCCTGGTGACTTGTTTGCAAGGTTTGGTCACCAAGTGAGTACCGCATCTCGGTTTAAAATTATCTGCAGTCTTTTCCGGACGTATCTTCAATCTGAGAAATACGTTTGTTTGGGCTAGCTACAAAGGACTTCTTGTGTCGAGGTCAGTCAGTGATATTTTAATGTTAAAGCATGAAATATGTCTTGGGAATGTACTTTGGGGAGAGAGAAAAAAAATTGATCCTCATTTCCGTCTGATTACGCTTCACTTTTTGTAGATTCTTTCTAGGCTTGGTTGAAGGTAAGTTCCAAGCAATGATCCAAGTAAACTCAACACTTACTGATTTGTTCATGCTTTGAAAGGTGGACTGTACCCCGGTACTGTGCTTTATTTGTCGACGTTCTATACAAGGTCCTCATTTTCTCTTGTAGTGTTTGACCCCTTGGTAGCTTTCCATTGCACAAAGCTTGGAAATTAAGAATCGTAGGTCCGATTTATATTTGCTAAAGCTATGTGCGTCTGAAAACAGGGCCGAGCTTCAACTTCGTATCGCGTTATTTTTTGGTACTATCTGTATGGCTGGAGTGGCGTCAGGATTGCTGACATATGCGATCATCAACCTGGATGGTCATTGGGGACACCCCGGTTGGAGTTGGGTTTTTCTGGTACGTCTTGAAAGTTACTATTACCACGCATTCTGAAATGAAGAGGATGTGGTTAAAATCAGCCATTCATAATCATCTTACCACTTCAACTTTTGAACATTGATTCTGAAACAGATCGAAGGCTTTGTCACATCGATTTGCGGTGTAGTTGGCTTCTTTATCCTGCCATCAAGCATTCATAAAGTGAAAATCTTGTCTGACGAAGAGAAAAGGTAGCTAGCCGATCCAAAGACGCCTATTCTTTTAGCTATGAGCAACTTTCTGAGACAACTGATTTTGCTCACGTCTGGATAGCTTTCTTGTCTCAAGATCAGAGAAAATCTGCGCTCCCAGTCTCGTTTCTTCGCCCTCCACTATCAAATACCCCCACAAATCAACTCTTAGCCAAGTCTGGGAAGCTTTCAAAAGCCCTCATGTCATCATTCTGAATATATCACAATTTGCGTGCGCATCAAACATCTTCAGCTTGGCTTATTTCACACCGACTGGTAAGTGAAAAAGTATTTTATCATAGTCCAGCGATCACGTTACCTGTAGGTTTATTGACTCACCTTTGATAAAATTCTTCTGATTTTTGCAGTTGTCCATACTGTCAGTTACGATCCAATAGTGACTTAGCCGCCGTCACCGATAGCTGACTTATATATTGTGTTTACCAGTTTGGCTACTCTCCCACAGATACCCAGCTGTTCACAGGTAATTTCACCCTTTCTGAGATTCACCATCTCGGGTTGAATGTTGACCGGATGCTTATGAGGGTAATCCAAATTACAGTCCCACCCTTTGCTCTAGGTTTCATTTTCCTCTTGGGATTATCATATTGTTCAGACCGGCATCAAGCTAGAGGCCTCATGGCCGGCATGAGTGCAATACTCTCAATTATCGGGTTCGCAATCTTCTATGCCTCAGGCGACGAAAAAGTGCGGTATGGCTCCTTGTTCTTGTCGATCCCGGGTGCATATGGTGTCACGCCATGTATGACGGCTTGGACGGCAGACAATAGTGCCCCTCATGTCCGCAAGGCAACCGCGCTCGCCTTTGGTACCATGGTAGGGAACGCCGGTGGTTTATTCAGCGTTTGGGTCAGTCTTCACCTACGTTTTTTTCGCGATGCTTTCAAAATCCGACGTCTCACTAATCTGGAGTTTTTCTCATGGTGCTTAGATTTTTACTTTGGGGCACAAGCCAAGATACCATCTACCGACTGCAATCAACTTAGCTTTGTGAGTTGAATGCCTTCATAAAATCGATTCAAGGAACTCATCAGAAGCAGTCATTAAAAAAGCTGATGTGTGTTTTTGACCTTCGCGATGTTGTAGTGGCGTAGTCATCGTAGTGTGCTGCGTGATGAACACATTGTGGCTAGGCTATGCACAGAGAATGAAAGTGACAAAAAGAAGCGAAATCTTGGCAAAATACACTCCTTCTCATGCCGATGGGGATGACGGGACGGAGAAGGAAGGGTCGAAAGTCCCCTCCAGCGAGCAGGAGATGTTATCTGCACAAGCTTGGGACCATCTGGGCGATCAGCATCCGGATTTCGAATATGTATACTAATGTGGACAATATGTGCTGTCTTTCTTTTCGGTGTTCCTTTCTCTCTTTGGTATCCTCCACACTCTAACTAGCACGATAAACTGTACACAACACATCTCCAGGCACACATTGATGTATTTGATGATTCACAACATTTCACAGTCAATTCTTGTATACAATGTTACTTCCTGATTAACTGTGTGCCTCTGAACATACTCCCAGAAAAATAAGGTGTAACAGAACAGAAAAAATCAGTTGTAGTTTTCTATTTCATTGGGTTGTACTTAGCTTCATTCTTTCATCATTGCCTGCCATTATTTTCATTCCTTACCATCTGTCAAATGTCAATTTCCAATCACAATATCTGTGGATGCAAGGTCAAGATAAACAAATTGAACCAGCAAGGGCTGAAATTTGTTCAAATCTTCAGCTTGAATCTGCCTACTCCAAATTGAGTGTTAACATCAAACAATCAGTTTGGTGTTCCGCACAAAAATGGAGTGCCCTTAAAGGGTGATCACCCCTCAAATGAAGAAGTGGATGTGTCTCATCTATGAGCATATGTAATCCACCCGGTCCTTCAAGGAAGGTACAATATGTCGCCCCATCAGGTGATGTAATCTGACTTGAAGTGAAAGAGACTGTGCTCAGGCGGGAAAATAAGTAAAAAATTATCCCGGTTCATAATATCTAAATTCTTCAGTTGTTGTTCGGCACTATGTATCAATTGTTTGTCAATACCAGTCATCATCAACGGGTGGGTGAGGATTGACCCTGGCACTTGATTTTGGATTGTGATGTCTGCCTTCTGCGCACTCGAGTGTGCCATCGCGCGCTTTGCGCCTAATTGTGAAGTTCATGCTCCAGGGACGCGTTCGTGATTGCGGGGCGCGATTCCTGTTCTTTCCCTCTCATTCAACCACCACCTTTTCAAAGCTTCAGACTACATACCCAGGATCTAGCTCTAATCCTTTCATCGTTTTTTCGCCCTCCAAATGCCTTCTAACTCGACCCTAACCCGAAAACAACATCTTGAAGCCCTCAAGGCTGCTCGGGCTGGCCAAAAACGCGATTATAAAGTAAGCACTAATCAGACATTGACTCCCGTCTGCAATCTAGCTTCGAGACTAACGAGATGAACATTACAGGCATCACAAGATGAAGCCATTTACGAAACCGTATCAGAAGATCAGTACAAGTCGATTGTGAAGGGACGACTGGCTGAAGATGATTTTATCGGCAAGCATGTTCTTGTCACATGTGACCCACCCTCCTGCTCAAATTTGGTTTGATCGTGTTACAGAGAACGACGATGACTCGGGATATGTTGACCAGGGAGTGAATGAATGGGAAGAAGAAGAGAATGACGAACAGCCCGTGAAACCCGCAAGTGAGTCATTGGACTAATGTGAATTTACGCATAATGCTGTGTCTCACCCCCCTCAAATCTTTGACAGGTAATCACCGCAAACCGCGAGATCGACAGTCGACGGCACTCCAATCGAGCTCAAGTGGTCGTCCAAATTCTGCCCTCCCTGCCACTTCGCACAAGAACACGCGCCCTGGATCAAGTACCCGAGCAAAAACTGTGGCCAAAGAGCCTGTAACTCTGAACGCTTATCGCAAAACCAAAGACCCTGTTGCGTCCGAAGGCTTCATGAATAATTTGTTGAGCGGACTCGGTCAAGACTCTTCGAAATCATCCGGCCCCTCACATCTCCCTAAGAATGCGCCTCATCAACCAAGTAGGCTACAGGGCTCCGAGCAGACCTCCGATCAGAGGAAAAGAAAAAACGAACCAAATGATACTCGTCTTGGTCTTTCCCCAACCGCTCTACGCAACTCTAGTCCTCGTAAGACGAACGGGATGCCTTCGTCATCTCCCCCTTTGGGCGACGAAGATTTTGCCAGAACAGAAAGCCTCGGCGATGGTTCCAGCGCTGGTATAGGTGGATTCCTCAGCAGTGAAGGAGTCGAAGAAGTCGAAAGAATTTCTAAAAAACCTCGTATCGCTACTCTGCACCATGATCTTGTCGACCTCAATGTGGAAGATCTGGCCATGGATCTGAGCGACGAAGAGAATTTGGACACACATGTGGATGATTTGAAAACAGACCCCAACTCCACCCCCACAGTACCTTGTAAACTAGTTTCTAAAATTGGAAAACATGGAAAGAACAGACGTCAACCACCCGGCGTTACTGTAGTAGCATCCGGTCAACATGACGTACCTTCGCAAGGCAACAGCAAACCAGCAGAAACCTCTAAGCCCCAAGGCCTGAATTGGCAGAAAGCGCTCCAAGCCCTACCTACAGTCTCCAACATTGATCCAGCTGTTGAGGCTCATCTCAAAGTACTTATTGAAGATAGTGAAGACAAACCACAATCATCTGAAACCCCCAACGCCGTTGTAGCTTCGACCGAAATAGACCTTTCCGAAACTACAGAGTTTTTGGCCAACATTCCGCGCAAGAGCAAAACTGCCCAAGGCCCACGGATCACAAAAAAAGCACTCGCGCAAGCAGAAGCTGATCGACATCTACCCAAGCCTACAAAGGTGGATGCATTTGTTCCTCAGCCGGCTACAGACGCACAGACAACCAACAAGCTTACAGAAACACCGACAGAAAATAGTCAAGGCAATCGACTCAAGTTTTTTTGGCTAGACTATCAAGAAGCCGAAGGTGTCATATACCTGTTTGGCAAAGTTTTTGATCAATTATCGGCCAAGCATGTCGCTTGCTGCGTGATTGTTGAAGGGATGCAGCGCAACTTGTTTGTTCTGCCTCGGCCCACCATGGTAGACGGTTAGTGAGGTCACCTGACTATAGGGTAGTTTTCTTTCTAATCCTTTCTGAATTTATGTAGAGGATGGAATTGAGGTCAAGCCGACGGAGGATGATGTTTATGATGAAGTTGAGACGGTTTTGGAAGCTCACCAAATCACAGAGTTCAAAGGAAAACTTGTCAAGCGCAAATATTGTTTCGAGGAAAAAGACATGCCTGCCGAGTGTGATGAGTGGTTCAAAGTCGTATACAGTTACACCAGTGAGTTGGCCTCGATTGCAGGATTTCCTCAGAATTACTAATTACCTGCTTTCGCCAGAGCCACCCATCGCGAGGCTTACAACCGGCAAGACGTTTAGCAAGATTTTTGGAACCGGAACGAGTGCTTTTGAATTATTCCTTTTGAAGCGTAAAATCATGGGTCCTTGCTGGTTGGACGTTCAAGGAGCAATCCCTAGTACACGGGCTACACCTGTATGTCCTTGCTTATTCACAATAGAGACATTCTTGACTCCTAGTGACAACTCGCTCAATAACCTTAGGCATCGTGGTGTAAACTCGAAGTCGTGGTCAAGGACCCCAAGCTAATCAATCCGCTCAGTGACGCTGATTCTACCGCAAAGGAGATTCCACCTTTGAACATTATGAGTCTTAGCATCCGGGATATCATGAATCACAAGGATAACAAGAAAGAGATTGTGTGTGTCACAGTACGCATGTGGCAAGAAGGTCCGTAATTTCTTATAAACTGGTGATTAAGTAGCAGGAATATGATGGAATTTAAGACCTGGATCTATTTGCCTGGGTAACACAGCCAATTTAGAAGACACCACACCGATTGAACAGCAATCATCGGTAGTGAAAACCTTTGTGAGGCCATTGGCCTCCTTTCCAGCTGGCACTCATGAGGCCTGCCGTCGATCAATGCCTCCTATAACGCCGGTAAAAGAGGAGCATATGTTACTCTCTATCCTTCTGGGCACAATCAACTCATATGATCCGGACATCATCGTAGGGTATGACCTAGCAAATGTCGCATTGGACGTCATCTTACATCGTATGCGAGACCTCAAAACCTCACACTGGTCCAGAATCGGTCGGATGCGACGAGAAAAGCTTCCATCGCTACGCACCGGGGGATTCAACAATCATCTGCTAACCGGCCGCTTAGTGTGTGATCTTAGTAGTGATGGTTTCAAGTCGATGGTCACCTCAACTACGTGGTCATTGACCGAACTTTGTCAGAAATATCTGCAGATAACCCGGGAAGACATTGATCCCGATGAAATTGTCAATTTCTTTGATTCGACCTCTGCTAAACCCGATCGTATCATCAACTTTATCAAGCACTGTGAAGCCGACTCGTATTTTCAAATGGCTCTGATCAACAAGGTGCAATACCTAAGTTTGACCAAACAACTAACCAATTTGGCAGGAAATAACTGGAATTCAACTTTGCACGGAGGTCGTGCGCAAAGGAATGAATTTATCTTGTTACACGAATTTCATCGTCACAAGTTTATATGTCCGGATAAGTTGAGCTTCAATGACCGAAAAACGTTGGCCGCAACTACAAATACGACGGGAGAGCAAGGCGAAGGTAATGGCGGCAATAAAGCCATCAAGAAGGACAAATATAAAGGTGGTCTTGTGTTTGAGCCTAAACGGGGATTGTGGGACAAATTCATCCTTGTGATGGACTTCAACTCCTTGTATCCCAGTATCATACAGGAATATAACATCGACTTCACCACAGTCAATCGTGCCGGTTGCGATGTCAGTGACACTCACTGTCTGCGGTCAAAAGAAAGAACTTTTACACTAACTTCTGTTTCTATGTATTGCAACCTTAGGACGATGAAAATGATCAAATTCCCGACCTTCCGCCCGCTGACATGAAGCAGGGAGTGCTTCCTAGGCTGATTGCCACATTGGTCAACCGAAGACGAGAAGTCAAGAAGTTGATGAAAGCCCCAGATACACCTCCATCAAAGATAGCACAGGTACATATGGCTTTCTCAGTGTTGTTGTTCGGCAGTACTGATGTTCTGACCTTGAACACATTCACTATAGTACGACATCAAACAAATGGCTCTGAAGTTGACTGCAAACTCGATGTATGGATGTCTTGGTTTCGAAGGGTCTAGGTTCTATGCGAGGCCTTTGGCAGCGCTGACCACATCGAAAGGGCGAGAAATCTTGACCAACACCCGTGACTTAGCTGAGAGTCAGAATCTTGACGTAAGTACCCGCACGAAAATCCATAAAATAACTCACATTTAAATAGACACGTTGATTGCAGCGTTCCATTTGGTTTATTAATCCTACTGCAGGTAATTTATGGAGACACCGATTCAGTCATGATCAATACCAACGCATTGGACTTCGCAGCCGCAAACAAGATCGGAAATGAATTCAAGAAACTGGTGAATGAGCGATATAAACTGCTGGAGATTGACATCGATGGCGTGTTTGAGCGGATGCTGCTGCTTCAAAAGAAAAAGTATGCAGCTCTGAAAGTCGATGCCATGACTCAAGCCCGGATCGTCGAGGTCAAAGGCTTGGACATGAAGCGAAGAGAGTATTGCAAACTGTCCAAGGATGCTTCTCAGTTGAGTGCTTGGAATTGATCTCAATGTTCAATCTGGATTTTTATTTAACGCTTACTGGATATCATTTCTGAACCTACTGAATAGGTATATCCTGGAACAGGTATTATCAGGTTTATCAACAGAACTTGTGGTGGAAAAAATCCACGAGTATCTTACAGAACTTGGGCAAAGCGTGAAAGACGGAAAGAAGGAGCTCGACGACTTCATTATCCACAAGAAACTCGGGAAAGACCCTAAGGACTACCCGGACGTCAAGTCACAGCCGCACGTCCAAGTTGCGCTGAGAATGAAGCTCAAGGGCAATGTGACCCCCAAAGCGGGTGACGTTATACCTTACATATTTTGCCTTGGGGAGGATGGTAGCTCAAGCACCCGATCAGCTCAGGCCGATAAAGCTAGGCACCCGGATGAGTTGCGTCTTGCAGATAGCCCTTGGAAAATCGGTGCGTCAATGCATCTCTGTTTGGCTTGCGTAGTCCTACAACATGCATGTGCTGATATTGAACCGAGTGGCGATTCCAGACTACGATTACTACTTATCACTGCAAGTTTTACCCCCGATTGAGCGTATGTGCGATCCCATTGAAGGGACGGATCGCTGTAGACTCGCAGAGTGCCTTGGTCTGGACCCCTCTCGGTTCAAGAATATTGTCGCGACTGGTCAAGATTCGCAAAGGGAATTCCACACCCTAGATTCCCAAATCCCAGACACAGAAAGATTTTCAGGCACTTCGCCATTCGAAGTGAGGTGTCGCCATTGCGGTGAAAAGTTCGAGTTTAAGGGTGCACAAGCCGACACGGTAAGTTTCGGGGTTTTTCTTAACGTCATGAGAAAAGCGATTGACGTTCTTGGGTTGTGACTTGCCAGGTTGGCATGATATCACCTAGTGGATTAAATTGTCCAAATTTGGAGTGTCGCAAACCGCTCGGGGTTCCATCCATGGCCACCCAATTGGAAATTCAGATTCGCGAGTTCATTGGGAAGTTCTACGAGGCTTGGTTGATTTGTGACGATGCAGCCTGTCGAAATCGGACACGTATGATGTCGGTTTATGGGCGAAAATGTTTGAATACAAGTATGGGATGCAAAGGTCAAATGAGTTACGAAGTATGTATCCACTCATCTTCGTCGTAGTCCGTAGTACTGGCTTGCATCAGCCTCATTTCACATTGATTTCGGTTTGCTCATGTGTGGTTCTCCTCTTTGACTGGCAAACAGTACACCGATAAAATGCTATATAACCAATTGTTGTACTTTCATAGTCTTTTCGATCCTTCAAAGGCTGAAAGCAAATTCAAGGATACGTCTAAATCAGGCAAGCAATTCTTTGAACTTAGCCAAATGGCTCTGCAATAACCGCTGATCATTTTTTCCCCTTGATTGCTTTTGTCAATTGCATAGATATGATAACGAAGACTTTACTAGTGAACCAACAAGCTCTCGCCACAATGAGGGGAATCGTCAATCGATATTTGCAACAGAATGCCAGACGATTTGTGGCCATGGATACCTTGTTTTCTTTCATGACGATCAGAGGCCTCTAGGAGATCCATATCGCTGTAATAATAGTATCTATTTCTAGTTTTGTAACTGTTTCATCATTCTTGCCCTCACTCCCCATTTTAGAGGAAAGCAGTAAAACTTTGGTCATGTTCAGGGTGTTTTGTTAGTAGTCCTTATTCATTCTTCACTTGTTTAAATGTCATCTTAGTGGTGCGAACTAATCTAATCTCATAGACAACTCAAAATTTGAAACATGTGTACCTCCCTTTTACCTGCTGGCAATTTGAGTCTTTGAACCACAGAAGCAGGATTTAAATCTGTTGAAGTGCCGGGATAGACTCTCTTAAGACATGCACAGCACTTGGCGAATATCTGCTGCAAGAAAAAAAAGGGCTGGTAGTGGCTGGAAAGAAAAACTGTACAACATGACGGATGTATCCCAAAGGCTGTTAGCACCAGCCGAGCAGCGGGGGAGGGTCTCCACTTCATCCATGTCTTCATCAGACCGTCGACCTGCAAAGTTCTTATTTAGGCTCCTGCCTTTTTCCTCAAACATTATCAAACAACCTCAAACTGCGTATGTATCAATCAACATTTAAATCAGTACTTCATGATCGAACGTAACCCAATCCCTTTTTTTGCTTTGTCTCCTGGAAGTATTGGCATTGGAGTTGGCTAGGCCAACCATTCAGACAAGAACCCTGCGGGGCCCGTAGTCCAAGAGGCTAGTAAGTTGTGTCAAACCTCCTTCATAATGAGTATAGAATCAAGCATCGGCAGTGCCGTGCAAAGTCAACCAGACTCACACTTTGTATTCCACATTTTGCTTTGTTGTTATCTGCGGATTTCAAGTACACTTCAGTCTACTTCAGTATTTGAAATGAGACTCCACTCTTATCAGTACTTGTGGGTAGGACCTAGACTGCAGTCACTCAGTCACGCTTTTTCATCATACACGATCATGCAATCTCAAACTGTGTATGTGTCCATAACCAATCACGTAAATATACTTACCAATCGATCTTAACCCAATCCCTGTTCCCCTTATCTCCTGGAATTGCCCTTAGAGTTGTCCCCACCGACCAAAGTGAGATAGAAACCCTACAGGACCCCTAGTCTAAGAGACTTGTGCTATACTTTCTCAATAATGAGTTTAGATTCAAGCATTGGAAAGTGCCGTCCAAAGTCAACCAGACTCACACTTTGTATTATTTTGCTTTGTTGTGATCTGTGGAGTACCGGCTAGGTACCCTTCAGGTACCTGAAATGAAACTCCACTCGAGTCTTATGACTACTTGTTTGGTGGACCTAGACTCCAGTCACGCACTCAGCACTCAGTCACAAGTTTTAAAAGGCCAGCTTTATCCATCATCAATCCTCAGAAACCACAGGCACTCAGCAACATTGTTTTGAATCAACACCTGCACCTGTGACTTGGGTAGTTATATTACACCCTGAAGGTAAGTTTTGTTTTAACATTCAAATCAATCACCTTCTAACTTACTTGTGATAATGAATATTTAGAAAGACCTGTTTTATCCCCCTCAACCATCTTCTACCCTCGGCATGACCCTTGGAAACAGACAACATACTTTTTGAATAAAGTGGGTATATGTTTCTCTCATCAGACCAAAAGCAACATGCATGCTTATTTTTGCACAAAACCTATTGGCACACAGTTTTGTCATGTGGTGCCAATTTCTCATTGTGGCATTGACCTTCACCAGCATCCATTCTGTTTACGGTCATGAATACATGAGGGTCTTTCCAGGTTTGGATGGCATTACTCATGTTCAGTATTCAAGCGTCTTACCAGGATCAAACATGTTCCGGGAGAAAAATGTTAAAACAGCAAGAATACGTACTAAAGACTTATATCCCTTCTTCAAGAATATTGATGAAGGAGAAAGATTAATGCAAGTTTTCACAGAAGCTGAAAGTAGAAATTCAGGCAATCATTTAGGTTATTACATAGTAGCAGATGAAGCCCCATTAGCTGAAGCATTACATTGGTACCAATTAGATCCAAGTGTTATCCCTGTTGCTGCTGACTCCAGCATATCCATTGGAATTAATCAAGTGATCAAAAAATTCTTAAAATGATAAATTTCCATCTAGGAATTTTACCCAATACCACAGATTACTGCAGCAATCTCTATTGTTTTTTCATCCATGTTTATATCTGATTGATATGCTCTTCCATTTCCATCATCATTCTGGATCCAAATAACCAGATTTCTTTTACTCACAGAAATTCTTGATGCATACTCTTCAAAGTGGTTGCTTTTTTGAAACCCTTAGAATGCCTTTCTGTATTTATTTTTGAGTATGCATCACTTGTGGTCCACTATGAAAGTCTAAACCATTTGATTTAAATACACAAGCAATATCTACACTCCCAAAACTTGATAATTTTGTCCAGGGCAATATCTAGTACACTCCCAAAACTTGATGATGTGGTTCAGAGCAATATCTACACTCCCAAAACTTGTTGTTTTCCAGAGCAATAATCAACCACTTTCTGATGACCAGTGTACCAACCACCCTATGGGGAATATTCAATCAATATTTACAAAAGGATGCCAGGCAATTTTTGGCAATGAAAACCTTGTTTTCTTTCATGACAACCAAAGGCCTCTAGGATACCCATATTGCTGTAAAAACAGTATCTATTTCCAGTTTTGCAACTGTTCCATCATTCTTGATCTCCCCTCCTTTTTTGCAGAAAGCAGTGCCACATTAGTGGTGTTGATGGTTGTTTGAATTCCGCTGTTGTAGTGCTTCTCTCTCTCTCTCTCTCTTCTCTTTCACAACAATGTCACTCCTTTTCACATCTTTCACTCTTTTTCACTCCTTTCCAGATGAATATTCCTTTTCACCTTCTTTCCCACAACTCAGCTCACATTTTGCATGTAGATAAATAGAGTGCCACATTGGTTTGAATTTTCTTGTCATGTTGGTTCTCTCTATCTTCTCTTTCACAACAATATTACTCCTTTTCACATCTTTCACTCTTTTTCTCTCCTTTCAAGATGAATATTCCTTTTCACCTTCTATCCCACAACTCAGCCCACATTTTGGATGTAGTTAAATATTCATTCTTCAGAGTTACAAAATGAAAATCATCAGTATTCTGCAAACCTTTCCCTCTGGTGACTACAAGATACAACCCCTGTAGCATGAGTGCTTTTACACCACACAAACTAGCAGCTCTTAGCCCTTTTTTAGGGCTCTTAGACCTTGTTTTTCCTTGTGCCTTTCAGCCTTAAGATTTGTTTCAGGTCTTTCTTCCCTCCCTTCTTGTTGTGAAATTTCATCAATTTGTTTTGCTAGTTATCATCAATCTTTATTTTCTTGTTTAAAAGTCAAATGCCATACTAGTAGGGCAAACTAATCTAATCTCATGACAACTCAAAATTTCAAATATGTGTACCTCCCTTTTACCTGTTGGTAATTTGATTCTTTGAAAGAAGCATTATTTAAATGTGTTGTAGCACCAAGATAAACTGCCTTGAGACATGCACAGTATTTGGAACATAAAAAGAAGGCCAGTAATGACTGTTCAACAATTACATAAATACTTCATAAGCAAACTTAATTGAATTCCTTTTCCCTCATCACTTGGAATTGGCCTTGGAGCTGTCTATGTCAATCAAGGTGAGACAGGAATCCTGTGAGGCCTGCTGTCCAAGTGGCTTGTGCTTAACAGTTAAGCACAAGCCACATGGACAGAAGGCTTAACTCGCTCCATAATGAGTACCAAGAGGTGTTGTGCAAAGCCAGTATGTAAAGCACACTTACGCTTTGCAGTGAATTGTGATCTGCGGATTCTGATCAGTACCAACAAGTCCCAGAGATGAAACACCACTGTCATGATAATTACTTCCTGTACTGCAGTCAAAACGCCTGCTTGTCCCTCCTGGGAAATTTTGGCAACTTCCTCTTCAAAACCTGAGCGCCCTCAATTGAAAGCTACAAATCACTCGAGCAGTACCATAGCTAAAATCTCAGAAAGCACAGTCATTCAGCATTTTTACAGCAAATTTGAGCCCATTCTTGCGCACTACACTTTTCCACAACCTGTCGAGATTAAGTACCTGCACCTGTGAACTGAGTACATAGTCATATTGCAACGTTGAGGGTAAGTTGTGGATTAAAATTGAAATCAATCGCCTGTTAGCTTACTTGTGATATCCAAACATTCAGAAAGAAGTGTTTCATCCTCCTTGACCCTCTTCTTTACCTCAGGCTTGACATCATTTTTGGTAATAGACAACAAACATTTTCACTAATGTGGGTGTCTTCTGCCCTCATCACACCAAAAAGGGATCCGGTGAAGCATACATGACTGATGATATATTTGCGCTTAAAACGTATTGGCGAGCAGTTTTGTCATGTTTTTTCGATTTCTGATTGTGGGATTGATCTTCAATACGATCCATGCCCTCAATGAATATCGATACATGAGGATCCTTCCAGGCAAGGACGACACTTATGTGGAGTATTCTAGCGACATTCCGTCGCTTGACAAGCACAACATACAAAGAGAGAAGATCCCGACCCCAAAGTTATATGCTGTCTTCAAGAGCCTCGATCGTGGCGACTACATCATTCAAGCTTTTCAGACGACTGCATCGGGACTTTTAGGCAACTACATCGTAGCAGATACGGCTCCGCGAGGGAGCCATTGGGGCAAAGTCGATCGTTCTGGGTCTTCTTGTCCACCCTTCGATCCCAAGACATCCAAGAAGATCAACGATGTGATCAGTCAAGTTTTAGAGGGTACCATCACCTTGCAGGATGTTCCCCCATATTCCAATAGTCAATTAATGTTGGAGAAATCTGCTGTTTTTCAGCCTCAATTAGATCTGATTGGAATGCTCAGCCTTCTTTTCCTTCACCATATTTTCCGCACCCTGGTTATACCTGATCACTTTTGCTCATAGAATCCATCTAAGCTTATGCTCTCCAGTGATCACTACTGATGTACCACATACGCTTAGCATAACTTCTTGTGCTTGATGAATGCATTATACATAATGTGATTGGAAAGCTACTGGAAATTGTTTTTTCTTGAAATTTTGTCCTACCACTAGGGAAAAATGAACCAGGTTTAGAAAAGACCAAATCCAATCAACCAAGCTGATCTGTGGTTTCTCCCACCTCAAATAACACTTTTGTGAATCCTTTGGGGCTACTGTGTCCTTGAATAGGTACCATCTATGGTGAAATCTTGCTAGAATTGAGTTGTCTTGGAAAACCGGTTTTCAATTGGACCCAAAAGCATTTCATATTTGCTAAAATTGGCACTTCTTCCATTACTCATTGCATCCACAAGGATAAATGTGTCAAAATGCTAACCTCATGAATCCAAGGTGTCCATCTGTTGTTGTTGACAGAATTTTATAATCTAAAATCTCTGAAGGGACTTCATGCAAATTTAAGCTTGGTGGATGCTGGGAAGTCTTTCACTTTCCACCACTTGCTTGAAGACTCTATCCAAAAGATCTCATATACAATTTCAAAACACATCATTCAACGGTGTCTATCATCCAAGGGTTTCTAGGAGGTGCAAGCTGAGGTGCGCAAGATTGGGAGGAGTTAAGCAGTATGAAATGACTATTGTGTCAGGTGCCAACTTTGATGACCCACAAGGTGAGATGGATTGAGGGGCTAGGGGCTCCTACTTTGGGGGGTGGTATGTTTCAGGGGCCAAGCAAACCATGGAAGTCCTCGTCAAACCCCAGCGTTTCGACCGATTTATGTAGTTGGCCTGACCATTCCTATCCAAAAATAATCTTCGCTTAGAATATAGAGGGATCCGATTGAAACTGTCTGAGGGAAGAGTGAAAGCAAACCAGAAGCAACGAAGTCGAAGTCGAACGGAATGGTATATATCATCTTACAATGGTTTTCAGGTTTCATCTCATTTCAAATCAACTTTCAGAAGGTCTTGATCCTTATTGCCCTTTTAGCATTCATCTCATCGTGGACGTACAAGCTCAAGGTCCTCAACAAGTATTCATTCCTGCCCAAGACACCTCAACTTACCAAGACTTTCAAGAACCAAGATGCATCCCGTGATCTCAACCCGAACCTACTCCTAAATTCAAAGCAACTCTTCAGTAATCATGACCATTTCAACAATTATCTCGATGAATTTCTCAGTGCCATCAGAGTCTTTGGATTCCTAGAAAAACCAGTTTTTCATGAACTTGCCCGCCATCTCCAAACTCGCCGATTATTAGCAGGTGACACGCTGAGCTTGGACGAGGATAAATCATTTTATATTGTTGTCGAGTTGAGTGTTTCTTTTAATTATTACTGTCTTGATAATTTGCTGATTTTATGATTCCCCCCAAAATTCACAGCGGATCTGTCCAAGTCTTTGCTCAAACATCTGATCGGGCCCGTCCAGGCCAGAACCCCGGTTCACCAGCTGGCGACGCATATAATGATCGACTGGCGTATGACAATGAAGATGATAACGGCTTTCAACTATTGAATGTTGTTGAATCCGGTGGAACACTCAGCAGTCTTTTTACAATCCTCAGCCTGTTGACTGAGGGCGTCAAATTGAGATACGAAGAAGATGAAGGCCAGACCGACCAAGCTTTTTCGCCAGACTTCGTCGATCACTCCCCGCAGACATCTCAAGGACAACCTCATCACATACCGACTGTTGCTTCAAGTCCATCAGTTCTACCCCCCTCAGCTTCAGCCGTCGACCCCGAGAACAACCCCGGAGACTGGCACGCCATCAATCCCACCGAGTCGGTCCCTCATGATGGAAGAAAGTTTCCTGATTGGAATAAAGATACTAATGAGGATGGCGGCGATACAGATGATGATGGGCAGTCGGTGGAGACCAGTCGGAGAAGTACTTATACTTCAAAAACTACCACTCGCCAATCACTCGATCGCGCTGGATCACGCCAAGCACTTAGGAAGGACGCTTCGCAAACTCATCCCGCTTCCGGGACTATCAATCAAATGCCAGATAGAGACTGTGACTATGGGTTCGCCCGGAGAACTGATCCCTATGCAAGCTTTAGCCCAACTCCTCAGCATCATGGCCCTTCCTATGCCACAGATCCAACCACAAAAAAGCCACGCGAAGCCTATTCCAGACACATCCGCGATCAAATTTTCGAGAATGCTCAACCCAAAGAAGCGACTATCGCTAGAGCAACCAAAGATACGACTTTAGCTGTCATACCTTCCGAAGCATTCAAACGATTGACTTGGAAGTTTCCTAACGCTGTAGCGCACATTGTTCAGGTCATCTTAGCGCGTCTACAGCGAGTCACTTTTTTAACATCTCATCGATATCTGGGACTCACCAAAGAGCTTCTGCGAACCGAAAAAGCGTTCAATGAAATTGCATGTTATCCACTACCTCCATCATTTTATGAAGATGGTGGGATGATACGACTGCGACATCGGTTCATGCCGAGTAGCAAGCTCACCGATGAACCTTATGTTCTGGCTGGAAGTCACATGAGCTCAGACTACCACATGAATTCGGGTCCCCGTTCCTCAATGAATGAATTCTTCAAACAGCCCACGACTAAGACTGAGCCTCAGCAACCATGGAATGACCTTTACATAGACATTTCCAGATCTACATCCCAAAATGGCCCCTGCAGTCCAGATTCTAGTGGTGAACAGTATCCAAGGCGAAGGTCTCGACACCGATATAGTAACCTTTCGCACGATCTATCTGCTCCATTCCAGATGCCCTTTTCCGCGACAAATCATCTACACGAAGATCTTGCGTTGCGGGAGTTAGTGATGAAGAGCATCGCCAAATCGATCGGCTTGGTCCAACAACCACCGCCCAAAAATCGCGGGTCTAACAAAGGCTCAGTCAGTCACATCCATTCGTCGTCACCGACTCCATTCTCCAGTGCATCAAGAGCAGGCTTCTCACCTGAACCCTCGATTCAGGGTAGCGGTGGTGGTGGTGGTGGTGGTAAACCAGCTCTTCGGCCTGGCTTTCGCTCAGGGCTAGGCTCATTGTCGTATCTCAAAACATTGGGAGATTCTTCGCAAGAAAGACGAGATGAATTTCAGGACACCTCTAGTAGTGTGGCCTCTTCATCGGCACTGCTGGATGAGGAAGAAGAGAAAGAAGACTTACCAAACGAAGTTGAGATCATGTATTTCCCTCAAGATAGTACATTGGTCAAAGCGGGTGAGCGGAATGCGGGCTTGTACTTCGTGATCGATGGCTTCTTGGATGTTTTCATGCCGCCGGAACACGACAAGATGAGTCCCAGTAACACATCCGCCGAGAAACCCACCTCGTCATCGAAGAAAGATCACCCATCGAAAGCAAGAAATGTCTCGGATGATAACGAGTTCAGTTATCTCAGGAAGGACTATGTGAAGATGCAAAAGTCCAGATCTACGAAATCCACTCGAAATCCGAGCAAGTCCTCGGCTGCACCGAAGCCCACGAGCCAAAAATCTCAACAGAAACCTGCGCCGAAAAACGAGCAAACCAAACTGTTTACTATCAAGCCCGGCGGAATCGCCGGATACCTCGCCTCGATCTCCGGCTTTCCTAGTTACGTTGACATTCGGGCTAAAACTGATGTTTATGTTGGGTTCTTGTCGGCTAAAGCCCTCGAGCGCATTATGGATCGGAGACCGATCGTATTGCTGACCCTGGCTAAGAGATTGATTAGCTTATTGTCTCCGTTAGGTTCGTCACCAATTTCACATATCAGTTCAATGTGTTTCTTATCGCGGAGGCTTGATAGACTGAGTGTGCTGAATTTGTTTCTTTAATTGCTTACCTTCAATCAGTCCTTCACATTGATACGGCGTTGGAATGGATGGCAGTTGACGCTGGTCAAGTAAGTTCTTGTATTTACCTCTAGTTACTCTTTCAAACCAAGCCTCCCATTACTCGAGCCTTTCTCATTCGATGGGTTGCTTGGTTTACTTTGTAGATCATCTATCGCGAAGGAGACAACAGCGACAATTTATACATTGTCATTGGTGGTCGACTACGTTCTATTTCTGAACAAACGGATGGTGGAGTGGAAATCCTAGCCGAGTACGGACAGGGTGAAAGTATTGGTGAATTAGATTGCATCACCAACACTAGTCGAAAGTCGACCTTGCACGCGATTCGAGATAGTGAACTGGTCCGAATCCCGATGACTCTGTTCAATGCGATTTCGATCAGACATCCAGCGATCACCATCCAAGTCTCCAGACTGATTGCCTCTCGAGTCCGTCGAGAAGTTGACGCCAGCAAGTCGAACTCTCTGAAGAGTCGATCGCACGGGCCCGATTATGCTGTGAGTACGAATCGGACGGGCATGCCTGCACCAGATGAGCCTGGAAGAGGTTCGATCCGTGAATTGGGGATGAGCAATTTCAATCTCAAGACGGTCGCAATAATCCCCAATACCAAGGAAGTCCCGATCGTCGAGTTTGCTACCAGACTTAAAGCCGCACTCAGCCAGATGAACGCAAGCACAAAGATGTTGGACCAATCTGCTATCTTGTCCGTCCTCGGACGGCACGCGTTTAGTCGATTGGGCAAGTTGAAATTGACTGGCTGGCTCGCTGAACTGGAGCAAAAGTTCAGAATCGTGCTATACGTAGCTGATACAGCCGTTAATGCGCCTTGGACCCAAACATGCATTAGACAAGTGAGCGTGTTTCCCGCTTCAAATTCAGTTCAACTTGACCGTACATCTCGGAAAGATGCTGATATCGTTTGCGCATCAATCAATCGCAAGGCTGATTATATCATGGTAGTATGTGATGGAGGAAGTCAGCCTGAAGTCGGGGAATATGAACGACTCTTGAGTAGCATGAAAATTACTGCTCGAAAGGAGCTGGTCCTTCTTCATCCCGATCGCAACGTGCCTGCTGGATCTACCCGACCTTGGCTCAAAGTAAGAACAAAAAAAAATCAAGCAAATGAAATCAGATTGCACAACATTATTTGACTATGGGAGATTGACAATCAGGTTTTCGTGATAAATCTGTAGAACCGGCCATGGTTGCATGCCCACCATCACGTTCAAATGGCCGGCGCGACGCCTCTGAACAACAATCATCTCGACGAACTTCTGCCATTGACGGCATTGAGACAACTGAAAAGACGAGTGCAGACGCGCCTATCGAAGTATCGAGGCTACCAGATGCCCAGCGAATTCCAGATCATCAAGCGAGGCTTGGCCAACAACGACTTTGCTAGATTGGCCCGCCGACTATGCGGCAAGTCGATCGCAGTCGTCCTAGGCGGCGGGGGAGCCAGAGGGATCAGCCACATCGGGGTCATCAAGGCCTTGCAAGAAAATAACATCCCCATCGATATGATTGGGGGCACATCAATTGGATCCTTCATTGGCGGCTTGTACGCTAGAAATTCTGACTTGATCTCCACTCTGGGTAGAGCAAAAACCTTCAGCGCTAGGATTGCTACCTATTGGAGATTATTGACCGATCTCACTTATCCTGTGGTCGCGTATACTACCGGCCACGAGTTTAATCGGGGTATTTACAAGTCATTTTATGATTATCATATCGAGGTACCTCTTGATGTTTTTTTTTTTCTGATTAACTTGAGTCAAGTATTCACAGCTAACTTTTGACTTGATGTTTCTGCTCTCGCATTGAAGGATTTTTGGGTTGGTTATTTTCACTGGACACCATAGTCATCAAAGCCATATGTATGACATGCTTAAGGGTTGGATTTTTCTCGTGATTTTTAGCTACCATTTTGGGCGAACACGACTAACATTACCTGGTCTCGCATGGAAGTCCACACCACTGGTGAGTCCTCTAATCTCCAAACAGAAAAACATTTAGTTGTAGACTAATTTGACGGTCGAGCCTAGGGTATGCATGGAGGTATATCAGAGCGTCAATGTCTTTGGCGGGCCTTTTGCCGCCTCTATGTGATGAAGGAGACATGTTGGTTGATGGCGGGTATGTTGAGAAGTTGTATTGAAAGACATGTCTGTCGTTTTGCTTGGGTGACTAATCGCTCCATTGATTGATCTCACCAATTTAGCTACATCGACAACTTACCAGTAAGCCTTATGATCCCGCATATATTGCGCTTCTGTAAACCGAGGTCAACAGGACCTAACCTCTTGGACCCTCTATCTCTATTTTCTCCTCAGGTCTCGGTGATGCTCCGGATGGGCGCAGATTCAGTGTTTGCGGTAGATGTCGGCTCGATCGATGATACTTCTCCTCGTAACTTCCCCGAATCGCTCTCGGGATGGTGGTTGCTGATCAGAAGATTGAACCCATGGTCTTCGGCATATGATATCCCGGTATGTCATCCTCCTTTCCTCGCATTGATAGAGAATAAGGATCCCTGCAAACATGGAAACGCGGAGATTAAAACGGTCTCATCACTGATGATTTCCCTCTTTTTTTGCATAGACCATGACTGACATTCAAAGTCGTTTGACCTAGTAAGCTTCGTCCTCCTTTTCACTAATAGAATATTTTGTGTTGTCTGGAACGTTCCCTCCCTTCAAGTTAAGTTGTGTGAATTGATTGATCTTGATAAAATTTGAATTTCTGTTTGTCACAATAGTGTATCGAGTGTGAAAACTTTGGAAGATGCTAAAGCGACTCCCGGCGTACTCTACATGCGAATGCCTGTAAGATTTCAATCTATCTCCTATTTATTAATATTCTTCCCCTCATCTGATGTTGGAAAAGCGGTAGAAATTCGTGCAACAACAAAAAGCGGTATTTCTGCGACCGCAAGAGGGGACGATTCATACTAACAGGCTTCCTTTTTCCATTCTCAAGGTGACCGAGTTCACGACGTTAGGATTCGGTCGATTCGAAGAGATTCTCAAGAAAGGATACGAGGCGGCCAAGGAGATGTTAAAAGAACTAGACTCTGAAGGCAAATTACCGACCGGCTTGGATGATGGTACCAATGGATCAGATTCCATCATCGGCATACCTGGTCACAGGCCTTATCATAACTCCAAGAATGGTGGCAATGGATCAATCTCTGAAAACACTAAAAGGCAACGACTTAACGTCAGACGGAATAGTCTCTAAAGCTCGCTTTCGTTCCTCTATTCTTCTCTCTCTATTAACAATTCAATAATAGCCACCAACCAGTACATACATACGTAAAATAGTTTGTGTATATGTAAGCTTTCTAGTCCATCTTCACACACCGCATTTGTTTTTTCTCTTATCCTCTTTTAATGCTCCAAGTACACAAAAATAGATGCTTTTGCTCTTCTCAATCATCCGCACATCCTCTCCATGACAATTTTTGTTCGCGCTTTCAGCGATGCAGTAAAAAGAAGCGCCCAATGGGGGGCTCGAACCCCCGACATTTCGGTCACGTTTGCAGAGGGGATACCCCTTGTAAAAGCCGAATGCTCTACCGACTGAGCTAACCGGGCCGCCATGATTAACCAAGAGGGTTCTGCGGTTTGATTGCGTTCAGTGTCTTATTCATCTCTCCGGAAAACGAAACTATCCTCCTTTGATGTCGATGAATGCTTTGGTTCTTTCCAAGCTGGTCTCCACTGTGTGTGGCATTAGTGATGGACCAATCTTGCATCATTGTGGAATCCGATTCATGCCAGTCGGCTGCATAGCTCTCCAACCGGCACGGCGATGTTTAATTTCCAATGACCTCGGTTATGTAAGCGACTAATGTCTTCAATGTTCATTTTTCAATCGAGATAGCGAGTGAATGTCATCTCGGGTATAATTAAGTGATCGTGTTTCGAGGTAGCTACGTCAACATTTATGTAAATAAGAAGGGCTGTTTTTTACGTGGTGTGTATAGGATCTCTTGAGATCTCTAACTCTTGTCTCCGAGCGCTGCTGGATGATACATATCAGCCAAAGATGACTCTATGTATCCAGCCTTTCTTTCAGCGTCTGAGCGAATCCGAGCAGATAAAGATGCTCTGAACGGATTGCCGTCTCCGCTCCTCCTTCCTTGCTCTCATTGGATGCCCAGATGGAACATTCACCACTCTTGAAATACTTGTTTGTGATTACATATGATTCCGTGAGAACCGGAAGCTCGAATTCTCTGTCGATTTGTTGCAATCCTCTTGGCGCACCATCCATCCATGGTTCCTTCTCGGTCACTGGCCTTCCTTCCTTCCCCATCATCTACCGTCATATCCTCCCCCTGTCGCCGCTGCTGGATCATCGCATCGCTCTGCGCTCCCCCAACTGAGGCTCCACTGCTACATACATACTTCGTCAAAAGATATATATATCATCGCGTTTCGTTGTTTCCCAGTTTCCGGATGAAGAACACAGGATGGCCGATAGCCCCGGCACGTGGAGAAGCAAAAATAGACCGCCCAACGTGGGGCTCGAACCCACGACAATTCGATACCAACCAGGGTTGGATGAGACTCATGATGATAAGAGTCGAATGCTCTACCAACTGAGCTAGCCGGGCCGTGGGAAACGTATGAAGTAGTTGGAATCTCCACCTCAGAGACTGTTCTTTGTGCCTAGTGGTCTTAAGAGGTGACCAGTAGCCTCAGGTTTTTTGTCATTGGAGTGTTGCGTAGCGGTAGAGGAGAAAAATGGATGGAAACAAGGGTTGTTTTCGGTCAGACGAATGCCACCTTTGGGCTGGGCTGGGGGCGATGTCACTAGACATATGAGGAGAGGCAGCCAAACCGCCTGGGTGCAAGGATGTTTTTTTGAGAGCTGCAGACTCTGAAAATCTACTTGGGAGGCCGCTATGGACTATGCTTCCTTTGCATGGGGTCTTGAGCTCATATCGGTCAAGACAGTTTTAGAGTAGAAGGTTGCCTTGTATCCCTTTTGATGTCTCACTCGATTGTTGCAGTTTTCAATCTGTTTTGATAAGAACGAGCTGCACCATTGCTCACAGCACTAGCACTCAAACTCGACACTTGCTGACTGCATCCGCAGCTATCAAGCAAGCAGAAAAATACGCTGAGAACAGTGGAAAGATTGATTGCAATAAATTTCTATGATGATACTCTAAAAAAAAATTCTAGCATGTCTCATTTCCGGTGGACTGGACTATCTTAACAAGACCGTTCTTGTGCCAAACCTTTTTGAGTTTGCGCAAGTTGCTGGGGACGCTGTCGACCGCACTAAGAAATTTGAGGAGGGGCACGAGGGCCATCAGACCAGCTTCCTCGGACTCATTTCCATGGTATCGGCGCACTTGGAGGACGTTGTCGTTCTGACTCCTCATCGAGTAGTAGGGGTCGTCATCAATAAACACAACGTTGTCCAGCTTCCCAAAGCGGAGAAGGTCCTTGCAGCGGTCTTTGTCAATTGGGTCGATGGGGCAATCGTCACGGCTCAGGATTTCAGAGATCGGGAAGCGGTTCGGCCGGTAGACCTCGGCATAACGGAGTGCAATTTGGCAGCTGATTTGTTGGGCATAATCTTTTGAGCTCGAGGTATAGATGGCGATCTCTTCGTAATGCGCGCTCATCTCGTGCAGGAAAGTGAGGCAAGCAGGGTGGAGTTTGATTGGGTAATCAGACCCGCTATTGCAGTAGCCGTGAAATCCGAAGGGTGTCCATTCCTGGCAATCAACGTGTTATCGAGGTCCAGGACTAAAGTTTTGTCTTTAGGCTTGTCTTTGCCTTCAGAAGCCTTGCAAAGTGTTGACGCGTGTTCGCTGATCCACTTCTCGAAACCATCCATGTTGCGAATGGAGTAAAAACCGTCGAGCACGGAATCCTCGACCGCGTCCGCGCCTTTGAAGAGCCCTTCATGAGCGGCTTCAGTAGCAACGTACTTCACATCTTCATGAGAAACGGTGCTGTCTTCGATAGTGGCAGGAGTGTTGGTGTTGAGAAGGACGGCCGGAGGTTGGCTGTTCGATTTGCGACTCTTACCCTTCTTCTTGGTATCGCTAACCTTTGCCTTTGACAAGGCTGCAGGACTGTGTTGCACGGCAATGAGAGGCGAAAAGGGAATCTGGGAAAAACATCTGATAGGGGTAGAAAAGCTTTTGGGAATGAATGCTGGGGTATGTCGATTGAGCAGGCGAAGGACTGTCCGGGATGAATGCTGCCACATGTTGACTTGTTTTGATCAAGGCACCTGCAGACACCAGCGTCCGTATGGCTCTTGCACTCCACTTCATAGTATGTACCCACGCTCCCTTGACACTCACTTTTGCACAAAGCCTCTCACCTGAATGGGAGGAAGCTGCCCCGACCTTCTTCTACTGTAAGTGTGTAGATGCTGTCAATGATCCAATTGGTCTTCACCTACTTTATTATTAAACCTAACCCATCTACCTTTCAAATTGGTGACTGCAGTGCATAAGGCGGCTTCAGATGCTAATTCATATTCATGACCAGCTTCAGATTAGCTCTTTCTACTTTGAGATTAGCACAACAGGCCGATGCTTTTTTAGCGAGTTGGAGTATCAGTGGCTGAAGCAATTCTGTCCCCCCGGATCCTTTAAAATCTCTCATGTCAAAAGCACTGATTTTGGTATCGCGACGACAATGCGCAACCGACACAAGGGAAACAGAAGTATGTAGACTGTCGAAGTGAAATTGCGCACTTGGAGGCTCTAGACAGATGTTAGATGAACAAGAGATCCGCGCGCAAATACAAAACAATCCTCATGCAACAGGGACCAAGGAGAGGAGGTGGAAGACAATGGTGAACAGAAACCTGACAATTAAAATGCAAGGATGACGAAAAGGATGGGATGGGTTGAGCAGAGATGATCCGAAGGAGTGTCCGTTGCTTTGCTGAATCCACACGTTGGGAGAGCAAGGGTAAAAGAAGTTATCTGATGCTAGACAACAACTGGTGCGGGGGTGATAGAACTCAGAGTACGCGGATGTCGGGGATGTTGTCGTTGCTGGGGTAGGAGCTGACGGAGGTGTGGTCATAGGTTGATGCAGCTCCACTCTGGTCCCTTGAGTTGCTGTAGATGCCGTTAGGACCGTATGCAAAAGTGCTGTCGGCGTTGTGGAAGCTGTTGTCAGTCGCGTGGGTGGAATCGTATGCGAAACCACCGTTGTTGCCTCCGTTGTAGTAGGGGGAGCCACAGCTGATTCCACATGGCTTTCGGGCTTGAAGTCTGTTGGGAGCACGCCATATCAGTGACATGCACAGGATTGGGTGTGGTGATAGATTCTTCGGCACTTACTCTACTGGGGATGCCATGGCGGCTGCATGAACAAATGAAAAGAGTCGGTCAGGCTGTCAGTAGAGAGACTCTCGAAAAGGGCCACAACAGAAAGGACGGAGCAGAGGACGCACCGGCAGCCAAGAGGCAGACAGCAACAATTACGCTTCGCATACTGGTAAACTTGGAGTTGGTGAATGAGAGTGTGGTGAAGAAGGAATGGTATCGAGGTGATTGATGATGTGTCTGAAGTAGGATGATGGTGTGATGGAACAAACGGCGGGGATGCTTGCCTCTATTTATAGCCCAGAACTACAGCTTGACTGGGTTTGCCTGCTTGCTGCTTGCCTGGGCAACACAAATCGACAATCATGAGCCCATCCGACTGCGTCAGACACCGTCCAAAAAAGGTGCTCTCTCACCGCACATTAGAGTACTGGATCATTACGCCGGGGAGTGACGGCAAGAACAACGGTGGCAACCGAGCGCAGATCGGATGGAACTGACGGTGCTCTCTGTCTCAATGCGGTATTTGGATAGGAGGATTTTGTCAGATGCCAGAACCGAGACGGCTCGGTTGGGTTGAATGGAGTCAGGAAGTCAAGCCATGAAGACACGATGGGACTGCCAATCCTAAACCTGTCCATCAAATCCAGACCGCTCAACACACTTTCTGGATGGGAACGTAGCCTGTCGGTTCTGGAATTTCAGCTGGAGGCGTTACATATTCTTGTTTGTTTCTTCAACAAGCACCGTAGCAGAAAGGGTTTGACGCCCGCAATTGCTTACTGTTTTCGGAGATATTCGAGTGACAAGGAGGAGCAAGCTCACCCCATTCCTGGGGGGAACCATTGTGATAGGAATATGCAAGGGTTGCGGACCATGTTCGAACGAAGACAGAGACACCTCATGCGTGAAGTGGAAAGATCTTCAGGTTGAGGAACTTGAAGCCCCCGTGGCCGGCAGACTTGCTCCGGCAGATTTATACAAGTCACACGCAAGGAGAGATCCAGCGCGGATGTTGAGATGCCCAGCTGAATTTTGCTCAACACACATTTGCTTGGGGACAGAATAGGTTTGATCGATTCCGTGTTTTCCCGGGTCTCAGTGGGATATATAGGATGAAATTTTTTGGCAAGATCGATGATGGGTTTTTACAAGCTTGTATATATATAGTGTATACATGTGAGACGATGAAATGGAAGAATGCGAGCCGTATGTGTCGAGATACTGAGAGGGACTAGTACAGGTCAAGACACGTCCTGTGATTCCAAAAAGAAGAAAACCATCCAATTAGCCAGATGTGTTCCTTTGTAGATCCAGTGGATTCGAGGATTCTTGGCTTACCCATCATTAATCTCATAATCGTATAAAGTGATATGATTCTTGAACTCCCTGTTACTAGATTGAGGAGAAAAGGGGGGACAGCAAAACAGGCCGTTTGGATTAGTGGAGCCGAATAAGTGGGTGGCCCAAAACAAAGAATAACGACGTACGCCCTCTTGAGTCGAATCTAAACAAAAATAAAAGTGGGAAAGTTGTTCATAGATCTGGTTAGTTGATCGTTTAATCAAGCAAATCATGGCGATTCAATGAGGAAAAAAAAAGTGGTTTACTTTTTCGAACCGAGTGCCCGTTTGAGCGGCGATCAATTTCTTGAGATCTCCGACTGTATCTTCCTTACTGTCAAGCTCACCCAGACAGACCATAAGATTCCAAATAAGTAGAAGAGTGGCAAAAAAAAAACAAAAAGAAATCAGAACTTACCTGCATTTTACCCTCACTTGAAAAGCAAAAACCAGATGAAATAGTGAGCCGATTGATTCTCGATACGTCGAAGTAGATATGTATAGGATACTAAGTTTGAGAACGGACCTTTAGTGCCGAGTCGATCGTTAGCAATCACCTGTTGTTTGAGAATGTGAAGCCATCAGAGACAGAGAGATGGTCCACAGAGTGGGCTTGGGCGTACCTCGATCATCCCTGTGGTAGTGGCCATCTTGCTTTTGATATGTAGATGGGGTGGTTGTTGTTGTTGTGGTGCTGTTCTTGAAATTGCGGACTCGGTCAAATATTTAAATGGCATGTGCTGGATTCGCCGCAGCAAGATCCGCATACATGGAGGAGGAGCTGAAAAAGGCCGAAAGCTGAGGGAACCACCACCCACTCATGAACTGCCCTCAACTCACACACACACACACACAAACTAACATCCGATCATCAGCAAAGAAAAAATGGAGAGCTTGGACGAACGGAAAGCAAGCATCGAGATACTCGCTCGATGGCTCAAAGACGAACAGATCCCGGTAAGCGATCACCAATCACAGACGGAGACCAATCTTCTAACCTCAATCTAATTAGTATCCCAACAGCTGGCACCAACAGAGAGAAACGAGGCTCAAGTAGAACAAGACGATCGAATCCAGGAGACTCTCAAGAACATCATCTCTTGTGGTACTCATCCAGAAACCGATCAACAAACATCTGTCGAACTGCTCGCTTTAACCTCCAAGGCTTTGCAGAAACTGGCCACTCAGATCCAGATCGACTCCACGATATACTATAATCCAAGGGAACTACCACCATCCCAAGAGTTGAGCCGAACTCAGACCGCATCCATCGAGATCCTGGGACGCAAAATCCGTCTGATCTCGACCCTGACCGATCTCCTAGAAAAAAAGATCATTCCCGAAGACTCAAGCAGAGATCAAGATGAGATCCTCCTGTTGGAATCCAACTTCGAGTGTCGCTGTGAAATGATCTATCGGCTGTCGTGTTGGTGTTCGATGGGCTATTCGAATGATGAGTGGGAGCTACGAGCCGAGCATCGCGACAAGATTATGAGTTCAGTACAAACGATTGCATTGTTTTTTTCTTCCTTTTCTCTCTACACTTAACTGTGTATCTTTTCCCAACACTTAACAGGTTGATCTGGTTTCTCAGGGACGATCGATCGACTCTGGCGACTGCCTCACTCGATCGAAAAAGTGCCGCTTCGAGGATGGAACATCAACCTAGAGATCGCATACATCATCTTGGAGAAACAGATCAAGCCTCTTTTTGCCCGCCAACACCTACTCTCGTCGCGCCATCTCAACCCTGCTACTGGCCGAAAGATCGAGCGCAAACAGGACCATCTCTTCGCTCCCAGGTCGGATTCGCTTGATGAGCCGCTCTGGAAACTTGAAGGGATTGGGTTTTGGAATGCCATCTGTCTCTTATTAGAACGATTGCATCAGGTATATCTGGCCTTCTTTTTTTATCTTTTTTCTTTCCTATCTTTGTGAGCTGATTGGGGCTTGAACTACAGGATCCAGGATTGAAGGAAATCTGGCCGCTCCTCATCCCCCCCATCATCACCTTGGCCGAATCCAGTATCCCTCGGTATCGGCTGAGAGGGATCCAATTATCGATCGCTTTACTGGAAGATGTACCACCGTTAATAATCTGCCAAACGGGCATTAACTCAATCCTCCAGAACGTAAGTTTCAAAGAACCTTCTTTGATGAACTGTAACAGGATTGAAAATGTGCTATTCCTTTGTAGGCATTTTCGACGACGTTCAGTCTGCTGAACATTGAGCAAACCCATGCATTATTGAGCAGCGGATTTGAAGCGAGCAAGAGATTGATCGAAGTAGAATGGAGGGCGAGTGGCCAGACACGGGAAGCCCAAGCCGCTCGATACGAGCAACTTAACCGGCTCCTCGCGGAGGCCATCTTCAACCCTCTCGCCTTCTGTAAAAGTCACTCGACTACTTCCCACATCGACCTGCATCTTTTCGCTGTCACTCGGCTGGCTGAAATCGCCAGAGAACTTGGCTTTGGAATCGCTCGATATGTCCGAGTATGTCACCCCCACTATAATCTCCATACTTACATAAATCATTCTTAAATTCTTGGGATTTCTTGCTGCTTTTTCGGTGACATGTAGGTCATTCTTCCATATCTATGTGAAACTTTATTGAGCCTTCATTTGAGTTCAACTACTTATAATTTAGTGATCGAGGTCAACGAGTTGATCGGCTTATTATTCAAGACTTGTCGCGAGGTGATCGAGGAATGGCGGAGCAGATTGATCGTAGTCTTTTCGACGTGTTGGATCGAATGGACTTCCTCCTCCTCCTCTGAAGATGATCATCCACTGAATGAGAACAACAACAACAACAAGCCTTCCGATCCATCTTCGTCCTTCTCTAACAACAGTCAGTCATTATTTCTTTTATCTTAGTTCGCCTTCAAACAGCAGTTCAAAAATCCGTTCCTGCTTTGTTGGTAAAAACAACAAAAGATAATCGTCGATTGATCTCGGAAGAACAAATCGACTCGCTTCACCGATCCATCATCCGTCACACTTTCATGAGCTTCATCAACCCAACGGCCCATCCTGATCATCCTCGTGATGCTGGTGTATGTGGGGTTGCCAATGACGTCGATCATCCACTCAGCGATCCGCTCTTGCAGATGATCAACTCCATCCAACATTCTCATCCTTCGTTGACTCGATTCTTTGCTCCTCTTTTCACGTCTCCTTGATTCTTATCCTCTTCGGGTGTTTAGCAATTTTTGTTTTGTTTTGTTTGTTTGTTGAGTGTTATCAAAATATCATACCCAGTGTGTCGTTCTATTCTATAATCACTGTGTATCTGGCGATGATCTGATTGTCAAGGAGCGGCTATGTACCGTAGATCACCGTACGTTTTGATGCTTCACTGATTGGCTGATTATTGTACCACAGAAGATGGCCATGGAGACTGGTTAAGGGGGGCGCATTTTGATCTTCTTGTCATCACAACCAAAAAAAAAAGGAAAAGAAAAGAAAAGTTGGATAAAGAATCAAGCTCATTCTTAAGGACATGAAGTGTTTGTAAACTCCAAGAGTCATTTGATGGTGCCACAAGATGTTGGAGTGTCTGGTGTTCCAACATGGGTGATCAACATCTGGAGGCCGGACTGAATCTGGCAACACAAAGTACAGCATAAATACATAATTAAGACTTCAATCCCAATGTCGCTGTTACGAACGGTGTCAATCAGAACAGCCATAACACCATTGGTCAGTAATTTCAGCTTTTTGGACTTTGTTCGGCCAGTGGGTGTGCTTCACTGCTTGCCGGGGAGGCATCAAAGTTTATGATACCTTTTCATTCAAGAACATTCCTCCCCGGCAAGTGGTCGGTCTGTTTGTTAGGGAGGAATCTTATGTGGTTGGTGAAAAGGTACCAGGACCTTGTACCTTCTTGTTGAAGGAGACCTCTTTGAAACTAACTTACAATACAACTCACAACACAGTGGACCGGGGAGGACTCCTCCTGAACAAGAGCCTGTCCCCAACAAGCAGCAAGAAAGGATGTTGCCTCCTTGGCGAGCATCTTGTAATAAAATTTCAATGAGCATACCCCCCATGGCATTTACCGGGAGGTATCTATGCTCTCTCCCTGGGTCTTGTAGAGCAAACACCAGGGCCTTACTCGGCGGCAAGAGGTCTTTGCCAGTAAGCGGGTATATCCCTGGTACATATGCATGAGGTAAGGAAAGGTGAGGATATTTCGTTGCTTGGTAACAAAGATTTACGTTGTGATTATGCATTGGCTCATCACTTTGTGTTGCCAGATTCGCCGACTGAGTCGGCGGTCAGGTTGAAGACATATTGCAAGATCCGCCAGTGGAACACCTGTTTACAGATCTGGGCCCGCGCTTGGGCTTTGATGATCGGTGCACGCCATCTGACTTTGGCGGGGTCGATCGGAGCGGAACTTGGTCGGCAGGAATGGTGACTCTCCTCCCAATCCTTGGTCTTTCGAATATGTGGTGGTGGTGGATAGGAGGATCTTGAGCAGACTCGGCAAGTTGTTGGGCCGGGTCGTCCTGATCTTCTTCAGCCGCTGTTGGACTGCCTTTTTGGTTTGTAGGAGGATCGAGTGGGGTGAGATGAATTGGTTGGATTGCTTGAGTAGGCGACTCGAGTTCGGTGCTGTTGTTGAAAGCATCCTAATGGTTCCTTGTCAGTGTCAGTCTCTTGTTTTTGTTTCTTTTTTTCTTGATGATCGATCAACGATGTTTTAAGTTACTCACCTTTCTCAATATCTGTGGTCCTTCACAATGAACAAGTGCCTTCTTTGACTTCCCCCTGCTCAAAACCTAACTTAACGCAAGCCCCTCGATCGGATGGGCCTGTGCCAGGCTGGCGCGATTCCATCCTGATTTCAGAAGAAAACAGGGAATTCACAATATTTGTGCTTGTGCAATGTGGTTGTGACATCCACTCAATTGGTTTTTGGAGTCCACCAAGTGTGACCACCCTATCATGATTATAAACTCATTTTTCAATTTGCTTCACTTTGAAACCCTCTCCTTATTGATTTTTGTACTAGCTAATCTCCTTTCTATACCTTAAATTTTTTAAACTCAAATTCAGTATAGCAAGTGAATAATCTCAAGTAAAATCTCAGAAACTGAAATCATATGAGGACTTAGAAAACATGCATTCAGATTGGTATTGAATTGAATTCAAATCAGTCAATTCAGTTTCTTTAAGGGATCTACTGGAGGACTTCCCCTTGGATCTGGGACCCTTGCAGTTTTTGATTTAGACCCAAAAATTCTAGATTTTTTCAGGGAAATCTAACTTTTTTGGCTCTAAATGGAAACTGGGAGACCCGCAGATGTTGACGGGAAGTCATCCACTATCTGATAGATATTGATAAAGAAATTCTATTATGGGAAAAAGAAGTATTTTCCATGCAGTAGTTGTAAAACTACTGACATGATGATACATTCAATTCAAACATATTGTCAGATAACCAAGAAAAAACAAGCAGAAACCAAAGAGTGAAACGGATATATATCATCTAGGATGCCTTCTTGAAGGCTGGGTCATCCAAACCAACACAAGACTGACATTCTGAAAAGGGAAGAAAGAAGAATGTTAAATATCTGTCTCCTTTTGATCAAATGATTTCAAGCACCCAATCATCCTTACCAATTGAAGCCTTGCATTCCCCAGTGCAGCTGTACATCTTGTTATCATAAGCAGTGCAAACTGTAGGTAAAAAGCACTTTGTTAGTTGTGGATTAATTTATCAAATATATTGCATTTGCTTCATCACGCATAACCTACCATTGTGGTCCTTCTCTGTCTTCAAGAAGTAGTTCTTACCACATTCTACTTTCTCAACAGATGTTTCAGAAGTTCTCACTAGTTTGCCTTCTTTCATTGTAACTGGGTAGCAGGTACCGCAAACTGAAATGGAAGCAAAATTCATCAGGATTGTTAAATTCGTGTCTACAAAATGAAATAATGGCTTACCCGCAGGTTTCCCGGAGCAAGTCTTGAAGTCGCACAAACCCCCGTTGTCACCTGCGGCACTGCTTTTGCAGACGGCCTCAACTGGGTTGGTGGACACTGTATGCAGCAGGAACAACATCTCAGAACAGTTGAACATTAAGGTATTGATCAGATTATGGTCCACAAACATTTGGCCTGTTGGCTTGGATTGAGACCACCCTTGCTTTGCATTTCGGCTATGTCACGTTCCGACAAAGTCAAGTAAATGTTGGTGCACTGCATAGGCTTGAGTTGAGGGCCTGACATGGAAGTGTTTGAGTCGGCTTGAGCATAGTAAAAGCTCAAGCTGAGAATGATGAATGAAGCTAGATGCATTTTTGGTTGATATTAAGTTAAACAACAAATGAATGACTGAGCGTTACTCGAATGTGAGAATAGATTGGGATTAAGTGAGTTTGAATGCAATGGACAGTTGAAGATAAATAAATAGTATAAATAGGGCAGCTGCTGTTGGTGATCTGGGTGGATTGATGCCTTCCTGACGAGATTATGGGCGTCCTTTTATCCTATCACCCAGGGTAACGACGATAGACCCAAACTCAAGATCTGTTGTGCTGCGTGGACTGCTCTTTGATAGGCACAAGCAGAAACATTACTGGAACAAGTGCTTGGCAAGAATGGTTGAGCGATCTCGCTTTTAGAGAAACGTGTTTTGTCTCTGCACCGATTTCCTGCCAAACAACTTCACTGAGGTTGACGAGACGGAACAAGCAACAATACATAAGCTTACATATCTCAGATAGTCTACGGAAGGTAGTAACGTCAAGGTCGACAAATCACCATGTGTCAAACGCAAAGGTCTCATCGGATTTGACCCGAATAACACACACGACTTGGCTAATGCTTTGCCTGGATGATTGCTTACCATGTCGCAATGGTCATGTTTCAGCTCCAAAAAACTTCTCCTTACAGCTGACCGAGCAAACCTTGGCATCCCCAAGTTGGTCATATCGAGAATCGAACATCGATTTAACAATACTGCATTTGAGGCTCGTGAGCCAGGCAAACGTATAGTGTACTAGATGTTGCACAACCAGCCCAAAAATCGAGCCTAACACAAGCCTCTGAGTGAGAGCCCAGAGGGCAGCCCCGCAGGGTCTCTGTCTCACAGGCGGAGCAGATTGATCGTAGTCTTTTCGACGTGTTGGATCGAATGGACTTCCTCCTCCTCCCCCTCCTCCTCTGAAGATGATGATCATCCACTGAAGGAGAACAACAACAACAAGGCTTCCGATCCATCTTCGTCCTTCTCTAACAACAGTCAGTCTTTATTTCTTTTATCTTGGTTGTCCTTCAAACAGCAGTTCAAAAATCCATTTCTGTTTTGTTGGTAAAAAAAAAAAAAGATAATCGACGATTGATCTCGGAAGAACATATCGACTCGCTTCACCGATCCATCATCCATCACACTTTCATGAGCTTCATCAACCCAACGGCCCATCCTGATCATCCTCGTGATACTGGTGTATGTGGGGTTGCCAATGACGTCGATCATCCACTCAGCGATCCGCTCTTGCAGATGATCAACTCCATCCAACATTCTCATCCTTCGTTGACTCGATTCTTTGCCCCTCTTTTCTCGTCTCCTTGATTCTTATCCTCTTCGGGTGTTTGATTATTGTTTTGTTTTGTTTGTTTGTTGAGTGTTATCAAAATATCATACCCAGTGTGTCGTTCTATTCTATAATTACTGTGTATCTGGCGATGATCTGATTGTCAAGGAGCGGCTATGTACCGTAGATCACCGTACGTTTTGATGCTTCACTGATTGGCTGATTATTGGATCACTCAAGATGGCAATGGAGACTGGTTAAGGGGGGCGCATTTTGATCTTCTTGTCATCACAACCAAAAAAAAAAGGAAAAGAAAAGAAAAGTTGGACAAAGAATCAAGCTCATTCTTTGTGCTCAGTTAAAAGGACATGAAAAGTGATTGTAAACTCCAAGAGTCGTTTGATGGTGCCACAAGATGTTGGAGTGTCTGGTGTCCCAACCTGGGTGATTCTTGAGGGTTCAAAGAGGGATGGAAGTGGGTCGAAGCTGGAGATGCCCAACCACTCCAGCTGATCGACCATCAGAGAAAGAAGCCCACACACTCAACATCGACCATCCACCTATCCCACCACGAACGAACATCATACAAACCCAACCAGAAGCTCCCGATTCCTGGCCAACCCACCCCGAAGCCGAGATGATCCGGTTCATCCTGGTCCAGAACCGACAAGGCAAGACCCGGCTATCCAAGTCAGTTTATCCTCCCTCCCCTTCTCACCTCATCAAGAATTCTCTCTCTCTCTCTCTCTGAAAGACCAGGAGAAGAAGCTGACTGACCGATTGATGGATGATGATGATCGGCTCGGATTCGGACGCTCGTCTTTCTACACATCCGTCCGCCCCGCTCTCGGCACAGATGGTATGTGCCCTTAGAGGACGAAGAAAAAGTCAAGGTCCGTGGCGAGGTGCATCGGTTGGTGGCCACTCGAGACCAGAAATACCAGAGCAACTTCGTCGAAGTGTGTACCCCCCCATCTCTCTCTCATCTCATCTCATCTTATCTTTCTTTAAAAACCCAATCACTCGGCGTCTGACCATTGGTGTATTCAGTTCCGGACATCAAAGGTGGTCTATCGACGGTATGCAGGGCTTTTCTTCTGCATCTGCATCGACTCGAACGACAACGAATTGTCGTACCTGGAAGCGATCCATCTATTCGTCGAAGTCTTGGGTAAGAACACCCTTTCCCACCATCATCCCCATACATTGCAAAAAAAACAACAGAATAATGGAGACGGGTGTGGCTATATCTTTAGATGCGTTTTTCGGGAACGTGTGTGAGTTGGATCTGGTCTTCCAGTTCCATCGCGTCTATTCCATCTTGGATGAAGTCTTCCTTGCCGGAGAGATCGAAGAAACTTCGAAATCGGTCATCCTCGAACGGCTCGACTACCTCGAAAAACTCGAGTAATTTCCCCCCTTTTTTGTTACCTCTTCTCGTTGAGATTGTTGTATGAAGGATGTTTTAATTTATTTGTTGTTGTTATGAAGGGTTGTGGACTCAAATCTAAATCAATAAGAAATCACTCGTGTGTGTGTATTCGTAACCACAGATGAATGACTGGATGAGCCCTTATTCTTAGGTCGGTTCTTCTCAAAAAAAAAGTGGAATGAAATGATGTATCTCGCATAGACATCACCAGTCTCTTTCTAACGGATGATTATTTTTTCCCACTCAAGTCGTTATTCTTGTTATAATTTGCTTCGTCTTGTGAACAAACGACACATCAAAGAGTCATCATGCCCATAGATTAGAGATCGTTTTTTTGGTTTAAAAGTGTGGATTTCATCAGATGGGATGCGTGATTTTTTTGTAGAGAGAAAAAAGTACAGAATGTATGGCTTAAAAGGGCAAAGCTGGTTTAGATTTCTCTTTAACAATCTTCCACTCCTAATGATCAAAGAAAAAAGAGAGGTCAATAGTTGATCGAAATCAAGAATACGAGGAGAGGAAGAAGACGAACTTTTCTATAGGATTGAATTCTGTCGTCCATTTTGACCATTTTCTGGGTGACCTCGGCGACCTTAGCCTCGCGATTACGTTGGCGAATCTTTCCCTTGAAAGGTTTGCGTCTGCCGATGTAGGGGCCGAAGGAGTGGGGGACGAGGGTGGGAGAGGAGTAGCGAGGTTGAGTGAGGGGGTCATGTTGAGGGGATGCGGCGGCGGCGGAGGAGGAGAGGGAGTTGAGGACGGGTTTGATGAAGTCCTTGGGCTGTTGGAAGAGGCCTAAGAGTCGCTTATCCTTGACCGTCAATCGATCCTCTCCGCCCAAGAGTTCGATCACCTTCGGAACGGGGTCAGTTGGGATCTGCTTGAACTCCTCCAGGCTGAGACTTCCGTCGTAGAAGTTCGGCTGCTGGCTGAGCAAGTTCTTGGTCGATCTGCTCATCTTCTTCTGTTGGTTGCCGCCCGTCGGCCCAAGAGAGTCGGCGGTCAGGTTGAAGACGTATCGCAAGATCCGCCAGTGGAACGCCTGTTTACAGATCTGGGCCCGCGCCTGGGCTTTGATGATCGGCGCACGCCATCTGACTTTGGCGGGGTCGATCGTCGGATTGGAGTGATCGGAGCGGAACTTGGTCGGCAGGAATGGCGACTCTCCTCCCAATCCTTGGTCTTTCGAATATGTGGTGGTGGTGGATAGGAGGATCTTGAGCAGACTCGGCGAGTTGTTGGGCCGGGTCGTCCTGATCTTCTTCAGCCGCTGTTGGACTGCCTTTTTGGTTCGCAGGAGGATCGAGTGGGGTGAGATGAATTGGTTGGATTGCTTGAGTAGGCGACTGGAGTTGGCTATCCTGATCGTCGGTGCTGTTGTTGAAAGCATCCTAATGGTTCCTTGTCAGTGTCTTGTTTTTGTTTCTTTTTTTCTTGATGATCGATCGATGATGTTTTAAGTTACTCACCTTTCTCAATATCTGTGGTCATTCAATGAACAAGTAAAGTGCCTTCTTTGACTTCCCCCTGCTCAAAACCCTCCCAACATTCAGCTGTGACCGATTAAGGCCACCCGACTATATCCGCAGGGCACTGCGCTATCCGGACTGATCCGAGCTGCGCAAGCGCGACCGCTCAAGTTGATCAACGGTTCAACTCCAAGTGGTGGGATTCATCAGAGAACCTTCAAACTGACACAAGATAATGGCAGTCAGCACACGACCACCACAGACCTACGACCCACTCTCGAGACTACGGGACGAATTCGTGGTCCCATTCAAGGCGCGCTCCTACGCTCAGCAGTTTGCCAAGGTCTACTTCCTCCGACTGAGCCGACTACGCGAGCGATTGAAGGAGAAATGTCTGGAGAGGTGGAAGGCTCAGACGCCCTGTCGGGTGCTCGATATCGACCCTTCCCGGATCTCAGTGGTCATCGGGACGCTATACTGCGAGATGAAACTCAAACCCAACGTCTTGGAGGACTTGGCTAGAGAGGTGTGTGTGTGTGTGTGTGTTTGTTTATGTGTGCGGGGGTTTCGAAGTTGATGATCGCTGATCGAAGTAGAGGGCCTTCTCACTCCTAGCATCATTTGGGTCCGGCTCTCGGCCCTCGGAAGTGGGTCTCCACGGACGAGGACTCGATCATGCTCGAGGATGAGTCGGGTAGAGTAAGACTAGTCGGGATTGATCGAGAGAAATTCACTCTGGTGACTGGTCAGTCGGCAATCGATTACAATAATTATACATGAACTGTCAGATGATAATCGTCTTGTTTAGGATCTTTACTCATCTAGGGATCATCGTTGGGGTGATGGGACGAGAAACGAGCAAGGGAGACTTCCAAGTCCACGATCTGATTTATGCGGGCGTCCCAGACCAGCCGAGGAAACCGACTGGGAAGAAGAAGGAAGATCTCGATCAAGGATTGGTCGCGCTCGTGTCTGGGCTTGATCTGGACAACAACAATTCCAGCCGGACCAAGGCTCGGGCCGAGACCCTGGTCGAATGGCTCAACGGACAGATCGGCGGAGACGAGGAACGCAGACTGGCTAGGAGCGTCGGCCGGTTGGTGATTGCTGGAAATCTGACCCGGGTCCCATCCGTCAACGAGCCCCCCGTTCAGAACAGTAAGGAGGCCACCAAGCTGGTCAGTCGCTTTTTCTTCTTCTTCTTCTTCCGGGCACCCAACCTGACTTAGAAACTGATCTTGAAGCACATCTAGAAACGCTCGGCATATGAGCCCGCGATCAGTGCCCCTCCACCCACCGATCCCGCCGACCAGCTACTCAGCCAACTCGACTTACCCGTCGACCTCATGCCCGGCCCGACAGACCCTACCATTCAAAGCCTGCCCCAACAAGCACTCCATCGGTGTCTCTTTCCTAAGGCTACCGCACTCAGAACTGCCCATCCTCTCAATCATGGGCCTAACCCTTGGTGGGCCGAGATCGGCGGCGCCTCGTGAGTCTTCTCTTCAAAAATCTTCGTCCCCCCCTCTCGCAAGTCGTCTTGTGAATAACGTGTGTGTGTGTGAACACGGCCTTATCTCGAGAACCATTCCATCCAAAAATCATCTCTGAACTGCCCTCTGTCTCTCTCTCTCTCTTTGAGCCCTTGAAAAATCTGATATCTTCCTGTGACCACAGATTCTTGGGCACCTCTGGCCAAAACTTGGACGACATTTACAAGTACGTGGTGGATGAAGACCGGCTGAGCCTAGCCACCCAGATGCTCGAATGGAGTCATATCGCACCCACCGCTCCTGATACCCTACGTATGCGTTTTTATTCTCTCTTTCCCCTTATTACGTCCTCGCTTATTTTTTGGGAGGGTTGTTGGACAGATTGTTACCCATTTCGTGAGCGAGATCCGTTCGTCTTGTCCGAACTTCCGCAGGTCTATTTTGTGGGAAACCAGCCGGAATTCAAGACCCATCTCCAGGAATACGGGCCTCCTGAAAGTAAGTCGATCTTACATCTTATGGGAAGATGGAGACAGATGTGATGGGGAAAAAAAGGGGGGGGGAGTCTGATGAGGTGCTGGATGTGATTTGTGACTGAAATGGAGTAGATCGATCGAGGACACGGATCATTCTTCTGCCGCGGTTCTCGAGATCAGGCACCATCGTCCTCGTCGACCCGATCTCGCTCGTCTGTCAAACTGTCCTCCTCCTCCCCTCGCTAGAGAAACTGCCCGATGAACCGGACGATCTCGATAGCGATGGTCAAGATCATCTTCCTCCGGAAAAACTCGTCATGGAAATCGACGCGGGTGATGATGATGACGAATGAATTGATCGAAACCTACTCCTTTTTTTTGGATCACTGTTTTTTGCCTCATTTGTCTCATTCAGTTCTACCGTACAAGATCATCTCGTATGTGTGTTTTCAAATTCCTTCAGGATACATTAATCTATTTAAAAAAATACAGGGTGGAGTTCAATCTAGTTATGTACTTACAGTTAAGGAGACCCTGCTCATGTAAGATTCATGGATTTTCAAAGAAAAGGAAAAGAACCTATCGAGTTGTTATTTCGATTCCTTCCTCTGTATTTTTGTATGCTACACAACTTGGATGTACTTGTCAGTATACCTGGGGTAGGAGTGGGTTTGTGGAAAGATTCTCTGTCCTCATCCTTCCACCATCTCATTCTCTGTTCCTGGTAAGTCTGTTTCTTTCTTTATCTAGTGTTTCTCTTTGTTTTCTTCTCTTAATAGTTTGATTATCATTACTAGAGAAATACTAATCATGATCTTTCCACTATCCCATTCTCTATTCCAGTTCATCTTTCCCCTATCTCATTCTCCGTTCCAGGTAAGTCTGTTTCTTTCTTTATCTAGTGTTTTTCTTCTCCCAGTTCATCTCATCAGAACCCCTTTTCACTGCTGACTTTGTTTGAAAATTGGGTTTTTTTTGCTACTCTTTAGCCTGAACTTGGACCAGCTTCATAAATCAACCACCAGTGCTGATCATGGAAGTTATTGGATGTGAACAGATCACTTCACATCCACAAAACAAGGGTGATGGAACTTTTGTTATAGGTTTTGCCAGCAAATTGAGATTACCAAATCGGTTTGACTTCCCCCCATGCACAAGTGCAGAATACTCAGTTATTCTTACACCTGCCATGGACCGGAATGTTACTGCCAATTATCAAGACTGGTTCAGCTACCTATGTGTGATACAAAGGAGCTCATCTCAACCAGGGGCTTGAGAGATATCAGCACAAGTGACTTTTTTTTTTTTTTTTTTTCAGCCACCGCCAGGATCAACCCAAACTCTGCTGATGATTCAAATCCTGGTGGTGGCTGGAAACCAAACAAGGCCACTTGTGCTGATATCTCCTAAGACCTCCTTTGTATCACACCTAGGTAGCTGAACCAGTCTTGATACTTGGTGGTAACGTCCCAGTCCATGGCAGGTGCAAAAATAACTGTGTATTCTGGACTTGTGTGGGGGAAGTCAAACCAATTTGGTAATCTTGATTTGCTGGCAAAACACATAGCAAAAGTTCCATCACCATTGTCTTATGGAGCTTCCCAGTGAGCTGGTTTTTATACCTGCTTGTCAGAAGGAACCACCCCTTATGACAAGCTGGTTTTCAAACCAGCTCGCTGGGAGGAACCCCTTCTGACAAGCTGGTTTTCAAACCAGCTTGCTGGGAGGAACCCCTTCTGAGAAGCTGGTTTTCTAACCAGCTTGCCGGGTGGAACCCCTTCTGACAAGCTGGTTTTCAAACCAGCTCGCCAGGAGGAACCCCTTCCAACAAGCTGGCATGTAGACGCTTGCTGAGAGGGGTTCCTCCCGGCGGTGTGACCTCTGCCTCTCTAGGCTGAGGGGGTTTGAAAAAAAAAAAAATAGTTCCCATATGGATTAGTCAAGTGTTTCTTCTTTAGTGAATCCAAACCATATCTTTTCTTTTTCACTCCTAAAGTCTCACAGACAATCTGTCAGTGAACTTCAGTCATTAGTCTCCCCTGTTTGTCTCAACAGGGCCGTCCCATAGGACCCATGCCCAGCCCAGGTCCTAAATGCATATAGATATGCGTTTGGGACCGCATATATTGGACATGCAGGCAGGCACGCTAACCTGCAGGGTATATCCCCCACAGGCAAGCGGCGTGCAGGTGTGCACACCAATCTGCAGCTGGCGTGCACAAGGGGGGGATGGCTTGCGCTTATTATCCCCCCCCCCTCCAAGGCCCCGGGTTGTCTGGAATGTATGTCAATGGCTGACAAAGTCAGCCGTTGTTCTTCTCTTCTTTATCTTATTCAGGCCTGTTGGCTGCTACCATCAACAATGGTAGTGACTGACAGGCAAGAGGGAGGTCATACTGACCCCCCCCCCTTGCTTTTTTTCACAGTAGCGTAGCACACAGACCAATTGCTGGATCAATTGTTCAGTAGTGTGTATGTCAACGGCCGAAAAAGTTGTTGGCCGTTCTGGTTTATCTTCATCAGGCCTGTCAGCCACTACCATCAACAATGGTAATGGCTGACAGTGATGAAGTCAAAAGAGACATTGGGCTTTGTTCTGCTCCTAGATTTGATACCCAAGGACAAAACCAACATCAGTGATTCTATGCTTTTGCTTCAGATGAAGAAGAGCTCTGTGATGAGGACAACCATGAAAACTCTGACAATGAAAGTGATTTCAACAATCACAGCAAAATCACTCCATCTTTGGGGAACTCTGACACCATATCAGGAATACTGACAAAGGTTGATTTTGCCATCCAATGTATGACATCTTCTTCAAAACAATCTGAGTATGACATGTGGCAAAACAAGCTTGAAGACCAAGGACCAACTCTCATTGCTGGCTACGGGATTTGATGGAAAATCAAATGGGGAAGCCAAGACCACGTCTACAAGGGCCGCAACATAATCAGCCGACTCATTGAAAATAAGAAAGACCAGCAAGAAAGACATGGTGGAAGGAATTTCTTTGATGATTATGAGATATCACGGGGTGACTGGGAGGTTGTGAAGCAGCTTAGTGACATACTGATTGTGAATTTGAGTTTCATTTTCATGAAGATGTGTGTTTCTCATGACTATTTTTACTAACAGATTCTTTTTGAAGGAGTTTTACTTCATAACCAAAAAAAGGAAGGCAACCATTCTTCTGCAGACCTTCAAAGGTATTCCTTCTGATGGACAAGGTACTTATACCTCTTCCACCGGAAGGTATTCTTTCTGATTGACAAGGTACTTGTACCTTGTCTACCAGAAGGAAGACCTTCCAGTTGACAAGGTACTTGTACCTCGTCCACCGGAAGGTATTCTTTCTGATTGACAAGGTACAAGTACCTCGTCTACCAGAAGGAAGAACTTCCAGTTGACAAGGTACTTGTACCTCGTCCACCGGAAGGTATTCCTTCCAATTGACAAGGTACTTGTACCTTGTTGACTGGAAGGGTTTCCTTCTGGTTGACAAGGTACTTGTACCTTGTTGACCGGAGGGTTTCCCTTCCGGTTGACGAGGCGGTACCTTGTTGCCTTGAGACTGTACAGTCTCAAGGGTCCGGGACCCGCCGGCCTTGAGACTTTACAAGATCTCAAGGCCGGAGGAACCCCTCCCGGCCTTGAGACTTTACAAGATCTCAAGGCCGGAGGAACCCCTCCCGGCCTTGAGACTGTACAGTCTTGGGGCTGGGAGGAACCCCTCATGGCCTTGAGACTGTATGGTCTGGGGGCTGGGAGGGGTTCCTCCCAGCCAGATTTTTTATTTTTATTTTATTTTCCAATGACACCTGGGCTATCCCATGGGACCCAGGCCTGGGTCCTATAAGATATCCCAGGGGCTAAACACATATATGTTTATCCCGGGAATAAAGGGAGTGCATGCCTGAAATGCTGGCCTCTTGGGGGTAATCTTCCATGGCATATTTGACAAGGCTTCCTGTTACAGCTACCTGTGCACAAGATCTTGAAGTCTTGCAAATCTATCCCCCCACCATACAAAAACATACTCTTCCAAGGCTTAAAACCCACCAAACATGATTTTTAAAATTATCATACCCGTTAAAGAAGTCCCCTTGCTCACCTGATCAGGGAATCTGAAAAATTCAACGCAAAGTTAAACAGCAGGTAGCTCTCTTGTTGTTTGAGCTAAATAAATATAACAAGCCACAGAAGGGAAGCTGAAACTGACCCAATCCAACCCAAGTCATGCCATTTTAACTGGATTGGATTCTTTTCCCAATCCACAAAAATGAGCCAAGTGTGTAGTGGATTGGATGAGCAATCCAATACTTAGTATTTCATTAGTTTACCCAATTGACCAGGTACTAATGATAGTTCTCTTTACATGTCAGGATATAATCAGAAGTTGGAATTAGCCCATTATCAGAGGTGAGCTGTTGTGTCCTTGTGTAATTTGAATTTTTCTTGAGATTAATCTCAGATCTATCTAAAAATTTTGGGGAAATGTTATATGACACCAGAGATGGTGTTCTTGCTTATCATGGATCTATCTGTTGAGGGGCGCCAGGGACTGAAGCAATGACTGTAGCCGGAACTCACAAGAGGGAACTTTTCGATGAGAATGATTATGTATTGATTCAGTGAGAAAAGGAGTTTGAGAGACAGTCCGGTAGCTCAGTAGTAGTGGGAGGCTTGATATAAGCATAACTCGGTACAAGCATACAACATGTACTACATACAGGATTGACTAATCCAACAATCCAAAATTGAAGTATCAGCTATTAATTCTTGGCAACAGTACAGTTGTTTTGAACAGAAAGTAAAAAATGAAGACCAAGCTTGTTGAGCTGGGGAAGTTAAAACCAAATTTCAAAGTTTCCAAAGACATGAATGATGAATTAGCTACAAAAGACCAAGCAGTCAATGAAAACTCAGAATCAATTAATTTTTTTTCTCTCTTCAGTTTTTTCATTGGTTGAAAGAATGGGATGGTTAGAATCTACAGCATTGTTGATGGAGAAGATAAAGGAGGAAATCCAGATATTGGAACACTGGGAGTTCTTTGTTTGCCAGTAATCCACCCATATCAATCACCATACTTGATGGCTTAATTGTGAAAATCAATTTCTTAGAAAAGAATCAATTTGCACAAATATAAACAAGCAGAAGCTTTTTACAAGATGATAAATTCTTGGCCTGGTTAGCTTATTTTAACATCAAGGGATTTTTTTTCTTATGGTAAACCTATGACATGTTTTTGACCTGTTTCAATGATCATGTTGGTTCAAAGGTATGATTTGTTAAGCAAAAAAATTGGTCCTCCCAGGATAAAAAGAATATGGCATACAAAATCCATTTTCTATTTTTAATCCCTAATAGGATAACTTACAAGATACAATCATGGATATGACAGGTGTAGACTATATATGCAGTCACTAATAAATCCAGGATAGGACTGGGATACACAAAGCCACCCACTATTGGGTGCTGAATCTTTTTTCCTGGTGTTGTACTAGTCTATTTAAATTAGCTAGTCACAAGGAAATCAAACCATCGGTTCTTCTTCATTTTGAACCTTGACATCCTCAGAGCCCCCCATGAGTTTATCAATAAAAGACCGGTCACTCTCTCCCTCTCTTCTCTCTCTCTGGCAGTCCAAAATTCTTCAAATATTGTTTTAAGTATCAAATTGCATAAAGTCACAGTCCAATAGTGAGAAGGGCATATATTCTTAGGCGTATTATGGAATAATAACCTTCTATGGGTTATTTAACCTATAGTCACTCCTGAAACCACTAGGCTAGCTCCACTCAGTCAAAGATTATTTGGGATTTAAATTTTATTTGCATACAAAATGCTTATTGCATAATTTAAACCACAAGTTGGCCTTAGTTTGGTTATATATTCAATATTCATTGCATAGTTTAACCACAAGTTGGCCACATTGTTTGTAGGTACACTGAGAATCTTGTATAGTAGCAAAACCACAATTTGGCCAGATTTTTAGATGCATATTCATTATAGGTTAGGGCTAGAACCGCAAGTTGGCCATTTATAGATTAAAGGTTAGGGCTAATTCATCTGGGTTGTAAAATAGACTATTTAAGGAGGGCTTTCCCCCCTCATTCCAATTTTTCATCATCTCATCTGATCAGCAACCAGACAGAACAGAGCAATCAATCCATACATTAACCAGTGTGATCTTAATCAAGTGCCCCATTGAGATCATTCAGACATTGAGAAGCATAGGAAAAGGAAAGTAACAACCAGTACAACTTGTGATCTTAAACTATTGTGCTCCCAACCAAGGATTAAGGAAGAAGAAAAAGACACCTGAATAAGCACATTTTTTTCTCAGTAGTATCTCATAAATTCTCATTCATTATCAGTACATACACCAATCATTTTTCAAAATACATAAAACATATAAAAAGAAAGAAAAAAGACATCTTACTCAACAATTCCACTCCAATAGTCTGCTCAATTCACATTGATCTAGGTTTGATAAGAGGCTGCTACATATAGTGTTCTCTATCATTGGTTTTGCCACAGAAATAAATAAATTTTTGTGTTAACTCTTTTGTAGTACAATAGAGGGGCAGGCCTTTCAAACCAGCCGTAAATAGTAGATTATTACATATGTGATGTATCTCATCTGCTATTTCCCCCTCACAGGACTTCCACCATTCCTAAAGGAGTTCTCACACCATGGCACTTCATTTTTCTGTTTTTTCATCTATTTAGCATTTATAAATCCCATTCTTACACCTCCTCCTCCCCCAATTGGGGTTATTCATGTTAGAAAATAAAAATAAAAAATGCAATTTGAAGCAGTGGGGAGAAAATACACTGAATACACTGAATACTGTATTCGTATTGTCCCAAATTCTGAGACAATTCACAATACAGAAATATTTTGAATTGTGTACTTGCTGGCTGAGTATGGTGTACTTGTATTTTATTTGTTGACCAGGGTGATACAATTTACATGAATACACACGTACTCAAAACAAAATACAATACAATCTAGTGTGAGTACGTATCATAATGGTTGCATCATTGCTGCAAATTGGCAATGAGAGAGAATAGAGAAAAGTATTGGAGTGTTAGATGGTCTATCTATGTTTGTGTGGTTTCTCAAGTCCAATCAATTGGTGGGTGATCAATCATTATGAGCCTCACACCTTGTGCAACGTTTTGAATCTCCTTCTATTTTGTCCCCCCCCCTTTTTTTTCTCAATTTCCTCATTTTTTTGGTTTCTACTTTCAGTAGGTTGTAACTTGTGGTCAACAAGTAAAGATTCACAAGTGTAGCTAGAGTTCATGTGAAAGACCAGATGCCACAGGAGCTTTTGCTTATGAACTTCTTCAAACTTCAATGGAAACAGTGAGTGTCAGCCAGGGGGAGATGTGTGTATCCTGTCAGATGTGGATGTAATACAATGGGCCTTTCAGAAACACATCTCCTTGAAACAATTTTCAGCAGATGTACATACATAAATAGCCACTGCTTAAGCCCAGAAATGACCTAATTCAAATAAAGTAGTCATCAAAACATGCATTTTCATGTATTGAGGCTGTGAAACAGGACTGAAGGGCATGTAGTGTTGGAAACAGTTTCAAATCATCTGACACAAAACAAAATTGGAAAGAAAGACTTGTCTTGAAAGATGAATCTGAATTCTAGATTTCAGTGTTTCAGTGTTTTCTGTTTCAAGTTTGCATAGAGGGTATATATTTTGAAATATATATATATACCTTGGAATCATGATGATGCTTTTGTACAGCCACTTCATCTTCTTCTTTTCTTCAAGACTCTATGATGATTTTCAATAAAACAGTTAAATATCTTGGTCTGCACGGTCTGGGTTTATTATCCTTAGTTCTATCTATGAGAAATGAACCACATCAGGAGCTTCAGGGTTTCAAGAGCTTGATTTTAGGTAGGAGTATTATAGCCCACTGAAAATATAGATTTTCCTCATCTGCAAGAGAATCATTCTGATAGCGTTCCATGTAACTCACTGACACAGGTGAGGATAGAAAAGCTGCTGAAGACCCAGGATCAAGCAATTTTCCAGCATCCATTCAAGGGGAAAACAAACTTGTCTTAGGAGTCCCAGTAGATAGAAAAGTACCCCATGAGATGGAAAAACAGAATGAAGGTATTTTTTTTTTATTTCTTCCTTTGTGAACCTATAAACCCTTTTGATAAAGAGTTGTGTAGGAGATCAAAACTGACTGATTTTTGCAGATCAAGTCCAGTCAATGGCAAGAGAAATCAATGAAATCCGCCAAAAAATTGATTGGCTCAAGAAACAAGAGTGCCCCAAGTTTGCAGAATTTGGACAACAGCTGGATCAAATTGAAGCTAATCTGAAAGGACCCCTGCGCGAGAAAGTGGTTGCTTTGAAAGGCAAAAAACCTGCCACTTCTCTCATTGCATGGTATGGTGGGATAGGTATACCCAAGCAAGCCCAAAAATCTGAATTGAAAGAAACAAATGAAGTGCCTTATGAAATATTTCCTCTTTTGAAAGATGTTTTCACAGCAGAAGTGATACAAATTTGGAATGACTTACAGAGCAAGCTGAACATCTGGAAAGATGAAGAACCAGAAAATGGGGAAATAATGGGTCTTCTAGTTTGCTTGCAGTCTTTCTTCCTGCTCAAGGATCTTATTCAAAGATATGAATTGATTCTACCTCCATTCTTGAAGCAAATTCAAACTTTTGTCCCAGAAGTCTTCTTGGAAATGTTCAATTTCAATATGAAACTCCTTGCACAACTACCAAAGGACTTGGTTATGCAACATTCACATTGTGCATTAGTACTTAATGGGATGACTATCACCAGGAATCCAACGTTGAAGCATTTCAAAGCTTCCATAACAGGTAAGATTTGGTTTATGTCTCAAAAACAATTCAAAGTCTCAAAAAATTTCTCAATTATCTAAAATTATATTGGTGACATCACTGATAAAAATCATTGCAACTGAAACAGATCTTCCGCATGAAAAGAAAATACGTTTTTATCATTATATTTTGCAAGGATACACTCTGACACTTGAGGAAGAAAGATTAGCTAAAGAAAAAGAAAAATTTGATTTTGTTTATGATGAAGTTCATAAGGGTGATTTAATCAAAAGGCTAGATGATCTTTCTCTTCAATTAATTCCAGGAAAATTTCAAGATAAACAATATCTCCATCCATCCACAGTCAAAAACATGAAGAAGATGTTCCAGTTTTTCAATCAGCTCCCATCTATCTTGACAGAAAGCGATTCTGATGAGATTTTATTGATGATAATTTATAACTTTATTGATCTTCTCAAAAACAATTACAAGGGTTTATTTGATCATTTTAAACCTCAAGATGTAACTCATGTCATGTTCCAGAAGAAGTTAGAATTTTTGGAAGAATTTTTGGACCTTATGCACACAAGGAAGATCAGCAAGAAAGAAGAAAAACTCATGCAGAAACAGATTGAAGACCTTCCAATGATTCTGAATTTCAGTGAATCTGGTGATCTGTCTTTTAATGATTGGAAGAGACGTGTTTTAAACCTTTTTCTTTTATCAAGAAATCGGAAAATATTGCACAAAGATTCATTTGGATACTTGAAGGAAGTGAAGAAATACCATGATAAGAAATGCTTTCATTGTCCAGAGATATACTTTCACAATTTACAGTCATCTCATGATCATCCAAGTTCAATCAAGTAAAAATGTCTCAGACCCTTCAAGACTTGAAAAACCACCATAATTGATGAATTCAAGATGAAGAAAAAGTATGAATACCAAGTTTTGTAACCCCCCCCCCCCCGAAAAAAGAATAAAAAGCTTAAAAAAAGGATGACCTCTTGTATTTTTATCCTTGATGCATTTCCATACAACTACTTTGACGTCTCTATCAGTCCTCCCCTCTTCACTGTTCTTGTTACCAATAGACATGAAACTCTTTGAAAAGATGAGATTTGATTCACAATCTTGCCAAACAGATATTGGCAAAGCGCATAGGCCTCCATTAGCGTGGACAACTTCCCTGCTCCCGCTAGCTTAACAAATCCCCTCGACAGAGGGCCGGAGGCACCTTCGGAGGCTCGCTTCGCGCCAGCCTGGCTTAGCTATACCAGGCCCTCCGATCGAGGGACTTGGGTTAATTAGTCAGCCGCTTCCGCCTGTGTCGGACAAGTTTTAAGCTTGAGGCCCAAGTCCCTCCTAGAGGGGCGCCCTTCCGCTATAGTAAATAGTACTCTTTTAGAGTGCCCAGATTCTCCGTGCCAATTCCCGTTGGCGATTTGACTGCAGAAGAATTATATTGGTCAAGATTGGTCACAACAGGTCACAACCACCCATGGGTGTTGCAAACAGGGGAAGGGTAATCGCGGGTCATTGTTGGATGTGCTGATGTAGCAGATTCATACGTTTTCCATGCCTGAAACAGGAAGTAAGACCCATTTTCGATTCTCTGGAGTTCTCTCCTCAAGTTCCAGGAGTGTTGCAAGAGGTTGCAAGGCTTTTTTAGGCTTTTTTACTCTATGTGCTATGATATCCCTATCTCCAAGATGCTTGCTTTGCGATCCCCTGGTCGCCATCGTTTGTTATGCTTCAGCCTCTTGTGTTCGAACATAGCTGTTAAGGCTACAACTCCAGAAAACCTGAACAGCTTCCGGTGGGACGGCCCGGCTAAAAGTGATTATACGACCGATGACTTATTCGCTGCCTTGTCGCCAAATCACGCTCCCGGCGTTACTCCCCCAGAAGAATTAGTGTGGGCAGAACTACTAGAACAGCCACCTTCACGCTCGAAATTGGGAGACCCAAAGTCTCCTGTTATACCTTCCGATTTCATTGCACATTCAGCCCGGACTTTCTCGCCGGAACTGCTACCTCCGGGGGGTCTGGTAGCCTCCCCCCCATCGAGCCATCTGCACCGCTCGACTGAGCAAGTGGGCGGCATAAATCGTAAGTTGAAGTTCTTTTTTCTCTTGCGATACGGACTGCATCACTTCAAAAAAGATAAATCACTTAACCTTTTATATGCAGATTCCATCAACCCTAGTGTTGTGCAACTTGATGAAACTAGAAGCCTAAGCTCACCTGTAACTCCAGGACATCAACGTCAGTCGACGTGAATGATCTCGGTCGGCTTTTGATCAGCTGCACAAGTGTTAACTGATGAATTGATTGATGAATTGGTATCATTCCTCAGCAGTAGTCGACGAATCATCTGACGTTGAAACAAGTGCACATCGGTCTATAAACAGAATGCAGAGATTGACCGAACTGGCAATTCTCATTCAAAAGTATCAATCCCGCCCGTCCCATCGAACCTGTTTGTCACCATCGGGTGAAATCTTGATACCCTATCTCAAAAATCAAAAGATTGGTTTTGAAGGAAAACTGAAGACTGTGGATTTCGGGAAACTCGACTTCAAAGGCATCGCTAGCTTGGACAAAACCATTCACCCCGCTTTGCCATATGCGAGGTATAAGCGTGGCGACCAGAGCGAATTGCTGAGAGTCTTGAGAAGAACAACACAAGAATTACAGAAGGATTCAAGATTAATTTTGAATTACAGGAATTTGATCATATTCATGCAGAAAATCTATGAAGAATTTTTAGACAACTTGAGAATCCCCACAGTCGCGCAAGTGCAATACCAACAAGAAATGCTAGACTGGCTGGATAGAGAAATCTTTGGTCCAACTATCGGTCATCCAGTTTTAGGGTTCATCGAACCACCATACCCAATTTGGACGGCAGATCCATTGGATAAAACCACTGGAGCAAATCAAGTTTTACTAATAGAATACTTCTCCCAGCGGGAACACGATCTTGACATCCTACCCGCTACTTCTTTTAAGCTACTCAAAAAATTCCAACGTGAGGGTGAGTGAATGCGAGCTAGCTCGGACATGGTATCCAAAATGCATTACTAATATTTTGAAACATTATTTCCGTGCTTGATGGGAACTTAGAATCAACTGCAAAATTATTTCAAGAAGCAGAATTTCAATTCAAGACTGTTGAACCCCTCCGAGGAAGCTTATCATTTCTCTCGCTGCTTGTCCGAAATTATAATTCTCGCGGAACGGGACGCGATAAACACAGAATTCTACACGATTCAACCCTTGATGTGGTCACAGACATCTTATCGAATTTCAAACAACAAAGTGATCGGCTCAAAGTGGAATCTTTAAATGTCAAATTCTATCATCCGAAGTTGTCGATCGCAATATATGATTCCAAACACCTTCAAACTACCCAACAGTCTCAGCCACTGCGAGTTTTGGCGTACAAAAATTCATTTCCACTCAAAGAGGGAAGCGTCTTAGGTATCTTGAGAAGATTGATGAAGGCTTTGGATGCCTTCCACATACATGTTTTAAGGAAATTGCTTGATTTGGACACTGGAATAGCAAATCACAAGAACATACGAAAAGACTTGCTGGAGTGGTTGATTCAGGGTATCATCAAACCAACCGGCAGTCTACCGGTTCATGGACTGGTTCAAATCAAAGATGATCGCCCACCTTGGGCCGATTTGTCCGAGGAAGATTCTCTCAATCTCTTTGGACCTGTTCAAAGGAAGTTGATTGAATACTTTTCTAAGGATGAAAAAAGAATGTTTGCAAAGAGAGAGGAACTTATATATTTTTTGGCCACTTGGTATACATACTATCATCCCACTCAATTGGAACTTTTGATGAAATATGTGAAGTTGAAAGATCAAGAAGATTTGAGTCATGGGTTTCTCTTGTGAATTTCATGATTTGTTCACTTCAAAAATAATTTCTTTAAAATTTCCTTTTTTCCTTTTTTGTCTGTTTTTTTATATGAAGATCTGATTTTCTATCACACCTAATAGATGGCTCTGCTATTCCCTTGGTTTTCTATCTTCAGTTGATGCAAGTAATTCACCTTTTGTGGCACAAGATAACATCAGAGTGTCTTCATTCATTTATTGTTTGAATTCTTCTGAAGTGTGTAACTTATTGACAGGTTCAACAAAAAGAGATCAGAGAATCTGAACCTGCCTTGGTATTTCTGTTCCTTTCAAGTGCAGCTGGTGCTGTGTGAATCACACAATGTTCAAATGAAAATATGTCAAGCAAATGTTTTAGGACTGAAAGTGAAGATGGTGTCAAACTTGATTGATCAACTTTTAAATGTGTGATATACTAACCCAAGCAGATTGTGAAGAATGAAGAAATAGTGGTGTAAGAATGACAGTTGGTAGTAACCAACCAAAAGTTTTTTCTGCTTGCTCAAGTAGATACAAATGTCAATGTGCATAAATGTTGGAACCATTTCTATGAATTCTTGGCATGCTTATGAGACACAAGCTTCAGCAGTCTGAGTTGAGGAAAGATCTGGATGGCTGATGGGTGATCCAGCCAATAAAAACTGCATCCCAGTGTTTTCAAATCAGACATTCAATGTTCTGCCAATTTGGGTCCCACATCAGCTCACTATTAGTATACAACAATTATTGCTGGCCTGATGTGGTCAGAAAGCTGTTTAGTAAATCAGTTCTGAATCATCTCTCCAGAACAATGAATCAATGTGAATACTAGTCTTGTGGCCTTTTTATGATTGTCATTGTATGAATACATGATCAAAAAAAAGTTGATTCAAAGTTGAATTTTCTATGGGTTGATTCCACTCAGAAGATCCAAGTGAAATCACGCAAGCAGGACAAAAAAAAAGAACTTGGATTGATACTGAAAAAAAGAAAAAGAAAAAATAACAAGAAAAGGGAAATGTCAAGAGACAGCTGGTGGAAAAAAAAAATGAAGTTGATTAAATGACTATGTCGGTCATGGCCATCCATCTTAGACAAGGATATTGCTGATGGAAACTCCATGATAGACAAACAAATTAATTGACTGACTGTTTTTTGGAAGAATAAGAAAAAGAATCAAGCACATAGGAAGTGGAGAGTTGGCAAGACCGATTCCGTTGGGAAATTTTTTTGACTGAATTTCTTGATGAAGAGAATTTTTAATCTGAATCTTCTTCTTCGGAGCTTTCTTCTGACCCGTCATCAATAAATCCCTCCATTGATTCGTCGTCATCCTCTTCTTCTTCCTCCTCCTCTTCCTCCTCCGCATCGCCGCTACCGTCTTCGCTCCCGCTTTCGTCGGCCTCCAAGTCTAGCAAGTCATTGATCCCGTTTGTCAGCTTCTTCAATCGGCGGGCGCCTTCGGCCGCCTCATCCTCACTATCTTCTGAATCTTCTTCATCGGATCCACTTCCCAATACCACGTCTTCAACGCTGCCTTCCTCCTCCGAGTCCGTCTGGTCGAGTTGATCAGAATCGCTCCCGTCCTCGTCGTCACTTTGGTCGCTACTGCCATCACTCTCATCATCGTTCGATTTTTCGGCTTCTTGCTCGGACGCCGAACTCTCCCCTTCGACGTACTTGTAGGGCTCCTGTTTGGGGACCGATGTTGCCTTCTTCTTCTTCTTATCGATGGCTTTCAACGTTTTCGATCCGGTTAGCTGGCGGCTTCCATTCGAGACCCTGTTCAGTTCGATCTGATTGAGCACTAATTCCAGCCGCCCGTTCAAGGATAGGAGCTTGGTGTGCAAATTCAAGCGCTTTTGTAACGATGCCTGGAGCGTTGAAAGTTGCGTCACAAGTGTCGGAATCTGGTGATAAAAAAAGAATTGTGGATTGAAGGAAATACTGTCAGTATACATTCGAGGATTGTACGTTTATTTCGCGTTGTTTTGAAGAAGAAGAAAAAGATACTCACCGTTAATAGGTAAGACATGTGGATGAGCAAGATCTGTCGGACCCATTCCACCAAAGTTTTAGTTCTCCGAACGGTAGCAACGGTTACGCCATCGCCATAGCCGCGTTTCTTCCGATTCAAGCAGATGACGATCTGTTCGATGAGGGTATGCAATAGCTTCTTCGGGACTCGTTGGATGGTATTAGAGATCAGATTTTTGTTATTTTTAGATTGTTGTAAGAAACAGGATTCTAAAAGTTTGGTATCTGTTGATTTGAGGGCTTGGGTTAAAGTTTGAGCGAACGATCCGATCGATGCGATTGTTGTTGGGTTGATCGAGTTGGTATCATTGAGCGATCCGTTGAGAGACTTGGCAGATTTCGATCCAAGCATCTTATTTGCGAGTCCTTCTTTTTCTAGCCCCTCGGGTAGCTCGTCATCATCAGATTCATTCAAGTCTATCGGTCCATTGGAGGTATCCGTTTGAAGGTTTAGGATCTTGAGTCGGTCAGCAAAAGATTGAGTGGTTGTTTCGTCTTGAACGTTTAGTTCTTCGTCACCGTTCTGATCACTTTTGGCATTTTTATCCGGTGCTTCATCTGAGGATGAGGAAGCAGACGAGGGTGAAGGAGATCGAGAGACTGTTGCCTTTTCTGGCTCTTGCTGGTTCTTCGCTTCCTGTTTTAGTTTCTTGTGACTAGCTTTAGGTGCTCGTCCTTTGGATTTGGGTGTAGCAGCTTTGGCAGGCATATTTCCTAGGCTTGCCGAATTTTGAACACTTGGCTTAGACTGGAAAATGAAAGAAAAACGGAATCGATGAGGTGGATATGTCCTTTAGAGTGCTGGTTGATTGAGGATAGCCAACTAGAATGGGCTACTTGCGATATATGTATTATTAAGGATATGTCCTTTCTATGATGGGATGGGCCGTTTTGCCGGTCGCAGTGCAAATGCCAGAGATGGTCAAGAAGAAAAAAAGATGCGGAACTTGCATATTCCAAATTGAATAAGCAACTTTGCATATTTCCAATTTGAATACCGTAGCACTCAACCGCAACCTTCAAAGAGTCCAGCATCCGAATCCTCCTCTCAACGACCTGCAGATGCCAATGGAGATGTCGGTACCAAAAAAGTAACCTCCTGCACCTTGACCCCGTTGCACGGAGGTGTGCAAGGTATTCCGATTATACATCCCCAAGTTTCATTTCCTTTTTTTCATGTTGTTGAATTTTTATTTCTACCAAAATCTTGGTAGAATTAAGCTTCTCATTAAAACAGTTACTGTAACTCTTTATCATAATCCCAACAGACAGAACTGTTCTTTATACAGATGTGCATCTTTTGGTCTATTAATTTTATGTATCCTTGCAATCTTGATCTTGTAGCTGCAAAAGAAACCCAAGCAAAATGACTTGTTATTTTTATTCATGTGGGTTTTGACTTGATATACAGCTTATGTAATCTAGAAAGAAACTTGAAAATCTTGAATTTTCAGAAAATTAAATAAAAAACTTCAATGGAGGACTTCCCGTGGGATCTGGGACCCTCGCAGTCTTTGATTTAGACCCAAAAAGTCTAGATTTTTGCAGGGAAATCTAGCTTTTGCGGCTCTAAATCAAAAATGGGAGACCCACAGATGTTGATGGGAAGTCATCCAATGGAGGACTTCCCGTTGTCTAAAATTGTAAATTTAGAAGGAAGGGCTAAAGCTTATTGGCTGGTGAAAGTCGTTAGACCTCAAGATTTCCCCAGCAAACAAAGCTTAGCTGGTCTGTCTAAAATCAGCCATCTGGTTGACGGGAAGTCCTCCAATCTTCAAAATCAAAAAATGGAGTAGATGGAAGTGTCCAGGTGGCTCAGGCCATTATCCCATCCTCAAAAAAATACAAGTTAATCTGAGAATGTGAGGTTGCGGGACTTGCATCGAGTTTGATTAAATCAGATACTGGGAAATCATCAGATTATAGCTACTAGTGGGGTTTAAAATTGAAATTTATTAAATTTCAAAACTCATTCTAAGGTGTTTATCGATAAATTTTTTTAAGGGTCTTAGCTGATCGACTCCCAAAAAGTGGAGAGTCGACTCCCAAACCCCGAAACCCCCAAAAAATCCATTGATTTTTCCAGGAAATGGAAGTCGATCACCCAAACCCGTCAGTGGGTTTGTGAGTCAGATGCCCACCAAATATAATTGATAAAATACCAATCCCCAAGGGAGTTGGGTGTAGATGCCCCAAAACCCAAGGGGTTTTGGGCATTGGCTAACCCAAAAGAGCAAAGACATCCGGGAGGATTCCTACTGGCTGCTGATGGCATACCTTTGAACACCAAGAGAAACCCTCCCAGCCTTCGAGGATGTAAACTCTCAAAGGCCAAGAGAAACACTCTCAACAACCGAGAGAGAACCTCTCCAAGCTTAACTAATCCTCTCCAAGGAGGTGCAAAGCGTCTCCAAAGGAGAGGCTTACCTCCAAAGTCACTTGCCTGCCTCAACAGAAATGAGTTTTCCACAAAAAACCCCTCATCTGATTTTGTTTAATTTTTTAAAAATACCCTGAGCCAAGTTGGGAGGAACTGAATAAAGAGATTTGTAGCCTGCCATCTCAGCTTTCATCCCGTAGTTTTTTATATCTTCCTACAATGACTACCAGTGAAGCTCACTTCTTCTTCAGTGATTTTCCTTATTTGCAAAGTAACTCAATTACAAATCATCTCACAGCCAAGGCATAGTATACAAACCTCAATACAATATAATTGTATTTGCTTGGATAAATCCCAACAGGTTCTGAAAGTACAACACAGACTCAAGCTATGTTCTTATGACCAGATATGCCCAACAGAATATCCGGCCATAATCAGGGCAGGTTGCTTGCAAAATTTTTAAACACCAAAAATTTGACAGGACGTTTCTTGCCAGGGAAGATGGATATTCAAAAGTTTGAAGCGGCTAAAAATAAGATGAGAAGCCTACAATTCTGATGGTCAAATCCTCAGGATGAGAAACGGATTGCAACAGGTGAGTACCGGGCAATGTGGGTAAGGGGACCATTTCTCCTGCCATTTGGCTGGAGTTTGTAGGGAGAGACATGCCACTTTGGATGCAAGTCCCTCCTTTGGATGTTGTGTAGCGACCTCCTTGGAGGAACTTGTGTTAAGCTCGGAACCTCTTGGCCATTGAGAGTGTACACCCTCAAGAGCAGTCTCTGTTGGCCTCAATGACCGAGAGAAACACTCTTGTCATTTGAGTGTGTACACTCTCAATGGCCAAGAGGTTCTCTCTTGGTCATTGAGTGTGTACACTCTCAACGGCTGAGTGGTTCTCTCTTGGTCATTGAGTGTGTACACTCTCAACGGCCAAGAGGTTCTCTCTCAGTCGTTGAGTGTGTACACTCTCAACGACGGAGTGTTTCTCTCGGCCATCAAAGGTGTCCCATCAGCAGCCCGGGCTCTTTTGGGTTAGCCAACGCCCAAAACCCCTTGGGTTTTGGGGCATCGACCCCCAACTCCCTCGGGGGTTGGTATTTTTTTGATTGAATTTGGTGAGCATCCAACTCCCAAACCCACTGATGGGGATTGCCTCCCATTTCCCGGCAAAATTGGTGGATTTTTTGGGGGTTTCAGGGTATGGAAGTTGACTCTCCACGTTTTGGGAGTCAATTAGCGAAGACCCTTTTTTAAATTTGAAAAGTTGTGACAGATTGTTCAGAGACCCTTTTTCTAAAATGAGGTGGATAAAGGCCTCAAAATTGGCTTTAAAAATTTCAATCATGAACCCTGCTACTGGGAAAAACCAGAGCTTTTTGTGGTATTTCTCAAATTGTGAAGATACTAAATATGTCAAAATTGGCACAGAGGTGCTTGAAGCCAGAAGAATACTTCTATTTCTTCTTCAAAAATCATGCAAAACTTTCTTTTGTTTGATCCATCTGTAAACTACTCCAGTAAAAAAAACTAATTATTGACATTCAGGGGAAAAGAATGAAACCACCATAAATAATGATGAACTGAAGTAACCATATTTTACTTGGATTTTCCCTATTGATTTTAGTTCAAATCTCTGAACAGTCTGTTGCCTGTATTTTGCCTTCTGTCTTGAGGCTTGCTCCATGAACATTCATCAACTTCTCAAACCAAGGCAGCAATTATAAACAGGGACTTTTTCTTTTTGAGAAACTTTTGATTTTTGTTTGCATTATTTCCATAATGTTTTTTTATTTATTTTGTTAATGGAAAAACAATTGCAAAGATTTTCAAACAACCTCTAGGGGTTTGTTTGAAAAAAAAAAAAATGAAATCCACTTATGGGATTTCATTACAGTCCTGATGTGAATACATAGATGAGATCCTCATGGGCTGTATCCTCTTGTACAACCATGCAAAATACAGACAATGCTCCTACCTAGACCTGCATACAAAATCTCAAATGCAGATGATCACTTAACTGAAGGCTGTGCAGGTTGATAATTGCATTGTGTGTGGACATTTTTGGTTTCTTTTTGAATTTCACTTCTTCTTAAAAAATAAAAAAAGACTGTCAAAAACAAATCAAAAAAAGTTACAAAACAAAATCCAAAAACCATTTATAATTGCTGCCTAAGGCTTTATCATTTTAAAGCCATCATGAGCCTATCAACCTAGCTATTTCAAAGTTTTCAATTAAGTTTGAAAAGTAATGAATGGAAATTTAATCACAAGAAGTTGAACATCCACTAACAAAAAAAACCCACAGAGGGAGATCAGACAGAAATGAGGAATAGTTGGGACTTCAGTCTTAGATAGACTGGTATATGTATCCATAAGATTTGAGGTTGATGCTGTTGTCAGAAATTTATGTCTTGTCTTTTTTCTTCGATTTTAATTGCGCATAGTGATCAATTTTGAACAGCCGAGTGATGGTTACCTTTTGTCTGTTGGTTATGACCACTGGATTCCTCCAAGGTATCATCTTGGCTTTCCTCATTTCTGGAAAACTATCTCTGGAGAAGCGACTATAATCAGAGTTTGTTTTGATCCGCTTCGCGATCTTTTCAAAAGACTTGAAAAATTTCGCTTCATCTTCAAATACGTTTATCCACTTGATGTAGCTTTCTCTGTGGTAGTAATAGGCCAATGTTTTCACTGCCACCTCACACATAATAAGATTTTGTCTGGACAATCTAGGTGCTCGATCGTATAACTTGTAAACTTTTTCCGTGCTTCTGCATTCTATTGCCTTAAAAAGTGAAACTTGAATGAATGCTATTTTTCCGAGGTCGATTTGTTCATTGATTTTCGGGTCAATTGACAAGCTAGCTGGCGACGAAGTAATTAGCTGGAGGAAAAAAAGTTGTACTTTGTTTTGCTCTTCTAGGTCAATCGAGTTGGTGAGCGGGTGACCCAATGTTTCCATCAATCTTTGATTTAACGCCAACAGTACTTCCAACAACCTTCCCGCTCGCCCTACAAAACCTCTTTCAGAGATAGTTTTGTGCGCAAAATGCAATTTCTTTTTTCCCTGTCTCATTTTGAATTTTTTGATCTCCACCATTATTCCAGTTGAATCTACTCGCAGTGGCTCTTCAAGCCTTCTGCTTTGTAGGTTTGTTGCTATCATCGAGATGTGTCCCCATCTGGCCCAGATGCCTGTTTTCATGTCTTGTTCACAATCAATCTTGCCAGTCTCAGGCAAATCTAGAGGAATTGCACCTATTTCTTCGTCTTCCTCTTTTACTTCTGAACGGGGCAAATCGATTTCATTGATGTAACGCTTGAAATCAACGCCGCAAGGCTTGGTAAATTGTACCTTTCTCAGCACAGCGTAAGTACTGCTCAAGTCGCAAGCGTTCTCCCATGGAAATAGCTGAAGATGGTGCATCTCTCTCCGCGCTATTCGAGTCGCAGAATAGAAAGATTCGGTAGCAGTTTTGGACATGTGCGATACAAAATTGAAGTCATTCTCAAACACCACTTCCCACTTTTCTAGATTGACGGTCTTGTAGTAAGTGGCCAACAAGATTATCGCTGCTTCGGTCAAGAACCCTTGTCTTTCGGATACTGATCCAATGTCGACGGTAAATTTATTTTTCCGCTTCATTATGCGATATACCTTCTCATCCGATTGCTTCATCGTGATCACCAGCTTGAAAGGTTCCAATGCCGGAATTAGATCATGCTCGTTACAACACAACAGCCACCTATAAATTGAGGCATGCTGCTTCAATAGCTCTGCTTCTTCTGAAACGCCAAGACTTCCAAGCAGTCTAAGGTTGTTCACCCAAAAAATATCCGAAAATTGTAAAATGATCTCGTAGAATTCGCGACTTCTGATTTTATCAAGTGCGATTCCATCACGGCCTTGATTGAGAAACTTTCCGACATCGGCGGCGAATAAGTCGTTGAATTTCGCTATGGTTGAACCGTACGTCGATCTATAAAGCTGCTCATGGGGTTCGGCCCTGTAAACTGTATTCACAAAAATCCACAACCACATCTTGTCGCTACGGTCATAATATGCACTTGTTGTTATTTTTCTTGCTAAGTCATCTGTTGGTTCCTTCGCCCGCTTGATTTCTCCATATTTCGCGTCAAAAAGATCAAAATGCTCATCATCCTTTTCCGACACGTAGGGTTCTATTTCGTTGAGGGTATTGCGACCAAGAGAAGGTGAGGAAGTGGAAGCTTCGGGAGGTGAATTCGTGTTTGTTGGGACCGGTGTAACAGGTGCTTGATTTTCGACTCGTAGTTCTTGTGTAACAGATTGGATCAACTCGGGTGATGGAGGAGCTTGTTCAATTCGTGAAGCCCTATCTGAAACTTGAAGGAGGCATAATCAACAACAAAATTGTCAGTCTTGTAGGTTCTGATGGACAGCGCGCCCCAGGCGATAGAAAAATATCGTGAAAGAAATTTGAAGACTAACGGGAACTCTTCTCACTAATTTCATTAGGAAATATCCATCCGCTAAAATCATCAGCCATCATCCCTGGCGCCCAGGAAGACTTGTGTCTTTTATTATTCGTCTTCAGATGGTTTGAGAACAAGGACAAACCCAACCAAGTCTCAGGTCCTAGCGAATTTCGTCACATCTATCAGCTTCCGTATAAGTCATTGTGAAGCTGTTGGTTTCTGAAGTATCTCGTCAAGACAAGATACCTGTGTCGCTGCGAAAAAGAGTACTAGCTTCCTCACCATCAATATGATTTCTGTGAGAAGGAATTGAGATATCAATGTTGTTCTGAGGTTGATCTTCGAACAAATCGCGGTTTCTTGGGTGGTAGGACGCCTCTGACAAGGACGCTGGTGGCCTCTTTTTTGAATTCCCTGTGTATGAAGAAAGTTCAATCTCAATAAATGTGAAGCAAGGCCCGCATGTGCACCTCAAGGGTCATTATTAAGTATTTCGACTTACCCATGCCGGAATCAATTTCTCTCATGTTCCTGGAGGATGAGCCCGGCTCAAATTCACGTGGAGCTTGTCGGCCTTGAGGGCTGGAAACTGATTTGAGCTGCGCAGGTGTTTCTACTATAGAATGCCATAAAAAAGAAGCACGGATGTGTAGCAAACGTGTGCAGCCATTCAAACAAAATGTCAACGATTTCGAGTAGCTGATCTGATGTTGAGACAGATATAGGGTAGCCTGAGGCGAGACAGGAAGAAAAGCAACGCACACATTCCACCGGCGTCCGTTCTAGAACTTGCATGATGAGGACCTACACCACTCTCCGGGAAACCTAGACTCAATCGGACCGACGGCGCATGGACAGGATTGATAATCCCTAAATCGTCTATAAATTCGTCAAAAAGTCAAAAAAGAGCATAGATGGTTAGCACGAGCCAACTATCAATCTGCACGTGCTCGCTCGTTTTTATTGCGAACCACTTACCGGGTGTGAGAGCTGACCTTACGAGGAGCACACCTAGGTTAGGAACAAGAATGAACGGCGATCGCCACAGCCTCTTCATCATCGGTAGTTATTCAGAAACTCTTAGCAATTACGCATTGAGTTGCCCCCCCCCCCCTCCCCAAGACAACTCCGCCCTTTTTATTTATCAATTACTGTTACTCGGATCAAGTATTGAACAGCCGGGTGAGTTCGCGACTCTGGTATCCATGTATAACCATTCAGAAAAGGCCCCACAGCTGGGAGATACAATACACTTTTGTTCAGATGTATGCGTGGGACAACCGTTTTGACCAAGTTACTCTCAACATAGAAGGTCTATGTAAGAAACAAATAAATTCTTTAGATTCATGTAAAAACATGTTTCACGCCAGTTGAAAAAAATGGCCATCAAGCGTCAAAGAGACCTTGGTGGCCTTGGACGTTGATGCTAATCTGCTTCAGCCTGATGTTTCGTGTCCAACGCTAGGAGATGATTTGTATTTATGTAGCATGAGCAACTATGGTTCCCCGAAACTAACCCATTTTGTGACGCATGGAAGGTTGCTTCCACCTTTCTTACAAAGTGTTTTCCAATAATTTCGTTCTTTTTTAGGAGATCATATTCCACTTTAAGGCATGCACGAGAAAAATAGTAGACAAGCTGCATTCAATTTTAGCATAGAGAAACGAACTCTGGAAATTGGAGGGTCTGTAAGTTCGCCGAGGATGCTTTATCGCCGGGAAGAAATGCTCCGCAGAATCTGAGAGAACAGGGAGTGTTACTTCCTCGGGACCAAAGCACTCTGCTGACCTTTCCATTGGAAGATCATGGGGCTTAGCCTTAGGCCATGAAAAACAGGCTCCTTGTTTGTTGTAGAGTTTAGTTCACCGGATCGGCTTAAAGCGATTGCAAGTGCGCAATACCCTGGCAAGGTGGAGCCGGCGGACTCTGGTTCAGGTTGGGCTGTTAACCGCAAAATGAAACCATGAAGAGGGGCGCTTGTGGATAGCACATGAAGTGTTCAGCTTCAATTGATTCTCTCTGCCGAAGTGGCTCATATGTAGTCTCCAGTCCGAAGCTCTTGCAATCGAATGAGAGATGGTCTGCTTCAGATGTGTTTGGGTACATGTGCAAATTTCTGCATCTAATGGATGTATTCATGTGTGTTGTGCTTGGTATTTACTATTAGCATCCGCACGTTGAACACGGATCTACGGCTTAGCGTGTTCAAGTCAAGGTCAAAAGAGTGGCGATGGCCGCTGCATGGTCCGTCTGAGTGCCGACCCGCACCTGGGATTGATCTCATCAAGTGAGGACAGTCTGGATGCATTCGCCCTTACACATTAACCTTGACTCATCACGAGACTTGCCTTGATTAGCATACTTGAGTCTCTCCCGCGCTTTCCCGCCTTCCGTGAGGACTTGTTGATGTATGTAGCAAGTCGGTTCAACCGGCCGGGCCGGGATAATTGGGAACGAGACCACCCGAAGTTCAGCGCATGAGTGCTGCCAGACAAACAAGTTACAAACAAGCAGTCCATGAGTCACCAACTTATAGCATACCAATGCAGTGATATCGTTCAGTCTTAGCTGATAATAAAATGCCCTTCCTTCGTGCCACGAGCAGTGACTGTCCCCTTATGTTCTCCATCCACATCAGCTTTGATCAACGAACCAGAGCCATCCCACATTCATCTTCTCCCTCTCTCCGGTTAGAAAAACCTGACTGACCCCACGACCGACATCCTTCTCTGCAAGGTTGGTAATCCAGCGACATCTTCGCGTTCGGTGAGTATAGCATAAACTTCCCCGGTGGTTAGGTCACCCCAGAATTTCATTCCATCAATCTCCTTGACATCCATGCCTTCTGACTAATATGTCCCTTTTCCTGACCCACTCGTCCGTTCAAAGTTGACACTTGCCTCTCTGTCTCCTGGTTCCACTGCTTTCTGCTGACTAGTTACCGCAATTTCCGACCACTCATTGCATTTGGCAGCTTGATTCTTGCCGCAACCCTGCCAATCCTCCCACTATTTCATATCAATTTTTTTTGGGAATCGAACACTCTTGGTAGGCTACCTTCCATCAAGCCAAGATCAAACTCCATCATAGCACCGTCCGAACTACTCGCCCCTCTCTAAAAATCCCTTCGTCGTCGCGAATCCATCGCTTCCGGTCATAACTCGGCCATCCATCCAATTTCTCAAGTAAACCTACCCACTCTTCATCTGTAAGTCAGTCTTCCTGGGCCTTCTATACACAAAAATATATTCAACTCCGCAGCTTCGAAGCGGGCACCTCCGGCAAGTATGTAGCCGCAGTGTTTCCCCAAGATGCCTCAAACTTTACTATGGCAGAAATCTTGAGGCTTCCTTCCAAATCTAACTAATCAAAACACCAATACAACTCAGCCTGATTTCTGAATCACTTTACCCTTGGCTAAAAAAAACCCCGGCATCATTATTGCTTCCCCTCTTCCTTTCCTCCATTCAACTGATCCAGCCATCAAAGAAGTTATGTTGACAATTCTGACCAACTCTTTGTACCTTTTACACCTGAAACCCAGTGATCATGAGTGAAATCTGCAAGCTTTGCTAATTCAACGACGCCCATGGAACAGGTAGAAACTTCACCACCGAACACTCCTGCCGACACTTCACCAGGGCCACAGCCTGAGACAAGTTCCTCTTCACCAGAATATTCAATCCAACCCTTTGTAACCATGCCCGAAAAAGATTCCACCAACCTAGATACTTCACTTCCCTCCCAGCCTCCCAGCAACTCATCACCTCAAAATTCTTCCAACGCTGAAAATTTGACAGGGCCTGTTATTCAACCTGAACCGTCCAATCCATTTCCTGTAAACCATCCAACAAGCCGTGATGCGTCTACCTCGGGCCCAGCAACCGTCATGTTTCCACCCTCATCCATGCAAGCCAATACCACAGTTCCTGCTCAATCGTCTTCCCCTTCAGATCCCCCGACAAACTCGCATCCAGATGAGCCCCACAACATCTCAGTCACAGTTCAGGCTGTTCCAGGACAGGCCTCCAAGAACTCGCCCGAGTCGGTCGTCCCGGCCCCATCCCGTGGAGCAGTCATAGCCCTTGGAGTGCTCACCGCTTTCTTCGTTACATTGATTGTTGTCCTGCTGCTGTGGCGGAGGCGGCAGGAGAGGCGGAAAAAGCCGAGTGATCTCCCGTCTGAGATGCAGGACAACGAGAAAGGAGATAGCGCCCCTCCATCAAGAAGCACCTCATCGAGCCACCGGCCACTGACAACCGTGCCGCCGCCGAAGGCACACGCTAAAGCGGGCCCTGGGATCCCGAATCCGTTCGGCCGGCGGGGGATCACCCGTCCAAGTCGGCCGGCTTCTCTGCCGCTGGACTCGAGAATCGCCAAGGCTGAGCGGATGCAGAAGGCACAGTCACAAGAGGTGAAGGCTCAAGCACGGCCGAGCTCGTGGCGCTCGTCAATTGCGGGTGTTTGGGAGAGTCTGGGCTTGCCAAGTCGGGTGCTGCATGACCCCAACTCACACTTCTGGTCTGATAGCGTCTCGGTAACCTCGGAGGACTCCACCCGTAACCTGGTCAGCCGCCCATCTGCCATCCCTGAGGAAATGAGCATGCGGGCAGAGACAGATGCACCTACGCCGAACTCAGACATCCAATCAACCCGCTCACACTCGCCTGCCCCCTCTAGAAAAACCACCGGGAGCGTCAACACTAATGCCCACAACCTTCAATCCTCATCCTCAAGCCAGCCTTCCGAGCGGCAAGACTCCGGCAGCTTGGTTGTCTCCGGTCAAGACACCCAATCAATCTCGCGCTCCAACGACTCGCTCGACTCCCACACAACCTGCAGTGACCATTCTTGCAAATCTCCTACGGAGTCGAGCCCCGTCAAGGACAAACCAAAACTCACCGTGGATGCGGTCGAGAACACTTCAGTCAAACAAAACCTCTCGCACTCCCCCATCGGCTCGGGCTCGCTCGACTCCCACACAATTTCCAGTGACCGTTCCTGCAAATCTCCTGATCACTCAAGCCCCGTCAAGAACAACGAAAAATTCCCCGTGATCGCACTCGAAAACACTCAAGTCACCCAAACTATCCCCATCTAACCAACTCAAAAATTCGCTTGCAAATCAACCTGATTGGCAGCCTCAAACCTAATAATCCGCCCAATAACGCTCCGCTCCGTGCCGTTTGTCGAGAAACTCGTCATCTGAATCTTTATTAATTACCTAATAATATTAATCATCACCATAATAGAATTAATTTATTATCTGGAGCATTGCTCTTTCTCAAAAAATGTCCAACTATATGCAATGCATAATGTGTGGGCACCCCCACATGTACATTCCTTAACACAACAGCATCACTTTATTTTTCTGGTTTGAATTCGTATTGCTTCTTTGATTTTGTTTTAGGAAAATTATTCTCAAGACCCGCTCTCTGTTCCCCATGTTACGGATCTGTAGCCCACCGAAAGGGATGCGCACAATTTCTACGTGTTCCTCTCTTTTGACCGTATGTAGTTGGTAATTGGATGGCTATTCGAACGCAACCCTTTCCTCTATTTTTCGCTTTGTCCGTGTTGTGTTGGTCTATGTGTATGTCCGAAATAAATGTGTAGCCACTATAAAGCTTCATGCAATTTCTATCGTTTCAGATCTTGGTATTTATCACCCGTACTTCAAACATGAAGCCTCCTTCAAAGCGAGCCAGGAGGCGAACCAGGCAAATAGCTTTGGTTATCCTCCCTCATGATCTCGCCGATTGGTTGGCCATCTAAACCGTCACAGATGTCGCTACTGGTGGTTGCACTCACTTGACATTGATTCACCAATTTTCCTAGGCTCGCACTCATGCAAGTCTTCCACGGGCTTGGTTAAGCTTACACTGACCCATAAAGTTGCGTATGTAGACTGACGGTGGCAGATAACTACATATAAGTCGATGTACATAGTGCTCTTTTCACCGGGCGCGACGCCCTTAAGGGGTTTCCGCTCAGCGACAATGGAGGCAGAAAGTTGTTTTCCAGACGATTCCAACAACAATCCCGTTAGTAAGTGAAAAAAAAAAACTATAAATAGCTAGAAGCATAAAAAAAACTTTGTCAGACGAGTACTTGACATTAGGCGTGGCTCGTTTTTCCATCAATAGCTCTCCTTGGCGTTAAGAGGAGATGGTGTAGCGACTAACAATTTTGTGGCTGGCTAAAGTAAAATATCTACCCGTAGGCAGATCATAGAGAAGGGCGACATGGAAATGTTTAGATGGCTTCAGATTGTAGCTCCTGAACATCATTAGGCAATATCGTATCCGCAAGACTTCAAATCGCCCGGATTTATTTTCTTTGGATGCCGTCGTCCTTTGTGTTACTCCCAAGAGTTTCTTTTCGCCCTACACATTGAAACTAATCGACCAAAGCACAATCTGCTGTTATCAGCGATCTTGCTCTCATCGAATATTTTATAAAGCCGATAAGCTGCAGTAGTCCTAGTACTCAGTATGAATTCCCCAGCAAATTCACAGTCAGGCACTGTCAAGGGCTCACTGTCTCAGCTTCCGACCGAGATCAAGTTGCGCATCATCGATCACCTTAAACTTCTTGCGGAGAAGGAGGGATCTCCCGGTACCAGTTTTTTGAAGCTTGCTCTGGTAGATCGAACGTTCCATGAACTGTGCAGTCCGACAAACTGGAAGGTACGTTTGGCGTTATTCTCCGCTCTTTACACTGTTAATCTATGTGCCCATTGGCTGCCTGTTGGATGACATCGTCCCAAACCCTTATGCGCGTTAAGTCAGTCTCTGATTGTTCTTGTTTTTCCTATCCGGCTCAGCTGCTTGACTTGAAGAGCATCAGGAAAAAATTCCTCAACCAATTCATCCATGACATACTACCTCATCAAGGAAAACGCATACGATCAATGACTCTCAAACTCGAATTTTCAGTTCAGTACTGTGCCCGTCGCCGAGGCCCGAACGGTATTCAAGCAACCGACATCATAACCGACGAATATGGTCCAGGACGATTGAGTGAAATTTTGAAAGTGTGTATCAATGTGACTGATCTGAGAATCTTCCTTGAACACTATATGGACGAGTTTGGAGATCTTAGCGATGCGCTAGTCAACCCGATACCAACATCATTGCATCCAGTTGCTCAACTTAGCAACTTGACCTACATTCATTTAAATAATCAAACCGAGGACGAGAGCTTCAAGGAAGAGTACTTGGTCAATTTGATAAGAAACATGGTACATCTAGTTCACATTCGTCTCGATAGGCTTGGTGCCTCTTTTCCAACATGCGACTTCTGCGAGTGTCCAAATGTGATCCAGCCGATTTTGCCACCACTGGCTGTTCACCTGGCTTCACTATCTTCACTGAGATTTATCGACTTTTCAATGGTAGATTGCTTTGATTGGGGCTGGACTAAAATGAAGTGGAAAGGAGCGCTCGAAGGGATCACATTGCACAGAAGCACCCAGCTTTCTTTTCGTGCCGTACACGCCTTTTGCAGCCTTTTCGAGGACAGCTTAGTTTCTCTTTCGCTTTGTGATGTTCCGCTCAGCAATTCGGGCGACCTTCCGTTGACTAGCCTGCCCAAAGACGAGCTTGAATACGTCTTTCGTCTGCCGAAGTTGAAGAAGCTGGCGGTCTACACGCCCTATTCGATTGAATTTCTCCGTCTATTCCGAGAGTCCCGCAACATCACCAACATCAACCTTGTTGCCAATTATATAATTGGACCTGAAGATCTCAAAAGCTTGATCAGCCATGAAACTCGGATTTGGAAGGACTTGAAATCTTTGCTGGTGCAAGTTAAGCAAGTCGGCAAGGGAAGATACAGGCCTCGAGAAATCGCAGATTTGGTCGCTTGTGGTTCACAAGTAGGTGTGCGGGTAGAATGTGGCTCCCTTGCGATCGAGGGGAACCGACTTTTCGAAGAGTATCAATCGCAGTTCCGCCTCGGACAAGAATGGAGTCCTGATGAGCCAAGTGACAGTGAGAGTGACTGAAACACTCGCTCTCACCATTGCTGCCTTGCTGGTGAACGTTACACATGCAGTGCTTTTTGGTTGGACAATCGCCGACTCGGGGTCAAGCCCTGAAACCCCAGGCTTGTGCTTGTTTTCAACGTTGGAAGACTTGGTCTTGGGCCTTTTTATTTGTGTTGTGCTTCTTCCAACTGACTCTTGCAAGCTAGTTAAATAAAGAAATGAAAAAACACATACATTGAAATCATCTTTAGTATAGACCTGATGTATCAAAATTGCAAGATATTGGTAAGGGGAGTTGGAACCAAACAATGAACAACCTGTTGGTGTATTCTAAGCCTACCAGATGCAAAAAAAAATCTTGAAAGGCATTCACCGGTCATTTGCACCTCTGACAGTGAAGTTCTGAAACCCCAGGCACACATTAGACCCCGTGGGTAAACTGATGGTGAGATTTCACTCCCGTTTGCTTTTCCTCTTCTTTTTGTATTCTAAGCCTACCAGATGCAAAAAAAAAATCTTGAAAGGCATTCACCGGTCATTTGCACCTCTGACAGTGAAGTTCTGAAACCCCAGGCACACATTAGACCCCGTGGGTAAACTGATGGTGAGATTTCACTCCCGTTTGCTTTTCCTCTTCTTTGTGACTTACCCCGATTGAAGATTTGATTGGATTACTACAAAAAAAAAAACTAGAACTTTGATATGGGAAAAGAGCCAGAGAAAAAAAATGGAAAAGCATGAAATGATAAAAGGATTTTTAGCATACCCTGGGTGAGATCATGGTCCAAGATTAAAGACAGACCCCTGAAGAACAATGATTCATAGACAAAGGCAGAACAAAAGGAGCATGAAAGACTTGAAGTAAAAATTTTAGTTAGTTAAAATAATGTAATCCCAAATTAAAAATCTTACCATCCCTCACCTGTATATTCTTGTGGCCAATTTGTCAGAAATATCACCCAAGCAGCCGGGTGATATGTAGTTCTAGTTTCGAATAGTGACAACCTTCCCAACACGACTCGTCAAATCCGGGACCAGTGTAGGCTGCCGGAGTGATAAATTGAATCAAAAAATCCATTCTGAGACTTTTGATTGGATCTGTTGCACTCTGATCATGACATTAGATGTGAAATATATTCACATAGCTCATTTAAAATGTTTCTGGGGGTTGCCAAAATCAAATCTGCTAAATCTCAACTGTGAGCCTCTATGTAGCTCACAAACAAATTGCCTTGCTGCTATCTGATTTAGGTCCTAAGATCAATAGCTTATTTGACTCCCTTAACATCGGCAGTAATATAAAATATAGACACACAAAACAAGTTCAATTTTACTAAGCTATATATGCAAGAAAAAACTGTGAGTGAAGCTGATTGGGGTTTATGATCAAGCAGAACTGCATTAAAGAGTGAAAATGAAAAGTCTGAACAGATAGATAATTCTGGCGCCAAAGAAAAGGTAGGGAGTGCAAACAAAGAGATCATGGATTCCAATGTATCAATGAATGGTTATAACTAGGGGGAAGTTTTGAAAGACATATAGGGTTCCAAGATGTCCTTAACAAGGGTGAATGGGTTGCATATTGAGGTCCTATAAGTATGTGCTTCCTCCATCGGCGCCCTTGCTTCGTGTGTTGAAATTCCAATGCCTACATACTACCTCCACTAATCCGGCAAATTTTTAATGCTTGGGATCACCTCGGTTGTACCGATGATCAACTCGAGGCGGGGGATACGGAGTAGAAGGGCTTGGAGACGGTCGAGATGTCGTATCTTTAGGGTGGTAAGCTAAGGAAATGGAAGGAATCACTCTAGCTGGAGCAGAAATGGACAAGCGTTAACGATCAATACGTGGATTTCAAGTAATCAAACCACACAGGATGCTTTGGAGCTTGGACTGAATCAAAGTAAGCTTACCTTCGCCCGGCGAGAAACAAGCCAAGAGAAAAACGACGAAAATTTTTGCCATCGATTTCATTCTTCACGACTCGTTTACCTCTTGTCAGATAAGATAAATATACTGTAGGAGTTGTGGTCACTTTGTCGTCGGAAATAGACACAACTCGAAATTTTTTAAAGCAGTTGTTTATCGTATGTATACTAAGTTTTTTTTAGTTTCTAGGGAGATTAACTACTCGAGAGTCAAGGCTAAATTTGATCGTTCTTGTCTGGGAGCTGAAAAAACAGACAAGTGGTCAAGCGTTTATATATTCAAGAACCAAAGCTCTCCGCGGTCAAGAAAAAGAAAACAGCAACAGAAACCATCCCACCAGGGTATAGCATACAAGGTCAATGATCTCTTCCATACGGCGTCCACCAATGACATAAAGTTTTCGAATGGATGTAGCCATGTTCTATGCTGTTAAGTTTATGTACTCATGGAATAACCGTTCTCCAGTGCTTGTATGATTTTAGCCTTCACTGCACAGCACCACGACCCCGATATGCGCACCAATATTTGTACTCCTTTTGCCACGAAAGGCGTCTTTCCTTCAAGGCGCCCAACAGATGTCGGTGTTCAAGGGTGGAGAAGCTAGAAAGAGGAGAAATGTTGAAGAGAAGCTGGAAGAATGACTTCGCTTCTTTTCCTCCTTCTTTGCTGAAGCCCTATTTCTCTATAGCAAGCCCTGTTACAATACAAGCTTAACCAAGCCTCTCCAGGAGCCCTGTTACACTGCAAGCTTAACCAAGCCTCTTGCGGGTTAAGTTTAGTTGAAATGCCGGAGACTGCACTGTCTTGATGGCCATGAGTGAGAGGAATCCTTCCCGGCTATCATGACTTTACAAGTCTTTAGGCTGAGAGGGATTCCTCCAGTGCACAAGTCTCAATGGCCAGAGGAATCCATCTCCAACTCTCGTCTCAAGAATAGGTTTTTTTGCCCAATCTCACACATGGGATGTACATACAACAGGCCTGTTTGGACACTGGCCCAAGTCCCACTTGGCATTTGGACATTTTAATGATCTTGCGCTAGCTATGTGAGGTATATTTTGATGATACATGGGGTTGTACAACACCACAGGCAACATATGGGAAAACCCCTTTGAGGTGTTGACATGTGAATAATATTCCTGTTCTTCCCAAGAGAGAGACAAAAAAAGCCAAGATTCTCAAGTATATTGCTGATAAATATGATCCAGAACTTACCATCCATCTGAATTTTCTGGTGCACTTACTCCATTCCACATGCAATTCATAACACTTGCAACCTTGAACAAGATCTGTTTGAGCTGCTGATCCATTGATGGCTATTTTTTTGCTTTGTACTTATTTTTTGACTGTTGCAATAAGTATCATCACTTGTATGATCAACAGCAGATACCTATTGTATGTAGATGTGTTTCATACATTTTACAAAACTATTAGGTACATACAAAAAGGGTACTGAAAATCTTCAATCAAAAAAGAGGGTGATTCAGATCATAAACAGACCCATGTTTTGACTCTTTGGATCACACCAGTCTCATCCTCCTCATTTTTTCCTCCTCCTCCTCCTCCTCATTTTTTCTTATTCTGATTGAAACCTCAAATTTCAAACCAAGGTACCCATACCCATGTTATTAGTGAAGCTATTAGTTTCCTTCCAGCTTCTATATTACCATAGTATTTTGGCAATTCCATGTTTCATGTCAACTTGTCTAGACAGGAAACCATCAGTTGATCAATTGATTACAATTCTCACACAGAATGTGTCAGGAAGCAAAACTGGCATAGCAAGTATGTCACTTTCCATGTCACTTGTTTTGGAAGGATTTTAAATATTATTTTGTTCTATTTGAACCTAATTGTTGATGATTCTTATATTTCTGCATTTGGAGAAAGGCTCAAGTGGACTGTATAGTTTCAAGGAGGACTGCACTTCCCTTCTGAAAGTTTTCAGCAATTCACAAGCAAAAGTTTTGTTGGGAATCATGAAGAGGCAAGAAGAAATCAGAAGAAATTATCTAACTGAAGAATCACTTGAAGATCTTCATAATGGCATCAATTCCCTGTTGGCAATGTTGGATGAATCCAAAAAGGAAAAATTTTGGTACTTTGTGGAGAAAAATAGGAAAACTCTGTATTTATTCCCACCAGCTCCTGTGGTATCAGCTCAATCTGAATCTTGGCTGTCTCTCAAAAACTTGGAAGGTACGGAATTATTCATCATTCTCATTGTGTATCCCTAAAAAATTGTACATTCATCAGCTGTTGAAATTTACTGCCTTGAAAACCCAAACAGATATAATTCCAAACATGAGTAACCTCTTAAAGAAAGATTTGGATTACTTGAAAGACTTCAAGGCTTTCCTTGACACTTTGGAAGATTCACAAGCATCAATGTTCTTGAGAATGCAAAGAAACCTGGCAGAAACAGGAACAAATCATACTGAAAAATCAATGAGAAGAGCTTTTATAGAAAGGAATGCATTCTTGGCAACATTAAACAATTCCCAAAAGAAAGGATTCTGGAAGTTCAACGAGAAGTACTTTCAAGATATAAAATTGGACCACCATTGTAGATTAATTGAAACAGAAGAACTCACTAGGGCACTACGTGCTTTGTTACATAGGATACCTGCAGATCAATTTATAAGCCTAACTAAAGATACCAATCACATTAGAGATAAGATGCCCAAGTTCACTTCTATATCAATGAAAGGTTGCCATGAGAATTTTATTGAAGTGCTATCAGGTTTAAATAAGTCAAGACAAGAAAGATTGTTTGAGGTTTTTGGATTGGAAAAGGGGATCAAGGAGTCAATTGCAATTGGCCACCATAACAGTCAAGCACTTACTCAAAAGAGGAACCGACATCTTTCTAGATATCTTTATGATCTAATCAATCAGATACCTACATAACCTTTTTGTTGCGGTTTTTTACAAAGCTTTGTCCTCCTCCATTTTTCTTTATTAGGTTTCTTCTTGTGCATATTGATGGTTTTTGAGCTGGCTAGTAGTAGCAGCCTTTTGGAGCTGTAGCACCCCATAGTGCAGCATAACACAGCATAGTGTAACAGAAAACCACTAACACTGCTAACAGCATCACTACACAATTTGGACTCTTACATTGACCCCATCACACTAACACTTTTTTTGAAAATAGTGAAGTGTAGTGTAGCAGCCCACTTCTGTTCCAGAGTCCAACAATCCATCAACACCTGTCTTTGTTTTATGGATGGGCTGGGGTTCTGATCTGGACCTTGAACACCAGATTTCCAGAGCACTCTCAGATAAAAGATCTTGCCCCACCGGCCAGCTGCTTCCTCAAGGTTTTTGTCAGCCAGAAACCCGCGAGGAAGGTCTTGCAGGGTGGACTTTGAGCCTGAAACTTCCCAGTAGCATGTCCAATATATAGTTTTAGGGTCTGGATTGGAACCCTAGCATGTGCTACATTTTTTGGAGTTTCAGAGTGGTCCAGTTTGCTTGAATTTGTTCTTGATTGGATCACGCAAACCAGGATAGACAAGAGTCTTGAGATTGGCTAATCAGTTCTTGGTAGTCTCAAAGCAAGTTCTGTGTATGCAAGCCCAAGGATCTCTTGTGTCTTGATTGTATCAAAACCCCTTTGATGGATCTTTATCAGTGATGAAATTTGAGTCACATATTCATACATTGCTGTATCTCTCAATGTCAAAACTAGAAGTACAAAAAGTCGGATAGATCACCTTAGAACCAGATCATGATCAAGTAACCATAAGAAAACAAAAACATGTTTTGTGATGTTCAAGAGAGCAAAACAACTGAGTTTCATTTGCATTTTTGGCTTGTTTTATTTTGTTCTGAAGGAAATGTGGATGGATTGATTGATTGATTGATTGAGGAAACAAAAAAAAGAAGAGCAAGAGAAGGATGATAAGGATAAAACTAGAGATGGAGATGGATAGAAAGAGAATGGGAAGAGAATGGAAACAGACAGTCGTGTTTATATATATATATATATATATATATTGATTTACTTTCATATATGTAACCACACCAAAACGACAAAAAACAAAGAAGCAAGATAAACCGATAAACTGATAAAAAAAAACGATACTAAACAACGCACTAAAAAAGAGAAAAAGGAAAGTTTTTGTTTTGTTTTTAGTTCAACAAGTCGACGAAATTGCTAGGAAGAACGTTGCCGCCATTGCCATTGGCCGAGTTCTGTTTGCGTCTGAAGTCGTCCAACAGTTCGCCCTGCCACCAGCCATCAGGGTCGGTTTGGGTGATCGCGATAATGTCGTTTGCTTGGAATGAAAACTCTTCTGGCATCGTTGCTGTATAATCATATAAGGCTACAGAGACTAGTGTAAAATATAACAATAAAACACATT